ATTAATATTTTCAGTTTCTATCCCTTCTTTTTGTAAGATTTGTTGTTTGTCCTTGACCCATAATCTCTGCTGTACCTATCTTTGTGCATGACTAACCAACCAGCCACTAGAGGAACATTACAGTGCTTAGAAATATCTAAACTCTTTGATTGAGTGTTATGATCTTTCCTACTAATTTAACTGTGAAATTAAGATGAAATAATATCTTTAAAGTGCTGAAGGTGCCCAAGAAACCTGTCCCACAAGAAAAGATGCCTGTTGCAGTACCAAAACAACCAGAACCACCACCAGCCAAAGGTACAGGTCACTATTAGTATCATCATTAGAAAAAAAGTTATGCTCTTCTGGACTTTGGTTTAAGTAATTTTTTAATGGTGACCTATCAGGGATAGGTGGCTAAGAAATATGAAGTGCAATGTGGGGTGTCAAAAACATGGCAGAAGAATCAGATTTAATTCCTTCAAAAATATCTTGCTGAACTTTTAGTAAAGTTTAAGAATTAAAATTTACTGACTCTTTAGTTTAAACAGAATACATTTTTTTCTGAGGAAGAGTCTGAAAATAACTCTTTAAAGAACAAAACATTGCATCCACAAGACTTCTGATACATGAGAGCAACAGAATAGGTTCTCTACCTCTTTAGAAGTAAGGTAATGCCAATGTACATGAGGAATTTTTGCTAGCAAAAGACTGGATAAATCTAGTGATTATCTTATTAATACATTAATAGATCCAATAGCAAGAGAAAGAAGTATAAGAACTATATATATTTCTAAAGTAGAATTTCAGTGAAAGGAACTGTGGAACATAGAAAGTTAAGAGGAGGTGTAAAGAGTGGAATTGATTGATAGAAATAAAAAAAATAAAAAAAAAAAAAAGATGGTGATGATAAATCAAATGCTATTTCCTAAAAAACAAATGTTACAATGACAAAATAGTTGTGAATTATATTGGGTGATACACAAATGCACTAGGATTCCACAAATGAATCTCTGATCATCTGTTGCTAAGAAGCCAGATATATTTTCTACATTCCCACCCTGACCAAGAAACAGAGACCACACACAGAGTTCCCATCTCCTGTGTGATGTGTTGGACACCCTGGTCATTCCACTGGTGACCAAATGTAACCACAGCACCGTCCCAAAAAAGTCTGTGTGCATTTACTTCTGGTTCTCTTCTTGTTACCTGGACATCTGCAGTGCCCACAGAACTAAAATACACTAATATCTTTGAAGTTCCCAAGGTGCCCAAGAAAGGTGTTCTGGAAGAGCCCACACCTGTAGCTGTGCCCAAAAAGCCAGAACCGGCAGCAGTTCGAGGTACCTGTCGCTTTGTGTGTCAGTCCAAATCAGACTGTCCTTGTTGTCTTACGTGTTATTTCTGATGTCTGTTGTTGTTCTGTTAGTGATTTCCTGAAATTTCTGCATTCTGCACTGTGTATCAGGAGTTTGAAAATGTAGTATTTTGTAGAAATAGCTCAAAATATATTTTTTCTTTTACTGTATTGGTGTCTTATTCTGAATCAGTAGATACTAAAACATTGTAGTTTAGCAATTAATCATAAGTTTTTCATATGGCTGCCCAAATTTGTTATCTTAAATAGAAAAGAGTCTGCATGACTCTTCTGGCAGACTCAGTTAGTGTATAAAATAGACATAAACATTCTGAAATGAAAACCCAGTTTTTACTCAGCAATGCACAAGTGCAGTAAGAAGTGACTGTATAGAAAGTTTTAAAGAAATTGCTGACACTTCTAGGGTTTATAATAAAATATCATTATAAAATCCATTGCACTGTACAGGCTATGGAAGTTGCCACAGTGAAATGGAAATTGAGGACAGGTACTTAGGATAAGAAAATAAGTAAAAAAAAAAGAAGAGAAAAGCATAAGCAAAAAATGTATATACAAAAGGATGAAAAATGAGAAAACCTGTGTCCTCAGCCTGTCACTACCCAAACTGCTGGTCATAAAGCACCAGCATGTTCATGAGGAATGATAAACAGGTAAAACATGGGCTGAGGTTGCTCCCAGAGAAAGACAGATCCCAGCAGGGCTGAGAATGAAAAGCTCTCCCCCAGGGGAGGAAAGGCTGCTGAGTAACCCTAATGCACACCTCAGCCTCAAGCCCATGCAGAGCCAGCAGTTCTCTGTCAGAAGGTACCTGGCATCACTGCTCTGTGCGTGTGCCCTGTGGGGGTTTGTGTGTGTGAGCCAGTGAGAGACAGAGTCATGGCTTGATGCTGGGAGCCCACTTTGGTTACGTTCAGAGTGCATCTCCAGTCTGTGTTTCACTGTGCCTCCTCCTGTTTTATGTACAAAACTGACTGCTACTAATATCTTTGAAGCACCCGAGGTGCCCCGGAAGGCTGCTCGTGAGGAAAAACTACCTGTGCCCACTGCCAAAGCACCAGAGCTTCCAGCACCCAGAGGTACCTGTCTTCTTGGAGAGCTTAACAAAGAACACACTGAATCTTCTTCTCCTAAGCCTTGTCCTGCCCTCTCCTGTCCTGTCTGTGTGTCCCTGGCTGGGGCTGTCAGGGCTGTGTGTGCAGGGACAAGGGCGCTGTGTGGTGTGTGAGGGTTGGAGCTGGCTGCTGTGATGTTCTGAGTCTGTGTCACCCTGGTTGTTGTCCCTGCTTGTCATGTCTTCTTAGCCATGTAAAATGAAATGCACTAATATCTTTGAAGTGCCTGAGATGCCTGAGGCTGAGGTCCTGGAAGAGGAAGAGGAGGTGGAAGCAGCAGAAGAGGTGGAAGCAGCAGTTGCTGAGCCTGGAGAGCCAGAAGTCTCTCCAGCTGAAGGTATAGGGTGGTGTTCTGAAAGAGCCTGCCATGTGCTCCACACTGCTGCAGGGCTCAGTGCTCTTTGTCCCTCTGCACTCTGTGGGGAGGGGTGAGAGCAGCATTTTGTCATTTGAATCTCTGTGTGCATGAGGTTTAGCTCAGTCAAGTCAATGGATCTAATATCTTTAAAGTGCCTGAGGTGATTGAGGCAGAAGAGGCAGAAGAGGAGGTGCCAGTGGTCATTCCTCAAAAGCCTGTGGCTGTGCCCAAGAAACCTGTGGCTGTGCCAAAGAAACCTGTGGCTGTGCCAAAGAAACCTGTGGCTGTACCCAAGAAACCAGAGCCTGTTGCTGTTCCAAAAGTACCAGAACCTATGCCTGTCCTTAGAAAACCTAAAGTTCCTTCAGTTAAAGGTACATATATCAGTGACAGAGCATCTCCTTATCTTTATTCTCTGAATACCTTTCCCCTTTTACACTGATGTATTCATTGCCAGATGAATAATCTGCTGCGTAAATTTGTTATTCTTCATGTTTAGTACACCCTCCTCTTCTTAGTTGTTGCACTTTTCACTATTATGTGTATATATGTGTCTTAATATTCACAAAATAAAAATTTACTAATATCTTTAAAGAAACTGAAGTGCAAGAAAGAACTGTCCTAGAAGAGAAAGTGTCTCTTACAACACCTACAAAGTCACAATTAGAAAAGCCAGAGCCTCGTCCAACCAAAGGTACATATTGCCAGTAGAAGAAATGTTTTCTGTATTCCTTCTTTTCTTTGTTCATAAGTGAGTCTGTAAAATTTGTCATTTGAATGTAGCCTAACTTGAGAAAGACTGGAGCACAGTCTTTCATGATTAGGGCCTCTGTTACTGTGATTCTGTGTGTGCTAGATGTCTTTGTCTTTTTATGTTTTGTATGTACATTTATATACACAAAATATAAAAAAACTTAATATTTTTTTGAAGTGTCTGAGGTACCCAAGAAACCTGTCTCTGAGGAGAAAGTACCTGTTGCCGTTCCTAAAATACCTGAATCACTACCAAGTGAAGGTTTGTGCCACCATAGATTTTACTCTAAGAAGAATCCTTTGTCCTGTTCTTCCAAGTATAAGCTTTAAAGTAGACATTTTCCTTTTTCTCCCATTGTGAAGTTTGTAAGTTTTTCGCTTCATATTTTAGATTATACTAGTCATTATTTTTTGTATCTGTTAGCATATCTTCATATTTGGAAAATACATGCTCCTGCACAGGATATGTCTCTCTTTTTAAGATAGTATTAAATTCCCACTGAATTGGAGTTTCTCAGAAGTTACTATTTATGTTGTTGTTATAATCCTAAATTAATTGAGAGCATTGACATTTTGTTCTTTCCTGTTACAATGAGTCATCCCCAAGCTTATTGTTTTGTTTATATTGTATACATAAAAAATTCTGTCCTCCACACAATTCTTACTCATGCTTAGAAAGAAAGTAGTTTTCCAAATCTTGTGTTAACCTCAAAGGTAACAGTTACTAAGTGATTACTTATCCTAATGTGTATTTGTCTGTGTCTGTTGAAGTAGATTTGCTTTATTTATATCTGTATAATTGTTCACGTGAAACAATCTTATAATTGAAAACTTACACCGGTTGTCAATATTCTTTAAAGAATTTGAAATCATAAAGGAGATTGAGCCCGAAGAAGCAGAGGAAATTCCAGCTGTAGAAGTTGAAGAAGCTTTGCCAGTTGAAGGTATACAAAGTACTTCCCTACAGGCTGCCACACACCTTTCTTTCATTATCATCATGTGCAAATCCTTCTTGCTCTCTCATTTTTCATCCACATGCCTGAGTGTTGTAGGTCACCTCTACGTTGTAGGTCTTTCTGTGATTCTTCCATTGTTGTGTTCTGGAAATCGTTTCTGATCATTTCATTCTAAGTACCTGAAGATTATTTAGAATGCTTTCATTTTCTGACAAGAGTCTTCCCTTCATTTGGTTTTCTACTTTTGCTCTCATGGTATTAACATGCTTTTTAAAGTCAGCTTGAGTATTTGCATGCTATGAAGCAATAACTTAAGGCTCTTTCATGCTCCCATTTCATTCAATGACATTTTTTCACTGGCTTCAATGGAAATGGAAAATGGTGGTCTTTAGGTTTGTACATTACTCTTCACATAACTGCCATTGTAGGAAATTTATTCTAAATCTACTTAATGTTATTTAAAGTGCCGCAACCTGAAAAGAAGATCCCTGAAAAGCGAAAACCAGTACCACCACCACCTGCTCCAAAAGAAGATATTAAACTGGCAAAAGATCTACTTAAAGGTATCATCGTCTGAAGCCATAAATAATGTTAGAAACTCAGTCTTTTAAAACTATACTGATGAACCTTGAAAAGCATGCTTTTAGAGTATAATTTTGTGTCTTTTTTATTTCTTTTCTAATATACTATACTTTAATGGTGCTCCTCACTAATGCTCAGTCCATCATGATTTTTTATCAGCGTTTACTTGGGTTCTTTTCAATAGTTACAGGAAAAAAAATATTAAAACAATTTTAATTAAGTTAACACGTTCTTCTATCCTTAACATAATTCTTCTCTCTTTAACATATTCTTACAAATGAAAAGAATCCCCAGCAATATTTTGCTTGCGTCATATGAACACAGGTTTCAGATCCATTGTGCTTCCTACATACCATCTGACTTTTTCTAAACAGTTGTTTGCAGCTTTTATCCTTCTTTTATATAAGTACTATTAATGAGGTGGTTGGTTTTTTTAGAAAATTCCTTTCTTCTTGGAGTCTAGTTTGTGTTGTAAAACTAAAATTATTTCCTTTAAAGCTCCTGAGGCAAGGAAGAAAGTTGTGGCTGCAAAACCCGGTGAGCCTCCAAAACTGGAACCCCCACCTGCTAAAGGTACCTAGCTAATACAAGAATCTAGCTTAAAATAAACCTCTCATGAGCCTGAAGTTGTAGTTCTCATTATCTTCTTGTATAATTTGTTCAAATATATTAAAATACTGTCTTTGTTAGATTATGCTCAACATGCATCCCCATCTTCAGCATATACGTTTGTGTTATATTTATGTCCACTTTAGTCTCCCATCATGCGATCTGTGAGATATAAGGGGCAGAAACATAGAGGAGTGAGAGGGGTTTTATGAGTTTTATCACTTGTTTAGGTGCTCACTTTGGTTTTATGCTTAGCTAGAAATGAAAAAAACCCCACTCTTTGAGTGTATACACCATTTTTTCAACATACTTCATTTATTATTTTTCTGAAATGTAATTTAATTTTGTGAGAGGACACTTTCTAGAGATGGGAATAAATAATGTATTGAGCAGGCCACTTAACAGGTATTCCTTTATATTATTCATATTTACTAGGGTTTAAGATAAATTAAGCAGCGAAGCAGTGGACATTCCTTCTTAATGCTGTTCCAAGTTTAGAGATTAAAGTTGTTCCTTATGAATATCACAGACAGCTCATATGAATAGATATGTAACATAAGTCTGTAGTGAAAGAGGACAAGGAAATAAAATGTTATGATGATGATTCTTCTTGAATACATAATCTTTATAGTTTTCTCAAACCATACTTCTGTTTATTTGTATGAAAACTTTATACATAAGCTTAGATGACAGCTGAATGCAAATTATGTAGAAAATATATTACAACTATTGGCTTCAATAGCAACAGTTTTACCTTTGATTTTAATATTCAGTTGTGAACTAGTCTTTGATTTGTGTGCTTGTTTGGGCATGCTAGTTGTTGGTTAACTCTTACTGCTGTTATGAACCTAAAATAAAATCTGGAATAATATTCTTTTAAGTGCCTGGACTTGTAAAGAAACCTCGCAAAGTAATTCCTGAGCCTACTCCTCCACCAAAAGAAGAAGTTGTTTTGAAAAGAGGTATAGTAACTTGGCTCTGTTTTTAAAAACCCAGCATTTTAACACTGATCAGCATATTCTCCTAAGTAAAATTGTTTAACTTGTCTGGTATGGAATACTACATGATCAAATACTATCTGATGTCTGTTTCTTAGGAAAAGCAGTTGTAGGAGAGAGGTGTAGCCTGAAATGATGCAAAGGATCTGTAGTGAAAACAGAGCAGAACAATGAAAATCTAGTTCCCTATCTCCCTCTAGTCCTTTGAGAGTCTTCCACTGCCCACAGTGTAAATGTTATTAAAGTTATGTTTGTAGTCTATGTATTCTCTGTTATGGTTTTCTTAGAAGTACCACACAGATCACAGAACCCCACAGTGCTGTTGCACATCAGTCCCATTTCCCACAAAGTCTGGGGCATTCTGAATCATTTTGTGCTCAACTATTCCTTAGAAGAATGAAGCACTAATTCCAATTCTCTTGGAAATACCGTAGGGGGTTGATTCATGCCTTGTACCTTCAAATTTTAGAAAAAATAATAAAATATAATATTCCATTTTTCAGATGACAATGTCATTACATACCCAAGATGAAGAACTGAGAGGCCAAAACCAAGTGAAATCAATAAAATGGAAAACAGATAATATAGAAATTTGAGCTCTCCAAATACAATACTTGAGGATTTTAGTATTGTTTTCTTACTGAAGTCAATGGGAGTTTAATCTATAATCCTGCATTCTGTCCCTAAAAATCATCTTTAACTAGTTTATAATTCATAATTACATATAGGAATTCATCATTTAAATGAGAGAATAAATACATAAGATATTACAAGAAATTTTATTCTATCACAGTCAGGTAATATTAAAATCTTTTCTCTCAGATGGACTGCTCTTAATAAAAATGTCTTTTTTCTTTAGATGACTAGACTTTTAAATTTCTGAATAGCATCTTGAATAGTTACACAAATCTTTCATTTCTATTGAGCTAGGTATTTTATTTTCCTGTTTCTTTATGATTGATGTTTTTAATCTTTGTCGTGTTCATTGTCTTATTCCTTTGTTTGCCTGTGCTTTAAAAACTGAGATGTCTTTTCTTTTGAAGTTCTTAAAAAGAAACCTGAAGAGGAGGAACCTAAACCAGAAAAAGAACCTAAACCAGAAGTTAAACCAGTACCTACACCAATAGAAAAAATTAAGAAGCCTGAAGGTACTAGATTACTATAAAATCTATTTATTAAATTATTAGTTTTTAAAATCCCATTATTAAGCAGTATTTTCTTAAGTTCAGGAATTTAATGAATATCTTAAAAGAGAGCTTTCATTGGCCTAATTGTGCAATTTAAGTCTTACCTGAAAGTGTAGCCAAGTTTGACATTCACTTTTGGGTCTGAATTCTGCATTTTGGTATTATTTCTCGATCTTCATTCTGTATAGAAAAGAGCTTTACAAATATTTTATATAATACTGATAAAAATATAACTACAGCAAAACAGTTAATCCAAGCATTCTTTTAGGTAACTTTTTGCAAATATCTGTCCTTAACCCATTTATAGTTTCTAATTTATTCAAATCTTACTCTAAGAAATATATATTCCTAAATCTTATGAACATCTGAAACTGTTCACATGTAAAAACAATGAAAACTTTTAAATATACTTGAGGGTATTATATTTAGGCATTTAAGGAGTTTTAATATATCTTACAAAATAAAAATATTATTTCAAAGTACCAGAAGTTCCTACGAAGAAAACTGAGATACCTGCCATAAAAAAAGAGGAGAAACCTGTGCCTGAACCACCAAAAGGTACAGATGTGTGGTGCTCCTTTTCCTTATTACAGCAACTAAATGATATTCAGTGCTGAATATCATGCTATATTAACATCATGCATTACTGTCTGTCATGACTACTGTGTCCTCGTTAACCATTTTGCAATCTTCTGGATTTCTTGTTGTCTTTATCCTTCAATGCTTGAAAAATTCATCTTTTTCCCATTGTTTGCAATCTTGTTTTATAAGAATTCATCTCAAGGTCATTTCTTGCTTTTTGGCCAAATAAAATAGAAACCAATAAATTTTGTCTTCATTTAGCTCTCTCTGTGTTGTTGCTCCTAACTTCTAATGCTCAATGTGACCGCAAAAAATGTAAACTAACCTACTTGTAATTTCTGTGTTTGAAATGGCAGAAACTAAGCCAGCGTCTGTCCCAGTTCCTGGGCCTGAACCTAAACCTGCAGTAGGTAAGAATTCTTTAGTCATGAATGCTTTAGTCAAGCCTTTCTTGTGCATCTAGTATTTTCTGTTCAGGGATTTCTTGCTAAAAGGATGTTCATAGAATCATAGAATACCAGGCTGGAAAGTGATTTCAAGGGTAATCTGGTCCAATCCTGGCAAAAGCACAGTCTAGATGAGTCAGCACCTTGTGCAGCTGAATATTAAAACTGTCCACACAAAGGCCTTTTGAATTAATAAGACTTTCCTACCATCTATGAAACATTTTCAAGATTATACTTGAAGTAATGTATTAAAACTTTTTTCCCCATACAGCTCTAAAATCTCCAAAACCAGCTGAAGAACCAGCACCCACTGTTACTGCTCCAGTGACAGCTCCAGTTGTTGGAAAGAAAGCAGGTATTTATGTGTATTCTATGCTATTTAGAAGGTTTTTCTCTGAAATACCTAAATACCTTCAGTATAAAAAGAGGGAAGAACTGTACAATAACTCATTAATTACAGGAAGATTTGAGGTCTTATTCAAGGATCTTGTTATTCTAGGTACTGTCACCCAATTTAAAACATCTCTGATATATTATGGAGACCAGTTTGTGCTCTTTTGTCTGGATGGTAATATGTGTGTCTTTATTTGTTGTCCTACTATGAAATTTGCATATTCTGTTGTTTTCTTGATGTTCCTCGTGTCCTGATATATGTTTTGTGAACTTTGTGATCTTGTATTTTGTGTGTAGACAGAGAAGTTACACATATCTCTAAACAGTTGTTGTGTTGTTTGGTTTCCTGCTTTTGGTTTGTCATTGAAACCCTGAGGAAAACTGACAGTGATGTTGAAGAATTAGAGTTTTGCTACTTTCATCTGCTATGCTTAGGACCCTGGAACAAAGCCTGCTGTGAGAAATAAAATCACATTTTGTGATTGTTCCTTTTCCTGTGAAACACTTGGAGCCTGTGCTCCACCAGCAGAGCCGATGTCCATTCTGCTCGCCCACCATTCAAAGGGCCTCGTGTTGCAGTAGAGCTCAGATCTTGGGCAGTTGAGAAGCCAAATCATTAATGTCTCTTGGCCACTGATATGTGATGCAGCCCGCAGGGGCACAATTAACCTATTTTATGTCAGTGACCAGATAGCTGTCATTTTCTGCCACTTTTAATTGGATTTTAATTGGTGATCTAATGAGACACTACTAATGTGGTTTACATAGGTTCTATGTTTGTGTGTAGTGTTCTTACCTTTCTTCCGTGGTAATGTTGTAAGTTTCTGTTGTGTAGAGAAAAAATGTTCTATGTTCGTTTTATTTCAGGTATAGCTGTAAAATTTGTCTTAAAAATATATTGTTCCTGATTCTTATTCTTACGGATTTTAACTCTCTAAATTACCATTACCTATGAAACCTTTGTAGCTGCAGAAAAGCCTGATGCACCATCTGTACTAAAGCATAGAGATAAAATGCCCTCAGTGGAAGAAGAAAAGCCTGAGTCAATTGTGTTAAAGAAGATTTTGGTTGAGAAAAGCTTGCATGTAAAAGAGAAAGTAAGTCCTAAGGAGACTGTTCCGGCCATAGAGCCACTTGAGTATAAAATCTCACTGGAAACAGCTGGTGGAATACTGAATTCAGAGACAGATGAACAGGAGAAAGTATCTCTTAAATATTTTGTCCTGCCTTCTGAAGAAGAGGAATCAGAAATGACACCTGTAGTTGCAGGAAAGACTACCCTTACAGGTGAGAAATTAGAAGTTGAAATGGATCACATTCTTTCCACAAAGGAGGAACTACCACTTCCTGATGAGGAAGTGAAAATGATTTCTGAAACATCTGAACATGTGGAAAGACATTCTGGAGAAGAAAAGGAGGATGAAATTAAATTCCTTGTTCATAGGGAAGATGCCATAGAGAAGGCCTCTGAAAAGTTTACTGTTCTTCATAAAGGAAATATTCCTGACCATGAAAAAGAAGAAGAAATTGAATCAACTTGTGTACCTAAACCCAGAAAGCCATATCAGCCCAGGGACCAGAAACATCTAAGAAAAGAGCAAAAATCAAAACAAAGTTTGCAACCTGAAAAATTTCACATTAAGGATGAAACTTCATTTGTACAGGATTTCATAGAGGCAGACACAGCTGAAACTGCTCAGCTTAGAAATGAAAATGAGAGAGGAGGTTTTACTCAAGAGAAATCTGAAGTTCCTCTTGTAGAATCCGTGAAGGGACATGGCATACAAAATAAAATTCAGAGGATGAAGCAATCTGGCAGCACAGTGCCTGAAATTCCTATAGATAAGATTCTTAGCAAAGAAGCAAAGAAAATAGAAGATATTCAAGATGATAAGAAAGATAAGAACCTGGATTTTACATCAGGAGAAGTACATTCCTTAGACCTGTATGAGGAGGCTCAGGGAGGATTTAGAAAACATGTTGACCTAGAGCAACCCACTGAAGATGAGGAGATTCCCAGAGAAAAACCTCACACAGTCTTTAAGCCATCTGTTCTTAAGTCAGAAGTAGTAGAAATGAAAGCAAGAGAAAAATACCCTACAGAGAAAGAAGTTCATTATGAGGAGGGTTTAGGACAATTGTCGGCTGAGAAAACACTCCTAAGCGATAAAAAAACAGGCAAGAAGATTATACCAGAGAAGGAAGAAAAAACTATCTTCAGCACCCACTTAAAAAAAGGCAAAATTAGACAGTCAAATGCCCCTGAAATTCTACCTGTGGAAAAAGAATTTGATACAGTGATTACAGGAGGAATGGAAAGTGAAGCTTCCATGGGAGAATATGAAAAGGGAGTCATATCTGAGTCAGTAAAGAAAGTTGCTATTCAGCCACCACAAAGTCAAGATGAAAAACAAATTCAAGAAGTTTATACCATTCAGGATGAACACAAAGAAACTCTAGCTCACAAAAGCAGAAAAGAAAAAATTGAAGAAAAGCAATATACAGAAGGTATATCAGATGAAAAAACATCACCTGAACATGGCATTGGAAAAAGCACATCTGGTACTATGAAAAAAGAGAAGGGAAAGCTCACAGACAAATTATCATCAAGCAAAGGGATCCTTGCAAATGGAGAAGGTACTTCCTCCTCAAGCATAGGTAAGGTAATAACTTCCAAGAAAGCAGAAGGAGAGAAAGAATACCAGAAATCAGAATCTGCTCACCTGACTGAGCAGGTCTCTAGACTTTCGAGTGAAAATAAGAATTTGGATGCACCTGGAGAGTCATATGAAGTTCTGGATGTTCCAGCAAAGTCTCATGCAAAGCGAGGTGAGGAAGACTGATGCCATATTCTTCCACGAAGTGCTTGTACCATTTGCTTCAGGAGAGCACCACCTGCCATTGTGTTTCAGTAACACCATTCACAATTCCATCAAGTCTGTCAGCCGGCTTTATTGGCATTCAGACACTCTTCACATGTTTGTCTTACCTGTCTGTACATACAGCTGTGTGATCACTGTTCATTGTCTTAGTCTTATACTTTTCTAAGACTTCATTTACCGTTCTGTGTACCATTGTCTTCTCAGGAAAACTCACACTTTTTTTCTAGTATTCATTTTTCCATCCACTGCAGTAAAATCTGTCCTGCATTTCATTCATTTCATTCTCCCATTAAAAGTATCTTTTATATTTCCTTTCACAAAAAGGTAGCAAGAGGCCTCATAGCATGGGTAATATTTTCAAAAGTCTGTGATGATTCATCTCAAATTAGATTAACAGAACATCCCTCACTTGTAAAAGTACTATGTTTTCTTAAAACATAAATTTAATTTACACAGTTTATATTTTTGTGGTGTTCATTGGTAAAAGTGTGTATGTTTTAAAAAAAATAAACAACCTCATCTAATTTTAATTGGCACTTAAACAGTTTTGGCTGACAGGTGGGTATTGATCAAAGGCCTAATCTTAAATAAAATGTCAAATAATGACAAAATTTTACAAATTAATGGGCAGGACAAAACATTAAGGAAATAGGAGCTTTTTGTTTTAAGCTGCCTGTTAGGCTCTACTGCTGAATATGGAATTCCTACACTTCAGGATATTGAACTTACTAGTGAGATATGTACAATATAAGTTCTATAAAAATAGAGATATATTTGTATCCTTTCCTCCCCTTTTACATGTAGGTAACTAAAAGAAGAAAAAAATCTAATAAGTAAAAGAAATGCTTGTCTTAGTTTATTGTATGTTTATTTAACTACATTCCTAATATTCTTGCTGTTCTACTTCAGAGCCCAAGCCACCAAAAGAAGAATCTCCGAAGGGTATCAGTCCAATCAAAGGTAGGGTATTACAACCTTGTCGTGGTTTAACTCCAGCTGGCAATCAGCCCCCACACAACAACTCACTCACTCCCCTATGGTGGGAGGGAAGAAAGAATAAGAAGCATAAAAGTGAGAAAACTCAGGGGTTGAACAAAAGCAGAGCACACAAACAAAGCAAGATAGGGAATTCATTCACCACTTCCCATGAGCAGAGATATGTTCACCCATATGCAGGACAGCAGGGCTCCATCCCTTGAAGGGCAAATGTCCTAACTCTGAATGCCCCCACCTCCACACACCCCCCCTTCCTTCTTCTTTCCCCTGCTTTATATACTGAGCATAACACCATATGGTGTAGGGTATCACTTTGCTCAGTTGGGATCAGCTTTCCTGGCTGTATCTCTTCCCAATTTATTGTGAACTCCCGGCCTTCAGAGCGGTGGGGCTATATGAGGAGCAGAAAAGGCCTTGGCTCTGCAAGCACCTCTCAGCAATCACAAAAACATTTCTATATTATCAAGACTGTTTTCAAAAACATTGCCCCAAACAGCCCCTTAGTAACTACTTAGAAGACAAATCTCTCCCAACCAAAATTATTACAGCCCACAATGCAAAGTAATTAATCAGGATTAGTTTATTAATTTCTGAATCTGAATTACAGCCAAGAAGACACCTTCACCAGCAGATGCAGAAAGAAGGAAACTCAGGCCAGGCAGTGGTGGTGAAAAACCTCCTGAAGAGCCTCCATTTACTTACCAGCTCAAAGCTGTACCACTGAAGTTTGTCAAGGAGATGAAAGATATAGTGCTAAAAGAAGCTGAGTCTGTTGGGTCTTCTGCAATCTTTGAAGTCCTTATTTCACCATCCACTGCAATTACCAGCTGGATGAAAGATGGAAGTAACATCCGAGAGAGCCCAAAACACAAGTTTATTGCTGATGGCAAAGATAGGAAGCTGCATATTATTGATGTCCAGCTTTCTGATGCTGGTGAATATACTTGTGTATTACGGCTGGGCAACAAAGAGAAGACCTCTACAGCCAAACTTATTGTTGAAGGTATTTCCTGTTTCAAATTTATCAATAGGCTAGCTACTCTTCCAACTAGAACTGGTGCTTCATAATTTTGCAGTAGTTGGTAGATGCATCCTTTTTTTTCCCCTTGATCACTACACATATTATATATTATATGTATTATTATACTATTATATAATATTATTATACCATTATATAATTATAATATACTATTATACTATTACTATTATATGTTACTACTATTATATACTACTTATATACTATTATATAGCATACTATTACACTATTACATATTATATTATATTATTATACTATTATCTATTATACTATAATATATAATATTATATAATGTCATGTGTCATATATATATCAATCAAAATCTTCTGTTTCCCACAGAACTCCCAGTGCGGTTTGTGAAAACCCTGGAAGAAGAAGTGACTGTGGTTAAAACCCAGCCACTGTACTTAACATGTGAGCTTAACAAAGAAAGAAATGTGGTCTGGAGAAAGGATGGTAAAATCATCAAAGCCAAGCCTGGGAAATTTGCTCTGGGTGTTATTGGTTTGTCACATTCTCTCACAGTCTCTGATTCAGATGATGCTGATGCTGGCACTTACACTGTTACTGTGGAGGACTCTGAACTATCATGCTCATCTTGTGTTAGGGTAGTAGGTAAGCACCAAAATCATGTTCTTTTTTTCTCTCTCTAGGATATTTGGGCTGCTGCAAAAACTACAAAATCCTTTTCTCATTGTCTTACAATATAAGTGAACAGATAAGATTTTTACAGCTATTAAAAGCTTGTAATACAAAATCTTTTAGTTCTTAATCTTTCTTTATGAGACATCTATTTGTAATAAAAGTCTGCTAAGCTGTTTTCTTGTGTAACTTTTTGTCATGCAGAAATTATAAGGGACTGGTTAGTAAAACCCATAAGAGACCAGCATGTTAAACCAAAAGGAACAGCTACTTTCAGCTGCGACATCGTCAAGGATACACCAAACATTAAATGGTTTAAAGGAGATGAGGAAATCCCTGCTGAACCGACTGACAAGACTGAAATCCTTAAAGAAGGAAATAAAATTTTCCTGAAAATCAAAAATGCTGGTCCTGCTGATATTGGAGAATATGCAGTGGAAGTTGAAGGTCGCAGATATCCAGCTAAACTGACACTTGGTGGTAAGGAGGCTTTTATTTGGATTATATTTATTCAGCTTGTAGGCCAATGTTGAAAAACTTCTAAATAAAAATAGCAAAAAAAGTGACCTGAATTATTATAAAGCTCTATCAAAACTTGATCTAATCATATATGTGTTCATGTGTGTATTGTAGAACGTGAAGTTCAGCTTCTGAAGCCATTAGAGGATGTTACAGTTTACGAGAAAGAAACAGCAAACTTTGATACAGAAATATCTGAAGATGATATTCCTGGTGAATGGAAGCTGAAAGGAGAAATCCTGAGACCTTCACCTGTGAGCATCCTTAAATTTTACAACAAGATTGATTTAAATTAAATACTGTGAACAACAGGTTCCTTCAATCTTTATGTTGTGTCATTGCTACTCAGTCCAGAATATATGACTGAAAATACTGATTCTTTAAGTAAGGATTATATTTTATTAAAGCTAAGTTTTGAAGGCCTTCACTTTCTTAAGGTGTTACAGCACATAATTCAAACAGTAATAGAAATATCCTACATATATTGTAGGAATGGTTCTGACATTCTAAAGAAGTATGGAATGCTGAAGAAATATACTCCATATTTTAATTATAAAGTAAAAGTGTTAACTTGCCTTGAAAAGCAATTTCATTCTTCCTACCTGACTCTTTACTGCATATGCAATGTTTATGAAAATCCTTTATTAAAAACATCTAGCAGCAAGGCATTTGCATTACACTGGTATTTGTATTTAACAAAGTCTGTCATCTCTCCAGACATGTGAAATCAAAGCTGAAGGAGGAAAGCGCTTCCTGACCTTACACAAAGTCAAGTTAGAGCAAGCTGGAGAAGTCCTTTACCAGGCCCTTAACGCCGTCACTACAGCTATCCTGACAGTGAAAGGTACAGTGCCCCACACAGGGAGACACCAGCTTAGACAGAGTTCACATGCAGCACTTTACAAATGATGTGTTGTCTTTTGCTTCCAGAAATCGAACTGGACTTTGCTGTGCCCCTGAAAGATGTCACTGTTCCTGAGAAGCGCCAAGCAAGGTTTGAATGCGTCCTTACCAGAGAGGCCAATGTTATATGGTCTAAAGGCACTGATATACTCAAGATCGGAGAAAAATTTGACATCATTGCAGATGGGAAGAAGCACATTCTTGTTATCAATGATTCTCAGTTTGATGATGAGGGAGAATACACTGCTGAAGTTGATGGCAAGAAGAGCACAGCAAGACTGTTTGTAGAAGGCAAGTATTTTCTCGTGAACAAAAGAATTAAAAAAAATCATAAAGACTATGCCTTTCAGGACAACGTTAGCCTTTTTTCTGATTGCATTTTTGTGTCTACATTACAGGTGTGAGGCTGAAGTTCATATCACCTCTACAGGATCAAACAGTGAAAGAGGGGGAAACAGCTCACTTTCAGTTTGAGCTTTCTCATGAAGACATGCCCGTGAAATGGTTCAAAAATGACAAGAGACTTCACACAAGCAGAACAGTTTTAATTACTTCAGAAGGCAAAGTTCATAAACTAGAAATGAGAGAAGTAACACTTGATGATATCTCAGAAATAAAGGCCGTAGTCAAGGACTTGAACACACAAGCCAACCTGAAAGTCTTAGGTAATTACATAAATAATTCAAAACCTGCTATAGAATTAATATTAGCCATTTTTATAAGTAGAAAGTGACAAAATATTGGTGTTTGAGTATATTTATGTAACTAATATATCTTATCCACTATGGCTTTTGTAGAGGCCGATCCATATTTCACTGTGAAATTACAAGACTACAGTGCTGTAGAGAAAGATGATATTACTCTGGAGTGTGAACTTAGCAAAGATGTGCCAGTAAAATGGTACAAAGATGGTGAAGAACTAATAGCTTCCAACAGAATTTCCATAAAAACGGATGGCTTGCGCCGTATCCTGAAGATCAAGAAGGCTGCAGAGAGTGATAAAGGTGTTTATGAGTGTGACTGTGGAACCGACAAGACAAGCGCCAATATCAGCGTTGAGTGTAAGTAATCATGTCTTCACGAAGGGAAAGTAATAAAACCTTTGTAAAGCAGTGTCACAGACAGACACTCTCTAGAGAGCAAGACCGAAAATGTACCTCTAGAAAGCATGCTGTTATGATGAATGGCTGAAATATCTAGATTTAAAGTTATTAAAAGTGATTACAAGAGACAATATATTTGATGATATATAAATAGCTATTATAAAGATAGTCATGACCACTTGCTCTCTCTGTCCAGTTGCCATCAGGAAAAAAAATCAGTTTAGTTCACTGTAACAGATATCTGGGCTAATCATTAGAAAAAAATATTTTTACCAAAAATAACTAAATTTTCAAACATATTGTGGAAGGAGGTTATAGACTGCCAACTTGCCGCTTTCTAGGAAGATGTTAGATAAACACTTACTAGTCATAGCATTTGAATGCCCAAAAGAAGGTAAAGGGAGAGACTTAACATGCTTTCCAGTATTATATTTGTATGGTATACCTTTTATGAGTAAACAGATGCAAACTTTTGATTTTTTTTTTTCCTTTTTAGCTCGCTTAATTAAAGTGGAGCGCCCACTGTATGGAGTGGAAGTATTTGTTGGTGAAACAGCACGCTTTGAAATTGAAATTTCTGAGCCTGATGTCCATCCTGTATGGAAGCTAAAGGGAGAAACCCTAACACCTTCACCTGTAAGGATTATTCTTTGTTTTTAGACCATAATTTCCTGTAGAAAAACATAATAAAGAATAGTGTTTTCTTAGTGGTTTTATAGAATATTAATATTTGGGGTGGGGTGTGTTTCTTTATTACCAGGACTGTGAAATCATTGAAGATGGGAAGAAGCATATTCTTGTCCTTCATAACTGCAAACTTGATATGACTGGAGAAGTGTCTTTCCAAGCTGCCAATGCTAAAAGTGCTGCTAATCTGAAAGTGAAAGGTACAGTCTGCACTAGGCCAACATTTCCATGTGTATTTCAGGGCATGAGAACAAATCTAGTGTCAGAAAGCCCAGTATGAACTGATCTGAAAGAGCTCTTCTTTGATTTCAGAACTGCCTCTGATCTTTATCACTCCACTAAGTGATGTGAAGGTCTTTGAGAAGGATGAAGCTAAGTTTGAATGTGAGGTATCCAGAGAACCCAAGACTTTCCGCTGGTTGAAAGGAACAGAAGAGATCATTCCTGATGAAAGATTTGAAATTATTTCTGACGGAACAAAGCATGCTCTGATTATTAAATCTGTTGCCTTTGAGGATGAAGTAAAATACACATTTGAAGCTGAGGATAAAAGAACAAGTGCCAAGCTAATTATTGAAGGTTTGTTAGTCTTTGTCTTTCTAGGAAAGTTTTGCGTCATGTTCTCACATGGTTTACATTGCTAACGTTGTGACATGTTACTTTGCTATAGGTATCCGCCTGAAATTCATCACTCCTCTCAAGGATGTAACAAAGAAGGAGCGAGAAACTGCAGAGTTCACTGTGGAACTCTCCCATGAAAATATCACCGTGGTCTGGTTCAAGAATGACCAACGATTACACACCAGCAAAGTTGTTTCAATGACAGATGATGGCAAATTCCATACACTCACAATCAAAGATCTTACTATTGATGATACTTCTCAGATAAAAGTGGAAGCTATGGGCAAATCCTCAGAAGCTAAACTCACTGTTCTTGGTAAGAATACCCAAAAGAATTTACCTGATGTATGTTATCAGAAGAGTTTTATTAATAAAAATTAGCAATCAGAAAGTCTTGGGGTTTGCCTAAATTTAAATGATGATTTTGAAATCTAACAATTTGTTTTTCTTCTTTGGGTTTCCATTTACCTATTCACAAAGGATGATTACAATAATTTTTAAATTTCATGCATAGTTGCAAAGTAAGTAAGGAAGTACTTAAAACAGTGCTCTAAAACTCCTAGAACATCAAAACAGTATCATCAGTAATATTAGTAATGCCTCAGATTGTTTCTTAAGTGTTCATTGTTTTCTTTTTTGTAGCAGAACTTGAAAAAGGACTACATTTAATCCTTCTTGCAGGATATAAACAGGAAATATATTTTGTGGTAGAAACTAGTTGGTTTTTTCTGGAAGACTAAAACTTCAGACTGAAATATATCTTAACTTTTGCTTGCAGAGGGAGACCCTTATTTCACTGGGAAGCTGCAGGATTACACTGCTGTGGAGAAAGATGAAGTAATCTTACAATGTGAAATCAGCAAAGCAGATGCCCCAGTGAAATGGATGAAGGATGGCAATCCAATTACTGCATCAAAGAATGTCGTTATTAAGGCCGATGGTAAAAAGAGAATCCTTATTCTCAAGAAAGCTTTGAAGAAAGACATTGGACAGTACACTTGTGACTGTGGTACTGATCAAACCTCTGCTAAACTTGATATTGAAGGTATGATTGTTTTAATGGGTTGCTCTGTAGAGACCTTTTGGGATCTGCTAGAGACTGAGGGAGCCAATCACCTTTTTCTTCTCCAGACCGGGATATTGAGATTGTACGACCACTGTACAGTGTGGAGGTGATTGAGACAGAGACTGCCCGTTTCGATATTGAAATCTCTGAGGAAGGTGTCCATGGCAATTGGAAACTAAAAGGAGAACCTCTGACTGAATCAGCTGTAAGCAAATATTTCATGATATTTTTTCTGTGTTTCTCAACACTTTGCAGGGAGATGGGAGAGAGTGACTGCAGAAACTAAACTTGATCTCTTTTTGCTTTCAGGAAGAGTCACTATATTAAAAATAGGGGGTTTTAAGATTAATAATGTCTTAAATGTAGTACAAATGTAATCTGAAATAGCTAAATAATAAATTATTTTTACATAAAACGGTACATTCTGCATTGGTAACAATACCTAGCAGTCATGTATCCAAAGCACAAAGACCTTGTGGAATTCACTTAAACATAATGACATTTAAAAATGTAATCTTCAGATTCCATGCTTTTTCCTGTGGGTTTTGAGTTATATTTGATTTAAATAGATGCAGATCATGTTTCCAAACTCTTTTTAATTTCTGTGACAGCTACAATAGGTGTATAAATGGTTTAGAGCTTAATCAAATATTATAAACTCCTTGCTGGAAGGATCTGGAAAATAATGAAACAATACAATCACAATTGGCATTAATTTGGCTTTTATGTAATTGCACAAATGTGAATAATACACAAAGATCAGAAATTACATGAAAATCACTGTCTGGATAAAAGAAGGAAAGGTCTTCTCAAGGAAAGGTCACAGCACAAACTTAGCAATTTCTAGTTTCCTTGGGGGAGTTATGCCTCTGTCTGGTGTACATATATATTAATATATTGGCTACTCAGTCAGCACAGAAATGTGTTGCCTCTTGCCCTTAGTTTCCAAGAGGAAGCTGACTGTATTAAGGAGAGAGTTTGAAAGGAAAGGCCTGTCAATGAATGTTTATAATGTATATTTCACATAGGCCTAAGAGTTGTGAATGGAGTAGAAGAAAACAGATGCATGCCATTAGAACTAGGGGCTCTTTCAGCAAGTAGCATGAAGAAGATACTGAAAAAATTATATCAATTCTGTTTTTGCAGGAATGTGAAATCAAGGAGGAAGGAACAAAGCACTTCCTTACATTGTACAATGTACGCTTAGATCAAGCTGGTGGAGTAGATTTCCAAGCAGCTAATGCCAAGTCTGGTGCTCACCTGCGAGTGAAACGTAAGTGTCTTTTGAACTGAAATTAATTGAATAATTAAGTGAAAACATGGTACTCTCTGCCTCTTTGGAGTGGGTGGAAAATCTCTATACTGTATGGAACCCACAGCAATCCTTTCCAGAACAGCAACTCAGGGATTAGTTACTCAGGTTGTTCCTAATTTTTTTTTGTTAAGGAATGTTCTAGGTGTTTTTTAATCTTATATATAATTTATTCATATAGGAGAAGTAAGATTAAGGAGATGGCCTTGAAGGCTGCTTGATGGTCTGGCATCATATATGCTGTTATGAAATCAAATATTACAAGCAAAGGCTCTGCTGCATCAAAGTGTCACGTTAACTGGAGAGGATAGGATAACAGTGATATCTGGGGATAGGGTTAAGAGCTTGATGGACAGGGACAGACTACACGGTTGAAGACCACTTGTTTCCCACTCCAATCCTAGCCCTCGCTATTTTGGAAACACATGCCTTATCTAGCAACAGGCATGCAAGGCTTGGCAAGGGGACAGATGCAGAGCAACTTTCCTGCTGACCTTGTTCAATTTAAAGAAACACACTCTGCAAATAGGAAATTGTAGGTGACCAGCCCTCCCCTAAGATCCCAGGGTGGCCTCTTCTATTTAGGGAATGTAAAGAGCAGCATTGCGATGTCTGGCTCTCTTGAGGGAAGCCACCATGGAGATTAGTACTTAAGGGCAGCAGCTCTCTCTTGGGTAGAAGTGACTAATCTAAAAATTATGTCTTCTCCTTACCAAGCTCGAGTAATTGGCTTGCTGAGACCTCTCAAGGATGTAACAGTAACAGCTGGAGAATCAGCAACCTTCGATTGTGAACTCTCTTATGAGGGAATCCCAGTAGAATGGTTCCTGAAAGGAAAGAAACTGGAGCCCAGTGATCAGGTAAAGAAACTAAACTTTACTTTTTCTCCTGTTTCCTCCTCCTTCTTCTCTTTCAAGTCTCTTCCCCTTCTTCATTTCTTATTTGTTCTCTGCCAATTGAAGTACTAGGGTGCATTATTGTAGTACTGCTGTGTCAAATGCTAAATCACATGCAGCAGTTTTTCCCATAAATTCCAGTGTTCTGGGAAACTACAATTATTTATTATACGAAGGGAAACTAAGGTTCCAAAATATCAATCATTACAACAGTGATTTTGTACCTGATTCTGTTGGAGACTTAGCCACAAAGGTACTGAATAATATTTGCTCAGGTTACCTGTGGCTGCAGTGAGAGGATTTTGAAAAGTAAAAGGCTTTTTTTCTCCTGAAAGCTGAGTTGCAGTCCAATTCAACATATAAGGGGATTAAGAGGATTCAAATTCCATTTCAGGCATTTGTTCTGGCTCTCCAGATAACTCTCTGGGCAGATTCGCTTGTCAAGCACTTCTCACTAGCTATTTTTAACCCTTAATCAAGTGCTGGCTCTTAACTCTGAGATCTGAGCAGCCTGGAATGCAATCAATTTAATGTTTAAAGTTAATGGTAGGGGAAATAAAGAAAGAAAGATAAATTAATACATTAAGGAATGGAGATGGTTATTATTGGTTGTGAGACTTCTTTTTCACATGCTAGGCCTAAAATAGTAATGCAAATTCAAATAAATGTGGGAAAACTAAGACAAAGTAAACTTTCAAGGCACTTCATGACCTAGTGAAGTTTCAGAACCTGTAATAGTGTTGCTAATAATACTGTGGTATTATTATTTCTTTTAAATACGATTTGTAACGTATTTTTTTTCTAGATTTTCTAGGTTTTGCTAGATCTTTCTGAGCTTTAAGAAATTTGCATAAATATAAACTATTTAATAAAAGAAATAGAATGTAGAAATAGGAAAATCAAAACTGTTCATAATGATAAGGGTCCCTGTTACAGTATTTAAACATAAACAAATGTAGTAAGTAGTAGTAAGTAGTGAAATGTAGTTGTAGTGTAAGTAGATAAACAAAGTTGAAACTCTGCAGATGAGTCATGAAATAAATCAAGACAATTCTGAGCTTCAGAATAAAAATGTGAAAAGCTATTGATCAGTGCAGTGGACTGATAGTTATGATTGCCTGGCAAGAAAAATACGCGTTTAGTATTCTGTATGATGGAACATTATTTTGGTCTTTTCCGTCTGAGCTATTATTTTAATTAGGTGAAAAAATAAAAGTCAGACTTCATATAGTTTACATATACAGTCAAAACTGTCATTTGAACAGTTGAAACTTTATCAAGATGAAATTGCGAGTAAACATATACTTATTCAATGCACCACTTTCTAGCATTTAAAATAGCCTCTTGAAACACATTTACAACTTTCTTTAAGAATCAATCTAATTGTACAAGTGTTTCATTTTAGCTGTTTCTAATTCAAATGGTTTTATTACCTATGTGGCTGGCATTCAGCTGAATATTTATAACCTTTATTCATTGTACTGACTTTTTTGTTTAATGCGATTGCAAAGTAGTTTCTGCAATAAATCATCACAGAAACTAGTCTTTTAGGCAGATTTTTTTACCAAATTTTAATTATAGAAAATCAAATTGGCATTTCCAGAGAAGTGTATGTGGGGGGTGCCAAACCTCTTCACAGCTGCAAAAGTTTTTACTTTTCATGTAGCCAGCAGTAATGCCAGCTTTTCCCATAAATTTGCTTATTTTTTTGTATAAATTAATAAATGTTCAAAGCAGACATCATCTCAAATCAGCCCCAAAATTCTCAGAGCCTTGAGGATTGAGCTAAATCTAGTATATACAAAAGGAAGTTGTCAAAATTTCACATGAAAGTGGACAAACAAACTCCAGAAATCATAAATAGCATGCTATTTCATTAAATAGTTCTTAAATACTTGTTTAGATGTTCACAAAGGGCTTTTTATGTGTTTTGTAAGGTTGTGACCCGTGCTGAAGGGAGAGTTCACACACTTGTTCTTAGAGATGTCAAGTTAACAGATGCAGGAGAGGTATCACTGACAGCAAAAGATTTCAGAACTCAAGCAAATCTTTTTGTGAAAGGTAAGTCAGTCATTTTAGTTAAAACATAATTGGCATTAATGGCCCATTCATGATTCATCCTGGAATAGGAAGCTAATAGACACTATTTATCGAATGAGTGGGGTCATGTAAACAATATTCAACTGGTTGGTAACTTCCCTGGTTAAAAAAGCCACCTACTTAAAATCTCTGCATTTTATAGAAGAGCTGAACAAGAGAACATGCTGGAAATGGGTCAAATCTGGGAGATGAACCAGTTCATTAGGGTTTGCAGGGCTTTGCTGCAGATTTGAACATTCAATTGGTCTCAAGAGGACCCAGGAATACCAGCCTCTGTGGCTCTCAGTGGCTTTTTTTGTTCTTTTGAATATCCAGAAACCTGTGAGAGTCATCATCAGTCAAGGGACAACACAACATTGTCTGTATACCCACTTGTACTGCTTGCAAGCTGTGTTATTAAGTAAAAGAACTGCACACACTGATCCAGTAATTCAAGGAAATATTGAAAAAAAAAACCCTAAGCATTCTCTTAAGTTCACAGTCTAACTTCAGAGTCATTGAGATTACGTGGGTATGGTTCAGCTAAAGAAATTGGGTTTCAAGGCTTTGTGATGATTTTTAATTAATGGCCCCATGGACAAGGTATCATTCAGTCTAATCTTACAGTAGACTGAAAATGAGGAAATTACCTGAATTAATAAAAAATGTCTGTGTATCAAAAATAAAAGATGTTTTAAGAAACCTTCAATAGGGACATCTAAGAGTCTTTTTGATTATTCAGTCAAGGAAAATTAGTAAACAGCATGGGGCAGTTCTGTACAAACAGAAGACTGGCTATAATTTACATCTTTTCTATCAAAAACGTATCTGTTTCTTTTAGAACCCCCAGTTGAATTTACTAAACCACTTGAGGACCAGACTGTTGAAGAAGAAGCCACTGCAGTACTGGAATGTGAAGTTTCCAGGGAAAATGCAAAAGTTAAATGGTTCAAAAATGGAGAAGAAATTCACAAATCAAAGAAGTATGATATCATTTCTGACGGCAGGGTCAGAAAACTCATCATTCGCGGCTGCACACTGGATGATGCAAAAACATATTCTTGTGATGCTAAGGATTTTAAGACATCATGTTTTCTCAATGTGGAGCGTGAGTAATTCAATTTTCTACAAAATTCCTAGGTGTTGTAAAGGCAATGTATTAGTGTCTGACTGGCAGTAGTATAATGTTGGCAGTTTTTTACTTCTCTACCGCAGACTTCCCTCTACTAAAAATTTTCTATTCTCTTACAGCTATTCGTGTCGACTTCCTCAAACCCCTGACTGACCTTGAGGTTAAAGAAAAAGAATCTGCTCGGTTTGAATGTGAAATTTCTCGTCCAAATATCAAGGTCTGTAGTGAGACTTTTTAATCTCAGTAACTCCTTCAGCTGGAAAGCTTTGTCATATTGCTATAAAAGAACACACTGAAATGTAGGGTGAGCATGTTAATAACAATGTTCATTTGTTCTGAAACAGGTGAAGTGGTTTAAGGATGGCATGGAAATTAGAAAAGGCAAAAAGTATGACATAATTTCTAAAGGTGCAGAGCACATTCTTGTCATCAGTAAATGTGTCTTTGATGATGAAGCTGAATATTCCTGTGAAGCAAAAACAGCTCGAACTTCTGGCCTACTTACAGTGATAGGTAAACACAGTGTTTTAGAATCTGTGAACAATAAAAAAAGTGAGAGTGGGTTTTTTTTGTGGCAGGCTTTAATCATCTTTTGAAATTCTTTTTGCAGAGGAAGAGGCTGTGTTCACAAAAAATCTTCCTGATCTTGAAGTAAATGAAAATGACACTGTAAAATTGATCTGTGAAGTTTCAAAGCCAAATGCTGAAGTTACTTGGCTTAAAGGAGATGAAGAGGTGCCTGATGGTGGTAGATTTGAACACATTTCTGATGGTAGAAAGAGAATTCTTGTTATACATAATGCTCATCCTGAAGATGCTGCCAAATACACTTGCAAGCTCCCAAGCTCTAGTACAACAGGGAAACTTACTGTACATGGTAAGAGTGCTACTTTGGTTGGCTTGTATCCTGGAAAAAAAAATTTAATTAAAAACGTTAAAAAATCAGTAATAATACACAACTTGGTTTACTCTATTCACAAGTAAAAAATAATATATATCTAAAAAAAATGTTTTCTTTCAGAACTTGCAGCAGAATTTCTTACCAGACCACAAAACCTTGAGGTGCTTGAAGGAGAAAAAGCTGAATTTGTCTGTTCAGTATCCAAAGAAGCCATTACAGTGCAGTGGCTGAGGGATGGCGTAGTTTTGGAGTCTGGTGATAAGTACGACATCATTTCAGACGGCAAAAAGAGAACTCTTGTGGTTAAAGACTCTGTTCTAGGAGACAGAGGAATGTATACTGTCATGGTTGGTGAAGCTAAAGCTACAGCACATCTAGAAGTGATTGGTAAGCTTTATTTTGTCAATGTGTATGGGCTTGTTTTGTTGCATTCTTTATACTACATGATGTCCTATTCCTTCTGTTTTCTCAATTTCAGAAAAACTCAAGATTATAACTCCTCTTAAGGACCAAGAAGTTAATGAGTGTCAAGAAATTATCTTCAACTGTGAAGTCAATAAAGAAGGTGCCAAAGAGAAGTGGTTCAAAGATGATGAGGCAATATTTGATAGTGCAAAGTACATTATTGTTCAGAAGGGTGTAGTCTACACTCTCAGAATCAGAGATGCAGAGTTGAAAGATCAGGCTACCTACACCATCTCACTGACAAACCAGAGAGGTGAACACGTTAAAAGCTCTGCTGCCTTGAAAGTTTTAGGTAAGTGACTTGCACTACACTGAATTTTTTTCATTATTTACGTTCAATTTCATATGAGGATCTAAAAATGTTTGCCTTTTTGTCATAACAGAGGAGGATCTCAGAATTGTTGAGCCCCTTGAAGACATTGAGACCATGGAAAAGAAAACTGTCACATTCTGGTGCAAAGTTAATCGCCTCAATGCAACTCTCAAATGGACAAAGAATGGAGAAGAGATCACATTTGACAGGCGCATTTTGTACAAAATTGATAAATTCAAGCACTCATTGATCATTAAAGACTGTGGGTTTGTAGATGAAGGTGAATACACTGTTACTGCTGGACAAGACAAATCAGTTGCAGAGCTTCTCATCACTGAAGCACCAGCAGATTTCACTGAACATCTTCAGGACCAGACTGTCACTGAATTTGATGATGCTGTCTTTACATGCCAGCTTTCCAAAGAGAAAGTCAGTGTAAAATGGTACAGAAATGGAAGAGAAATCAAAGAAGGCAAAAAGTATGTACATTTTATTGTGCTTCTGAATGTGCTAAAAATACTTGTTTTACTTTATTGCTTTGTCTGGAAAATAAAATACTGCTTATTTTTCTCCCCTATAAAGATACCAGTTTGAAAAAGATGGAAATCTGCACAGATTAATCATAAAAGACTGTAGACTAGATGATGAGTGTGAATATTCCTGTGGAGTGGATGACAGGAGATCTAGGGCAAGACTTTTTGTTGAAGGTATGTGTAAAATTGGATGGGATTTGTTTCTACATTATTTAATAATAGTAGAAACAATAAACAAATAACACCAAATTAACATTTATTTCAGAAATCCCTGTTGAGATTATTCGACCACCACAAGATATTTATGAAGCTCCTGGTGCAGATGTCATCTTCATGGCAGAATTGAACAAAGATGGTGTGGAGGTCAAGTGGTTGAGAAACAACATGATTATCATCCAAGGTGACAAACATCAGATGATGAGTGAAGGAAAGGTCCACAGGCTGCAGGTGTGTGACATAAAGCCCCGTGACCAAGGGGAATACAGATTTATCGCCAAAGATAAGGAAGCTAGAGCTAAGCTTGAATTAGCTGGTAAGTTGCTTGCTTTGTGCTTCTTTCATAAAATCTTAATTAGTGAATTTAATTTAACTAAATTGATTTTTGCTCTTTCAAACAGTTGAACTAAAATGAATACACAGTCAGCCTGAAAAAAGTGTTAAACTATTTGATGTTTGTTTAACAATTCTGTAAAACTGTATGAATATGAATTTAAACAACAAACATTTTTTGTTATACCGTGCTGATCCAGCTGTTGAGGAAAACATGTCACTTTTCAATGTGTATACTTAAGATTTAAGATTTAAGCTTTTAATTAAGTCACTAAAAAAAAAAGGAAATTATTTTGCCTGTTCATTTAAGTCATATTATACATATAATTCCTAATTTTTCTATTTTACAGAATAATTAAATTAGTTCTCAAAAAGCAACTCCTTCTTTGCTGATTTTATAGCAGGACATAGTACATACTAACCAGCCTGTATTTCTTTCTCTGGAGCTGTCCAACAAGTACATGAAGGATTTTCTTAGTGTTTGCACAGCAGCTCCTTTTACTTTTCTGTGTTAGCTTCTTTGCTGATTGCACAAATACATTGATTTTTTATATATGTGTGTGCTAGTACTGACTTTTCACATTCATCTTTCTTAGCTGCACCTAAAATCAAGACTGGTGATCAAAACCTTGTGGTTGATGTTGGGAAACCTTTAACTATGACTGTCCCATATGATGCCTACCCAAGAGCAGAAGCTGAATGGTTGAAAGCAGGGGAAAGTCTTCCCACAACAACTGTTGATACAACAACTGACTGCACTACCTTCAAAATTTATGAAGCAAAGAAATCAGATAAAGGAAGGTACAAGGTTGTGCTTCGAAACAAGCATGGCCAGGCAGAAGCATTCATCAATGTCGAAGTCATTGGTGAGTACTCATATTATTAAAACCTTGCTTACCACTATTTCACAGAGTAAAAAGCCTTTTTTGAGGGGGAAGCCCTCTGCTTCCCCTCATGGGAAAGATGTAGATTATCTTGAGGTCTCCCCTCAGATTCCTCTTCTCAAGCCAGAGGGGAAAAAGCAGGTGCAATGCCCTGAAGTATTGTTATGTCTTTAACAGATGTTCCAGGTCCAGTTAGAAACTTGGAAGTCACTGAAATTTATGACGGTGAAGTTGGTCTCGCATGGCAAGAACCAGAAAGTGATGGTGGAAGTAAAATCATAGGCTACGTGGTTGAAAGGCGTGATATCAAGCGTAAGACCTGGATCGTGGTCACAGATCGTGCTGAAAACTGTGAATACACTGTTACTGGACTTCAGAAAGGAGGAGTTGAGTACCTCTTCCGTGTTAGTGCACGCAACAGAGTGGGCACTGGTGAGCCAGTGGAAACAGACACACCTGTGGAAGCTAAGAGCAAATTTGGTGAGCTGAAGTTATGAGAAACTCAGTGTTTGATGGCTGTGTAAAAAAAGCAGTACAAATTCTAACAATAGGTAAAACCTACATACCTTCTTTTTCCTTTTTCCCCCTAAAATAAAATGCAGATGTTCCTGGTCCTCCTCAAAATGTAGAAGTTACTGATGTGAACAGGTTTGGAGCCACACTTAGCTGGGAACCACCTGAGGATGATGGAGGGTCCCCCATTACTGGCTATGTTATTGAACTGCGTAACAGAGCTACCATCAGATGGGAGCCAACTATGACCACAGGACCTGACGAACTGACAGCTGTCCTGACTGATGTTGTGGAAAATGAAGAATATTTCTTCAGAGTAAGAGCTCAAAACATGGTTGGAGTTGGAAAACCAAGTCCTGCTACACGTGCAGTAAAAATCATGGACCCAATTGGTGAGTATGCAAAGTATGTATAATTATGATTGCATTATGAGACAGGAGCATTTTGGATGCTATGTGTGCAGGAAAATTCAGTTCATGAATGTGTGTGCTGCAAATACTGTGTACAGTATATTTTCCCTATTTTTCTCCTTCAAACTTAGCAGGAGTACCTTGCTACCACTTGGTCTAGTAAGAACTGCAAATGTTTTTTCTCTGAAGTTAGGATGCAACCTCAGTTTAAAAAATGAGTTCAGAAAAAGCTGTGCAAAGGCTTTAAAAACTGTACCATAAGATAGAAGCAGTTAATTTGCAGAACCACGCTCCTTTATCAGTTGCATGAATCTGTTTGTCTCAAATTTTTTCCAGAGAGACCAAGTCCTCCCATTAACCTTGAGCATTCAGATCAAACTAAGTCATCAGTTCAGCTCACGTGGGAACCCCCTCTTGAAGATGGAGGAAGTCCAATTTTAGGCTATATTATTGAAAGGCAAGAGGAAGGAACAGACAAGTGGATTCGTTGTAACCCAAAACTAGTACCTGCTCTTACATTTAAGGTAAAACGTTCCCTTCATCAACAGGTGAAATGCGTAGATCATCTTTGATATGAGGTAGTAAATGATTGTTTGTGCATTTTAGGTAACTGGATTGAAACAAGGATCCAGTTATTACTACAGAGTCTCAGCAGAAAATGCAGCTGGTGTGTCTGATCCAGCAGAGGCTATTGGGCCATTAACTGCAGATGATGCTTTTGGTAAGCCACATTCTATTTCTCAAAAACCATTAATCACATAAGGCACACAATTAAAGTGCATCTTGTGGGTAATATGTATATTTTTCACCAGATAACTGGCACACCTTAGACATTTGAGATCATGAGCTATTTTTTCTCCATTATGAATTCTGCAGATAATTATCTGTACTATGATCTAGAGGCCTGTTAGGTTGCCAGAGGAGCAAGGCATGACCTTTTGTCTCCTGATCTACCTCTGTGGAAAGTAAGAGGTAACAGAAGGAAAGACAGGCAGAGAAGATACCTAAAAAAAATATTAAAGAATGCAAAGTTTTTACATTAAAAGGTAAATTGGATGTCATACTTTGTAATACTAATCTCCCTTACTATCTCATATATTTTTGAAAAAACAGGAAACATTTAGCCGGGAGAGGCAGGGAGTCATAAGACAAATCTAGGTCTAGACAGGCTGAGATGCAGCAAGCTAGACCTGCAGGCTGAGATGCAGTCAGAATCAGCCTCTCAACGCAATTATCATTAGCTGTGCTCATAAGATCTTAAAGTAATTTATTGAACCCATGTTCCATTTTTTCCAGTTGAACCTACAATGGACCTGAGTGCATTTAAGGATGGACTGGAAGTTATTGTACCAGAGCCAATCAAGATCCGTGTTCCCATCACTGGGTACCCCGTGCCAACAGCCACATGGTCTTTTGGTGACCAAGTCTTAGAAGAGGGTGACCGTGTGAAAATGAAGACCACTGCCTCCTTTGCAGAACTTGTAATTACTCCGAGTGAGCGCCCAGACAAGGGAATTTATTACTTAACATTAGAAAACCCTGTGTCATCTGTTTCAGGAGAAATTAATGTTAATGTCATTGGTAAGTGAACATGTTTTAGCAATAACATTCCATATTTGTCTTGCTAAAATCTAATTAGGTTAATAATGTATAATCTTACAACATCCAACCAAGTTAATTAAAATATAGGTAAAAACTAGAAATCCCTCCTCAAAAAACCTTCTTTTCTAGTTTTCAAAATGTAACTTTGCTGTTTAAAGAGGAATGACTTAATAAGACTAAATCTTCTGGTAAAGACATTACATAGAGATCATCTATCAAACACCAATTACAAAATAATGCAATTTCTGTGACTTCTAGCTTGTCCGAGTGCACCAAGAGAGCTCAATGTTTTAGAAGTACTCAAGAGTACAGTGCAGCTCGCATGGGAACCTCCAGAAGATGATGGTGGAAGCCCAGTTACCGGCTATATAATTGAAAAACGTGAAGTAAGCCGGAAAACGTGGAGCAAAGTAAGTTCATTCTTTCTCATTTAAGTTTCTATTGCTGTATTATTTTCACTTGTGCTGCTGAGTTTTGTGTCTCATTTTTGTGATCGCTCTTTGTAAATAAATTTTAAAAATTCGTTGGACTTCATTCCAATTACATTGGAACCTTTCTCCTCTTTAGGTTATGGATCATATTGTTGACCAAGAGTTCACTGTACCTGACCTCGTCCAAGGGAAAGAATATTTATTTAGGGTTTTTGCATGCAATAAATGTGGCCCTGGAGAACCTGCATATATTGACGAACCTGTAAATATGTCAATACCAGCAAGTAAGCATATTTGAAATTTTGCTGATTTTTTTCAAAATAAGATATAAAAATAATGTATTTTCCTTAGACTGGTTTCTAATACTCCATATGTTTTTAATATTTAATAGCGGTGCCTGACCCCCCAGAAAATGTTAAATGGAGAAATCCAACATCCAAAGGAATCTTCCTAACATGGGAGCCTCCTAAATATGATGGTGGTGCACGCATTAAGGGTTATCTGGTAGAAAAATCCCAACGTGGCACAGACAAGTGGGAGATCTGTGGGGAGCCTGTTATTGAAACAAAGTAAGTAAATCAACACAGTAGACATATCCTCTTAACTAACTGTGCTGTCTTCACCACTCTAAATATTTGAATTTTTTTTGTTTTTGACAGAATGGAAGTAACAAAGCTCAAGGAAGGAGAGTGGTATGCTTATCGGGTTAAGGCTTTGAACAGAATGGGAGCAAGTAGGCCAAGTAAGCCAACAGATGATATTCAGGCCATTGATGCAAAAGGTAACTACTTCACTTGCTGAATTCCCATAGCTGCTTTATTTCTACCAGTCTCTGAAATACTGTTTCTCTAACAACATTTTCATTCTCTCCTAAACCAGAGGCTCCAGAAATTTTCTTAGATGTGAAGCTTCTTGCTGGACTTACTGTGAAAGCTGGAACCAAAATTGAGCTGCCAGCTAAAGTGACTGGAAAGCCTGAACCCCAGATTACTTGGACCAAGGCTGACAAAATTTTGAGACCTGACAACAGAATCACCATTGAAAGCCAACCTAATCATTCTACAGTCACTATTACAGACAGCAAGAGGAGTGACAGTGGAACCTATATTATAGAAGCTGTAAATTCCAGTGGACGTGCTACTGCTGTTGTTGAAGTTAATGTTCTTGGTATGCATGTACTTTATGTTGTTTACATAAATCATTAGTAATGTACCAAGGTATGCAAGCAGAAAATTAATACTCACATCTTGTCCTCTACAGATAAACCTGGTCCACCAGCTGCGTTTGATGTATCAGAAATCACAAATGAATCCTGCCTTCTAACCTGGAATCCTCCACGAGATGATGGGGGCTCTAAAATTACCAACTACGTCCTTGAGAAAAGAGCTACAGACAGTGAAATATGGGACAAGTTGTCATCAACTATTAAAGATACAAAATTCAGAGCTACCAATTTAACTCCTCATAAAGAATACGTGTTTCGAGTCAGTGCTGAAAACATGTATGGTGTTGGGGAGCCAGCACAGTGTAGCCCCATCATTGCCAAATATTCATTTGGTTAGTTAATTAAATTAATGATAAATTATTACAGTATTTTAATAGGAAGGAAAAAAAAAACCCTGTCTGATGATTTTGGTTTTTGGTTTTTTGTTTTTTTAATTAACTTATACAGATCCACCAGGCCCTCCAACAGGTCTCAAGCCTACAGAGGTCACTAAAGATTCAGTCACTTTAACATGGAATGAGCCAGATGAAGATGGTGGCAGCCCCATAACTGGCTACTGGGTTGAAAGATATGATCCTGAGCAGGATAAATGGATAAAATGCAACAAAATGCCAGTGAAAGATACAACATTCAAGTAAGACTGCAGTCAGTTTAGGGTGAAATATGTCACAGAGACATAAAAATGTAACAGAAGCTTTTAAAATAAGTTTTACATTGTTCTTATTTTTCCTTGTTTCCATAAGTTTTGATCCAACTACCCCTGGTATGTTACTTTTTAAATTAGTTTGAACAAGTGATATCTTTACAGAAGAATTATTCATCTTTTTTTTCCTTTTAAATGTCTTGCCTAATAATTTCTGTGCTTATTCATAAGATATCCTAAAATGGCAGACATGGTCATCTCAAGCATCAGTTTACCAAAATCCTTAGTTTTTTTTCTCCTGATACTCTAATTAATTAAAAACCATGGAACATGCAAAAATCCAATACGGTTCTCAAAACATTCATTTTTATCGTGGTGTACCATTTTAGGGCAGACAATGTGTTGACATCAGTAGCAGTAATTTGGGTATTTTCAGATTTTCCAAGTAATCTGTAGTATGAAGAGTGGAGAGAATAATGTTTTGGAAATGAATTAATGCCTATTGGTTTAATCAAACTTAATTTTTCTTTCCAGAGTCAAAGGTCTTACGAATAAGAAGAAATATAAGTTCCGTGTCTTGGCAGAGAATCTTGCAGGACCTGGAAAACCAAGCAAGGAAACAGAGCCAATCTTAGTGAAAGATCCAATCGGTACAATAAGCACATTTTTCATTGTTTAATTTAGCAACAAGAACAAAAATATTGTTTTCAATGACATAATTAATACTTAACTCTTTTCCAGATCCACCGTGGCCTCCTGGAAAGCCAACTGTGAAAGATATTGGCAAGACATTCCTTACCCTGAACTGGACAAAGCCAGAGCATGATGGAGGGGCAAAAATTGAATCTTATGTCATTGAGCTGTTAAAGACTGGAACAGACGAATGGGTGAGAGTGGCTGAAGGAGTTCCCACGACTGAACACTTCCTCAAAGATCTTATGGAGAAACAAGAATATTCATTCCGTGTAAGAGCTGTGAACAAGGCTGGCGAGAGCGAGCCCAGCGAGCCCAGTGACCCCGTGCTGTGCAAGGAGAGGCTCTGTGAGTACTGTTTCTGTGTGCTGCTACTGCAAATACATGCAGTATCTCTCTGACTTCTAAAAAACCCCATGTCTGCCTGTCTTTGTAGGTACTAAATGAACTCTTGGAAGGCTTATGAAACACTAAAATCTGTCCTGCTTCAGTTCAGGAAATATAAAGTTTTAATCTTTCAGCATATTCCTTGTCTTCCAAGATCTTTCATGGGAATTGAAACATGTTGGTTTAACTTTTTTTTCCTATTTTGCAGATCCTCCTTCACCGCCTCGATGGCTTGAAGTTATTAATATTACTAAAAATACAGCAGATCTTAAATGGACAGTACCAGAAAAAGATGGGGGTTCCCCAATCACCAACTACATTGTTGAAAAAAGAGATGTAAGGCGGAAAGGTTGGCAGACAGTTGATACAACAGTGAAAGATACCAAGTACACAGTGAGCCCACTGACTGAAGGCTCTTTGTATGTGTTCCGTGTGGCTGCTGAAAATGCCATTGGACAGAGTGACTACTGTGAAATTGAAGACTCCGTGCTTGCTAAAGATACTTTCAGTAAGTTTTGATTCGCTTACTGAGTGATCAGTAGCTCACATGTCATGAATTCATAGTCTTCTAATGTGTGCCTTTTTTTTAACCTTAGCAACCCCTGGGCCTCCATATGCCCTTACAATAGTTGAAGTGAAAAAAGGCCATGTTGATTTGAAATGGGAACCACCTAAGAATGATGGTGGCAGACCAATTCAAAGGTAAGGTCATTTTAATTTTGTGTAGGCTCCTATAGATAAATATCTTTTTGATATTTAGATGAAGATGTTCCTCTCAAAACAGTTAAATTTTAAATTGACACATTTTTTATTAAAAAGATGTGAATGCATGTAAGAAAAGCCATGTGGTCAAAGCAATGAAGGGCTTGATTTTAAAATGTAGAAATGATGTAAATAAAGTACCTAACATGCATGAACAGTGAATGTGTGTCAACACCCTCAAAACAGCATAAGGAACTGTGTAAAAAAAATAAAATAATGTGATCATAGTCTCCAGTTCCTGCAGAATACTAGGCACTTAAAATCATCTAACAAGAAATATGGTTGAATTTTCCTTCTGCCTGAGTTTGTCATTCAAACCACATACACTCAGGTAAAATGAAGACTTACCTCTTTTCTGTTCATTTTCTTCTTTATAACACTTTTCAGACTGTTTTACTCCTTCCCAATCACAGAAAGCACATCTTAAACCAACAGAGAACTACAGGGATCTGCCTGAAGAAACAGAAGTCATTCAATTTGCATTACTTTGCCATAGCCTGTCCTAAGCAGAATTTTGACAGAGGAGTAAATAATATTTACAAATATTCTGAATGAACTGACCATTGAGATCCAAACTAGCAAAGATACAAGTATTGCTTGGAGGTTCTTTTGCCTCTGCAGCTCTCTACAGCCTGAAAACATGGTTCAGTTCAGTTCTAAAACACAGAATGAAGTTCAAGAATTGACTTTCTGACCTGGGTCTGTCAGTGATGTCAGCCCTACTAGGTGCTGACACCTACTAGGACTAAGTGTCTAATTTGTGAAGAAAGTTCATTGAATCTATTATCCATGATTCTCTTTACTTTTCCATTGTCTAAACTATTCTAAACTCTTTTTATCTATTTTCTTGACCAAGAAGTCTGAAGTGTTCCTATTTCAAGTGCCTCACAGTATTTTCCCTAATCTCTTCAGATATGTTATTGAAAAGAAAGAAAAGCTAGCTACTCGCTGGGTAAAAGCTGGGAAGACAGCTGGTCCAGATTGCAATTATAGAGTGACAGATGTCATTGAAGGTACAGATGTACAGTTCCAGGTTCGTGCAGAAAATGAAGCTGGATGTGGTCATCCCAGTGAACCCACTGACCTCGTTCATATTGAAGATCCAACAAGTAAGTAGAATAAAACACTGTGTATGAATTTTAGAAGCAGTGTACCATTCTGGGAGGAAAATCACACAATACTTTTCCATTTCTGCAGGTCCTCCTTCACCTCCTCAGGATTTACATGTCACAGATGCAGGCCGAAAGCACATTTGCATTGCATGGAAACCTCCTGAGAAAAATGGTGGAAGTCCTATTATTGGATATAATGTTGAGATGTGTGAAGCAGGAACAGAAAAATGGATGCGAATCAATTCTCGTCCAATTAAAGATCTAAAATGTAAAGTGGATGAGGGTGTTGTTCCAGACAAAGAATACGTGCTGAGAGTCAGAGCTGTCAATGCTGTTGGAGCTAGTGAGCCATCAGACATCTCAGAAAAAGTTGTTGCCAAGGACCCAGACTGTAAGAATTGAATCCTTTTTCTTTTCTTTTTTTTTTTTTTTTTCTCCAGATCTGCATAACTGAAAAAACGGAATAGTGTTTGGCAACTTTCCAATAACATTGTACTTACTTTTACAGGTAATCCAACCATTGATCTGCAAACTCGTGACATTGTTGTTGTTAAAGGACAGAAACTAAGTATCCCTGTACCCTTCAGAGCTGTTCCATCTCCAACTATAACATGGCACAAAGATGGCAAAGAGTTGAAAGCTGGTGACAGAACAACAATGAAGAGTGACTACACCTCTGCATTGCTTGAAGTCATAGACAGTGTTCACGCTGATGCTGGTGTTTATACTATCACACTGGAGAACAAGCTGGCATCAACAACTGGTTCAGTCAATGTCAAAGTCATAGGTAACTACCTTCTTCCATTTGAGAAGTATACTTATCTTCACTTGGGCTCTGCAGCTGACAGAAGAAAGGACTAGAAAGGCAAATCACTTCAACTCAGACACATGTAGATTGCCCTACAAGCGTTTATATTATGAAGTCCCACAAAAAAACACTTTACCTCAAGTTGCTTTAACTATTCAGTGACTGCTCAAAGCCTAATTATTTTGAATATTAGCATATAAATATAAAAATGTCTCAAGAATTCTGACTAATTTTCACCTTTGGGAATATAAATTCATATAGATCATGTGTAGTCCACATTTGTGGTCTTTGCTTTCTGCAAAGCAAAGCAATGAAACATAATTTCATATTTATAAGAATACTTTCACATCTATTTAGTTAACTAATTTTTTCATTCTTATTTAAAACAGGTCCACCTGGACAGTGTAAAGACATTAAGGCAAGCGACATAACTAAGAATTCTTGCAAAGTATCCTGGGAGCCTCCAGACTTTGATGGTGGTACTCCTATTTTGCATTATGTTCTGGAACGCAGGGAAGCAGGTCGTAAAACATACATCCCAGTCATGTCTGGTGAAAATAAGCTTTCATGGCAAGTCAAAGATCTTATCCCAAACTGTGAATATTACTTCCGTGTTAAAGCTGTCAATAAGATCGGAGGGGGTGATTATCTTGAACTAAGAAACCCGATCATTGCAGAAGACCCAAAACGTAAGTTTGCCTTTCTATTAAATAATTTTTAAAATTGAATTTTAAATAAAATCTTCGTATTCTCCTTTCTCATATGATCCCTCTTTTGATCTACTCTTACACAGAGCCCCCAGATCCGCCTGTCGACCTTGAAGTCCATAATCCAACATCCAAATCAGTAACTCTTACATGGAAACCACCCCTGTTTGATGGTGGAAGCAAGATTATGGGCTATATAGTAGAAAAGCTTGCCAAGGGCAAAGAGAGGTGGGAGAGATGCAATGACTATCTGGTACCCTTACTGACTTACACAGTGAAAGGCCTTGAGGAAGGAAATGAGTATCAGTTCCGTGTTCGTGCTGAGAATGCTGCCGGCATCAGTGAGCCTTCTCGGATTACTCCTTTTGTGAAAGCTGTGGATCCTATTGGTATGAATCGCTCGTTAGATCATTTTTATTAATTGCCATACTTCCTCAGACATATTGAAAGATTCTATGCTCCCTTTCTCATTCTCTGTTATTACAGAGGCTCCAAAAGTCTTCCTTGCTGCAAACCTACAGTCTGGCCTTGAGGTGAAGAGAGGTGATGAGATCATACTTGAGGCACATATTTCAGGGTCACCCTATCCATCTATCACTTGGCTGAGGAATGATGAAGTTGTCAGACCAGAGGATATCAAAAAGAGAGTAACAGCACCTAAAAAGAAGAAGGGTGAAGCTGAAGAAGAGAAACCTTTCCAGCTTTCCCTGCCAGAACGCATGAGTGTTGACAACCACAAGGAAGGAGAGTCCATACTATCAGTTCGTGACTCCATTAGAGCTGACCATGGCACATTTACAATTAAAGTAGAGAATGATCATGGAGTTGCAAAAGCCTCATGTGAAGTCAATGTGTTGGGTATGTAACGAATATTCTCAAAACACCTAGTTGTTCAGAGTATTGGGTAAAAAGTACAAAAGTTGATTACTCATTATTTTTCTTGGTTTACTGACAGATACACCTGGGCCACCAGTCAACTTTGTTTTTGAAGATTTGCGGAAAAATTCTGTCATTTGCAAGTGGGAGCCTCCCCTTGATGATGGTGGAAGTGAAATCCTAAACTATGTACTGGAAAAGAAAGACAATACAAAAGCTGATATGGGCTGGGTCACTGTCAGTTCAACACTCAGGCATTGCAAATTCCATGTAACAAAACTGATTGAAGGAAAAGAGTATCTATTCCGTGTATTTGCTGAAAATAGAGTTGGAGCAGGACCACCATGTGTTTCAAAACCAATGACAGCTAAAGATCCTTTCTGTAAGTTTTAATTTTGAAGAACAACCTTCTCAGAAAACAAAGTGTTAAACTATAACAGACAGTTAGAAAACTCAGCTTTATCTATATGGATGTTTCCCAGAAGAAGCTTGAGCTATGTGATAGCTATTGCACATTTTAAACCATTGAAATACAGGGAACTATCAAAAACATTCTAGTTTTAATAGTAAACACATAAGAATGATCATCACTGTCATAAAACTTTACCCTTAAAACACTTTACATCTGAATAGTGACATTCTCTGTGTTTCATAGATTAGTATTCTTACCAGAAGAGAGAACTGTTGCAAATTTGCTTACTGATCGCTGTTAGGAATCAAAGGTTCTGAGAGAGCAGAAAAACTCTTAATTAAAATTAGTCATTTCTTATATCTTAGCTTTCTATTAGCTTTGAGTAAGCTCTGAAGAGACAGCAATGATGGCAAAACCACCTTTTTGTTTTTCAGCTCCACCAGACGCACCTAATAAGCCTGATGTGGAAGATGTAACCAGCAACAGTATGCTGGTTAAATGGAATGAACCGAAAGATAATGGCAGCCCTATCATAGGGTACTGGATTGAAAAACGTGAAATCAATAGTACTCATTGGGCTCGGGTCAACAGGAACCTTGTGAATGCTCTGGAAGTAAAAGTTGAAGGACTGTTGGAAGGTTTAACTTACATCTTTAGAGTGTGTGCTGAAAATGCAGCTGGCCCTGGGAAATTTAGTCCACCATCAGATCCAAAAACTGCACAGGACCCAATAAGTAAGTGACTTAGTAGAAGCTAGTAGCAGAGAGTTGACAAGATAGGATTCATAGCCTTTGACTTTGATTTACTCTTACTTGTTTATTTATTTATAGTGCCACCTGGTCCACCGATTCCGAGGATTGCTGACACAAGTGCAACTTCCATCGAGCTAGAATGGCAACCTCCTGTGTATAATGGTGGTGGAGATATCACCGGTTACCATGTGTACAAACAACTGATGGGAGTAAACGAGTGGTCACGCTGTACAGCAAAACCCATTAAGGTCCTGCAGTTTACAGTTGGAGAAGTCAGAGAAGGTGCAGACTATAAACTCCGTGTTACTGCACTCAATGCAGCTGGCGAAGGACCACCTGGGGAAACTGAACCCGCAACAGTTGCAGAACCTAAAGGTATTGCAATTGGATTCTTTTTAGATAAATGTCCAGCTGCTTAAAAGGTGGGTTTGAATCCCTCCCTTCAACTAATGGACTGTTTCTCTTTCTTTCACAGAGCCTCCCACTGTTGAGCTGGATGTTTCTGTGAAAGCAGGCATTCAGGTCATGGCTGGGCAGACTATTAAAATTCCTGCTACTGTGACAGGGCGTCCTACTCCCACCATTGCATGGACTGTAGAGGAGGGTGAATTAGACAAAGATCGAGTTGTTATTGAAAATGTTGGCACAAAATCTGAGCTAACCATTAAGAATGCATTGAGAAAAGACCATGGAAGATATGTAATTACGGCTACCAATAGCAGCGGTTCAAAATCTGCAGGAACCAGAGTAGAAGTATTTGGTAAGAAAAATACTTTCTCAAATTAAATAAGCTTTTCTTTTGGTCAGTATGGGCTTTACCTTATTTGTTTGATTTTGTTTTTCAGATGTTCCTGGACCAGTCCTTGACCTAAAGCCTGTGGTCACAAACAGAAAGATGTGTTTGCTTAACTGGTCTGATCCTGAAGATGATGGTGGCAGTGACATCATAGGCTTCATTGTTGAAAGGAAGGATGCCAAAATGCATACTTGGAGACTAGCTGTAGACACAGATAGATCTAAATGTGACATTACAGGTCTAATTGAAGGGCAGGAATATAAATTCCGTGTTAGTGCCAAGAACAAATTTGGTACTGGTCCACCTGTTGAAATAGGACCCATTCTTGCAGTTGATCCATTAGGTAAGATGACTCATTTTACATGGTTTTTAAAAAGAAAAAAAAAAAATCAGATTAATTAGACAATCATTTTGTCTTTTCTTCTATATAGAAAATGTGTTTATTTTTCAGCTACATGGATAGGCATCTGCCTTTGCTTCATTACTTTAGTCAGATTTCTGAACCAGTTCTCTGAAGCTAGTGTGATTCTTTACATAGCAATATACTGGTGCCTGTTGAGATACTACTTACTACTTTTTTCACCACACACATGAGAAACTTTCTATGAGCCATAACCATACTCAGATTCTTTGCATACAAAAACTATGGTTTTAAAAGGCCAGAGCTAGCTACTGCATTCTTTTGTTTTAAAATTCTCTGATGATTTTTTTTTATTGTAATTTATCTGTGTTAATAGGTCCTCCGACAGCACCTGAGAGGTTCATGTACACAGAGAGGACGAAGTCATCCATAACACTTGATTGGAAGCCTCCACGCAGTGATGGTGGTAGTCCCATCTTAGGATACATTGTTGAGAAGAGGAGACATGATTCAAAAGATTATGAAAGAGTTAATGCAAGGCTCTGTCCAAAAACATCTCTTCTTGTTGAAAAACTTGATGAACTTCATATGTATGAATTTCGTGTGAAAGCTGTCAATGAGATCGGAGAAAGTGAGCCATCACTGCCCCTCAATGTAGTTATACAAGATGATGAAGGTATATCAGCTTTAAAGAATCCATATAAATATCTTTAGAATGTTTCAAGGCACTTTCTGTTTCATGTTTCATACCATCTTCACTCTGTCACTTTCCTTCTTTTCAGTGCCTCCAACTGTTACATTGCGTTTGGCTGTGAGAGGAGATACTATCAAAGTCAAGGCAGGAGAACCTGTTAACATTCCTGCTGATGTAACAGGCCTGCCAATGCCAAAGATTGAATGGGACAAGAATGAAGTTTTAATCGACCAAACATCCAATGCACTTAAGATTACCAAGGAGGAAGTGTCTAGAACTGAGGCAAAAACCGAACTTATCCTGCCTGCAGCAGTGAGGGATGATAAAGGCACCTACACTGTGAGAGCTTCCAATCGTCTTGGCACTGCATTTCGCAATGTGCATGTCGAAGTGTATGGTAAGGATGTAACATTTTAATAAAATAACAGCTAATAAAATGCCTTTGCCTTTTCTTTAATGTTGCTCCATGCTCTATTTCTTTTATACAGATCGTCCTTCTCCACCAAGAAATCTTGCTGTTTCTGATATTAAAGCAGAATCATGCTATTTAACATGGGATGCACCTCTTGATAATGGTGGTAGTGAAATTACCCATTACATTATTGAAAAACGAGATGCTAGTAAGAAGAAATCTGACTGGGAAGAAGTCTCCAAAGGCGCTGTTGAGAGAAGATTTGGGGTAATTTATAAAATATCTTTATTACATACTTCAGTATGCATAAAAAATAGCAATATTACATATTTTATGGAAACTGATACTTGCATAGGTGCCTGTGCTCATGCTCCATTTAGACTCCAGAATTACTGGATGAATGTTTCCCTCCATGTATCTGTGTTATCCCCCATGTGACAAAACAAAAGAAATTGTTGACTTTTGCTGCTTAACCTCAGCTGAGCTAGAGAGAAGACACCTTCCTTTCCATTTTCCAGAATTATTCATTTTTTTACCAACTGCAAATAGAACAAATTTAATGACAATTTTATTTATGCTTACTATGCACATGACATGAGAGTGTTCTTAGGACATCACATAGAGCTGTATAGCACATAAACATAGTCAATCAGTCAGATTGTAAGATAGAAGTTAAAGTGAAAACTTCTGCTTAACTCCAAATAATTTGATTCTGAAAGTAGCCACGTATTGATTTAAATCCTCTTTTTTCAGGTATGGAATCTTGCAACAAATGAAAAATACCAATTTAGGGTCCGGGCTGTAAACAAATATGGAATAAGTGATGAATGCCTCTCAGAAAAAGTTGTTATTAAGGATCCCTATGGTCTTCCTGGACCTCCTGGAAAGCCAAAAATTTTGGATCGTACCAGATCATCTATGCTGGTGACTTGGGAGCCTCCTTTGGACAATGGTGGCAGTCCAATAACTGGCTATTGGTTGGAGAAGAGAGAGGTGGGAGGTGTCTACTGGGCACGTGTCAACAGGGCTCCAGTAACAAAACCATCTGTAAAAGGTCTAGAGCACAATGTGCTTCGTTTGGCTGAAGGTGTTGAATACCAGTTTAGAGTTATGGCTGAAAATCTTGCTGGAATTGGCCCTCCCAGTGAACCATCAGATCCAGCTTTGGCAGCAGATCCCATATGTAAGTATATCATTTGTATGACTGTGTTAGAGGACTGTACCACAACAGAACAAAAAATGTGTTAATATTACTTATTTTTAATTTATTAGTGAAAATTATTTTTTATGAAGTATTAATTTACTATAATTTATAATTAAGTATTCATTTACTTGATTAATCAAAGGCTTTGTTTGCATTAAACCTAAGAGAATATATTAAGACAAAGTTTCCTGATTTTAAAATTTTAAAAATAATGAGCTTTAATTTAATTTTTTTATTTCTTTTATGTATCTAATACTGTTATTACACCAATGTAGGCATTGCCATATGAATTTCAGATCAGAATCATATTTTAATATTATTGTTTTACTTTACTGTTAAACTGTTCAATCTTTATGCCTTTTACCTTAAGTGTCCCTTGCTAACATAGGTAATATATATGTAATTAGTAAGCACAGTCTAGGATTTCTACTGTATATACAGGTAAAGAAATGAGAATACTGTCATTCTTCTAGAAACTATCTAGAAAAATATAGCAAGACACTAACACTGAGGTATTTTTTACTTGCTCTTGTTTTGCCAGTTGTGCCTGGTCCACCATCTTGCCCAGAGGTCAAAGACAAAACCAAATCATCTGTAGCACTTGCATGGAAGCCTCCTCAAAAGGATGGGGGGAGTCCTATAAAAGGGTATATTGTTGAAATGCAAGATGAAGGTAGTACTGAATGGAAGAAGGTGAATGAAGGAGACAAACTCTTTCCTACTTGTGAATGTGTTGTTCCCAACTTGAAAGAGCTCAGAAAATACCGATTTAGGGTGAAAGCTGTAAATGCTGCTGGAGAATCAGAACCAAGTCCTGCAACATCAGAGATACCTGTCCAAGATATTCTAGGTAAGAGTTCTGAGAACTGATTTAGATATTTGTATCTAAATATCACTTACCTCTATTAATGTTCAAAAAGGATGCCAAGCAAGCCAAAGTCAAAACAGAATAAACAATTATACAAGAATGGAGCAAAAGATTGACACACATTTTTGAAAGTGTCATGATATCTATGGCCAGGGAATGCTCCATTAGGAAACTGATGAGCACCTACAGACATACTAATGAAATACTGTTTATTTTATGAAGAATTTACATCAATGAGTTTTTCTGTTTGTATACTTCCCAGTTTGCCTTTTGCACACCCAACCTTTCTCACATGAACATGGATTCCACATGTTTCTGGGGGATTTCAGTTTAGTGATGATGGAACTTTACTTTCAGGAGCTCTTAAAATTTATATATTTAAATATTTCTGCAGAGGAACCAGAAATCTTCCTTGATCTTGGAGCACAGGATTTGCTCTCTTGCCGTGCTGGCACAACAATTAAAATCCCAGCTATTATCAAGGGTCGTCCAGTTCCAAAAACATTTTGGGAGTACGAAGGAAAAGCAAAAACAGCAGCAAAGGTTAGTAAAAGTAATTGTTTTGGGTTTTTTTCTACACCCGTTTCTAGACTCTTGAATCTATTCCCTTTACATTTACATTATTTCCCTTTTTCTATAGGAGGGAGGTCATAATGTACCTGAAGAAGCTCAGGTAAAGCAAGCAATTTTTTAACCTCAGTATTGTTGCATTTTTGAAATATAAGTATTCAAAGTTGATCTATAACTTCTCTTTCTTCCTATAATATGCAGGTGGTAGCAACTGATACACGTTCAGAGATTATCATCCCAGAGTGCAACAGAAGTCATTCTGGACGATACAGTATTACAGCAAAGAACAAAGCAGGACAAAAGACAGTGAATGTCAGAGTCAATGTGCTTGGTATGGCTTGCATATATTGAAGTATCCAAATATTAGGGTTTAGTCTTATTTTTCTACATACTTATATAAAATTGTGGCTGTTGTGCTTTTATCTTAACAGATGTCCCTGGTCCACCAAAGGACCTAAAAGTAAGTGATATCACAAGAGGTAGCTGTAAGCTTTCATGGAAGATGCCAGATGATGATGGTGGAGATAGAATCAGAGGCTATGTTATAGAGAAAAGAAATATTGATGGGAAAGCCTGGACTAAAGTCAATCCAAACTGTGGCAGTACTTCCTTTGTGGTACCTGATCTCATAACTGGCCAAGAATATTTCTTCCGGGTACGTGCAGAAAACCGTTTTGGAGTTGGGCCTCCTGCAGAAACCATCCAGCGGACCACAGCCAGGGATCCCATCCGTAAGTATAATTAAAGTCAAACAAATCCTTTAAAACCACATGGTATTGTATAGTGGATTTATTCACTCCTCTGTTTCGCTTGTGAAGATCCTCCTGATCCGCCTATTAAACTGAGGATTGGCCTTGTAACCAAGAACACAGTGAGCCTGACATGGAAACCACCAAAGAACGATGGTGGAGCTCCTGTTACACATTATAATGTTGAATGTCTCCGCTGGGATCGTACTGGAGAAGTGAAAGAGTCTTGGAAGCAATGCAACAGACGTGATGTGGAAGAAACAAAGTTTACTGTTGAGGATCTTGTAGAAGGTGGAGAATATGAATTCAGAGTCAAAGCTGTAAATATAGCGGGTCCTAGCAGACCTTCAGCCACTGTTGGCCCACTTGTTGTTAAAGACCAGACATGTAAGTACTGATACTAGTAAATACAAACTACATTTTAAAATTTTGAAGTATTTTTGTATGCTATTTTTTCAACATTTTTTTGTAGGTCCACCATCTATTGAGCTCAAAGAATTTATGGAAGTTGAAGAAGGAACTGATGTTAAAATTGTGGCCAAGATAAAGGGTGTACCCTTCCCCACATTAACATGGCTAAAAGCTTCTCCAAAGAAACCAGATGACAAAACACCAGTGGTGTATGACCAACATGTCAACAAGATTGTTGATGAAGATACTTGCACTTTATTGATCCAACAGTCTCGCAGAAATGATACAGGCTTATATACTATAACAGCTGTAAATAACCTGGGAACTGCTTCAAAGGAGATGCGGCTGAATGTTCTGGGTACGTGTCAAGAACTCTTACATTACATTAATTAATAGTGCTTGTTTGATACTTGATTAATTCTTCTTTCTTAAAATATCTTCTAGGTCGTCCTGGACCTCCAGTAGGACCTATTAAATTTGAATCCATTTTGGCCGATAAAATGACAATATCATGGCTTCCTCCGTTAGATGATGGTGGTTCTAAGATTACAAACTATGTTATAGAGAAAAAAGAAGCAAATAGAAAGACATGGGTGCCTGTTACTAATGAGCCTAAGGAATGCATATTCACTGTTCCCAAGCTGATGGAAGGCCATGAATATGTGTTCCGCATTATGGCACAAAACAAATATGGAATTGGAGAACCTTTGGATAGTGAGCCAGAAACAGCACGAAACCTTTTCAGTAAGTAGAAATAAGCTTTCAAGTTGTCAGTTGTTTCCATATGCTGGTATGCATACAGCATCTGTTAAATAACACTACGGTTTTCTCTCTTTACTAAGTTTTCTAGAGTAGCTTAAAGAGTTTTAGCAGTAGTACCTGGTTCTTTAAAGCATGTGTAGTGCTTAAAATAGTTTTCTCCCTCCTTCTGTTATATTAAAGTAGAATTTCAATATTTTTAAGGCTTAAATAAATGTTTATTTGATAAGATTCAGGTTATTCTATTGTATTTGAGACACTATTAACCTCATAGACCAGAAAAAATCAATTTCCTACCTTCAGTTTTGAAAGATAAATTAGACAGAATAGCTCAGACATAGGAGGAATGTTAGGCTGGCAAGAGAAAACGGCTCTTAAAACAGCAAGTGTTGGGCTGGGCACTAAAATGAGGCAGTGATGCAGAAAGGCTAGAAACAAAGAATTTTTGACAATTTTTTTTGACTTGGAGGAAAGGTATTTCATTTTTCTCAGAATTATATGCACTTTAATAGGGTTGAGAAACTAAATGAGGAAAGAAATCTTGTGCAGATGGCTACTACCTAGTGCAATGGTGACCATGTGACTGCATAGCTCTTTTGCACTCTAGCTGTTTCTGTGTACCTTTAGCATATTTTTTTACAAGCTATGTGTGAATTTTTTCCCCTCAGCTGTCCCTGGACCTCCTGACAAGCCAACAGTTAGCAGTATAACACGTGACTCAATGACGGTAAACTGGGAAGAGCCAGAACATGATGGTGGCTCTCCTATTACTGGTTATTGGTTGGAGCGCAAAGAAACCACTGGAAAGAGATGGACCAGGGTTAACCGAGATCCTATCAAGCCTATGACACTGGGGGTTTCATACAAAGTTACAGGGCTTATTGAAGGCTCTGAATATCAGTTCCGTGTTTCAGCTATCAATGCGGCTGGTGTTGGCCCCCCAAGCATGCCATCTGATCCAGCACTTGCTAGAGATCCTATTGGTAAATATTTTAAATTATTTTTTTTTCTATATTTGAAAATATTCAAATGAGAACATATAATACATTGTTATGCTATATGATGATATTTTTCAGCCCCACCTGGCCCTCCTATACCAAAAGTTACTGACTGGACAAAGTCTTCTGTAGACTTGGAGTGGAGTCCGCCAGTAAAGGATGGTGGTTCTAGAGTCACTGGCTACATTGTTGAGTTTAAAGAGGAAGGAAAGGAAGAATGGGAACGGGTAGGTAGAAAACCATTGCGGAATCTGCACTTCTCTCTGTGTCTATCAATATGAATTGTTCCAGAAAAAAAAAAAAAAAATCTTTAAAAGTTTTGCTATTCAAGTTATTTTCTAAAAGCTTGCACCATAATTATCATCATATATTTAAAATACAAGACCAAGCTTGCCCTTCCTCAGTATGAAGTTAACTTTGCAATTACTAGATACAGAATTTTATAACTTTTATTTAAAGATGTGGGAAAATATGTAGTTAATATGTGATAAAAAATCACAGAAGGCCAAGTTAGAACTGTCAGAAAAGTAACCCTCACTGGTATCAAAAAATGCCTAGGCGTTTACAATTATTATGTTTCTACATTTTCTGAATTTTTTTCAATAGTGCCTTACTGAAAATTTAACTTGTGCAGACCTTGGCCATTTTTTATATCTCCATAAATATATGGATTCATTTTAAGTAAGACCTACATTTCCTATACTGTTTCCAGGTAGAGACTTAATATTGGGTTTGAAAAGAAAAGGACTGAATTCCCTTTCTTGTTGCTCTCACTTATATGAGTTTGTGTCAAAAAATACATGTAATTCTTCTGAGACCAGACTATAGTAGTTTCTAAATTGCTGTGTTAGAATATGTTAGAAAAAAGATGAATCTTCAGAAGAGCTTGTAAATCCATGACATACATTTCTTTAAAAATTTCTGACTACTTCTGTGTGTGCTAGATACATGTATGATTAATGCTTTTGTGTGCTTGTAAATCTGAAATTATTTCTAATGTAAGGTTTGTTTCAAACTCTGCAAAGAAATTGATGATATCTTGATGTTTGCTGACGTTACAATGTTTTTTTCCAGGTAAAAGATAAAGAAATTAGAGGAACAAAGTTCGTTGTGGCAGGATTAAAAGAAGGTTGTTTTTACAAATTTAGAGTTAGAGCAGTAAATGCTGCTGGCATCGGAGAGCCTGGAGAAGTGACAGACATTATTGAAATGAAAGACAGAATTGGTATTTATCATTTTGGTTTACGTTTTTAGTACCTCTAACTCAAGGTAAGAAAAATAAATAATTGACTTTTTATTTCTCTTCCCTCAGTGGCTCCTGATATTAACTTGGATGCAAGTGTCAGGGACAGAATTGTTGTTCATGCTGGAGGAGTAATTCGGATCATAGCATATGTCTCAGGAAAACCACCTCCAACTGTGACCTGGAGCAGAGATGAGCAAGCTTTGCCAGAAGAAGCCAAAATTGAAGAAACAGCTATTAGTTCTTCTTTAGTCATCAAGAATTGCAAAAGGAGTCACCAGGGTTTATACACTCTTCTTGCTAAAAATGATGGTGGTGAGAGGAAGAAGACAATTATTGTTGATGTGCTAGGTAAATAGCATCTTCAGTGCTTATGAACAAGTACAATTTCATAAGATTCAGCATGTATGCTTCAATACTCCAATTTTTCCTTTGCTTTCAGATGTGCCTGGCCCAGTTGGATTGCCACTCCTTACAGAGAATTTAACCAATGACTCTTGTAAATTGTCATGGTTTACTCCTGAAGATGATGGTGGTTCTCCTATTACCAACTATATAATTGAAAAACGTGAATCTGACCATAGAGCTTGGACTCCAGTGACCTACACAGTTACAAGACAGAATGCTACTGTTCAGGGCCTCATTCAAGGGAAAGCCTACTTTTTCCGAATTGCAGCTGAGAATATAATTGGCATGGGTCCTTTCACAGAAACAACAAAAGAGATTCTCATTAGAGACCCAATAAGTAAGAATAGTGTTTGTTTCGATAACTGTCATATGAGAATAATACACAGGAGGATTCTGAATATACAGAAAAATGAATCTACCTTGTTTTTACTTTATTCACAGCTGTTCCTGACCGTCCAGAAGACCTGGAAGTAAAAGCAGTTACCAAGAACTCCGTTACACTAACTTGGAACCCTCCAAAATACAATGGGGGCTCAGATATCACCATGTACGTTCTAGAGAGCCGTCTCATTGGAAAAGACAAATTCCACAAAGTTACAAAGGAGAAAATGCTTGATAGGAAATTCACTGTGGAAGGCTTGAAAGAGGGTGACACCTATGAGTATCGTGTGAGTGCTTGCAATATTGTGGGACAAGGCAAGCCATCATTTTGCACTAAACCAATCACGTGCAAGGATGAAATTGGTATGTTTATTTTTCATATTTCTTTTGAAAATAGTAATTACATTTACTGATTCCTTACTTTTTCATATTAATATTGCTGACATTTGTGGACATTGTGTATTTTAATTTTGTCTTTCAGCTCCTCCCACACTTGACCTTGACTTTAGAGACAAGCTTATTGTCCGAGTTGGTGAAGCTTTCAGCTTGACTGGACGTTACTCAGGCAAACCTGCACCGAAGGTTACTTGGCTAAAGGATGATATTGTTGTGAAAGAAGATGACAGAATAAAGATCAAGACAACTCCTACAACTCTTTGTTTGGGGGTACTAAAATCTGTCCGTGAGGACACAGGCAAATATTGTGTTACTGTAGAGAACAGCACAGGATCAAGAAAAGGATTTTGTCAAGTTACTGTCGTTGGTAAGTTTTACTGAACAACAGCTTTGTCTGTGGTTTTTATTAGTGATTAGAATTCAATGAGTATTATAAAATTTAAGTATTGAAATGTGTTCTTTACTACAATAATTTGATTTACTGTATTCTTGATTATACTAAAAAGCTATTTATTAATTTTGAGCACATATTTAACTCTGAATTAGTTTATTCAGCATGAATAATTTAATGCCTCCACATGCATTTAGAAAAAATCAACACTGTAGAAAATGTTAATCACCAAATACACCTAAGAATTAAGAATGTCAAACATGTTTTACAGAGGAATAGCCCTGAAGTCTTGATTCTTTATTATAACTGTGATGTCAATCACAGTTTCTAATTTTAAACTGCATTTGCTGTATTGACAGTTTAATCTATGTTGTTTCATGAAGTTCATAATAAAGCATGGATATATTTTATTTTTTCTTAAACAGATCGCCCATCACCTCCAGTAGGCCCAGTTATATTTGATGAAGTCTTTAAAGATCATATGGTGGTTTCCTGGAAACCTCCATTAGATGATGGAGGCAGTGAAATTACTAATTACATAATTGAGAAGAAGGATACACACAAAGACTTGTGGATGCCAGTTACGTCTGCCACAGTAAAGACAACATGCAAAATTCCCAAGCTGCTTGAAGGAAGAGAATACCAAATTCGAATTTACGCTGAAAATCTTTATGGCATAAGTGATCCTCTCATCTCTGATGAGATGAAAGCCAAGGATCGTTTCCGTAAGTTTTTCGTTTTCAATTTTATTTGGATACTTCAATCTTTATTCGGTTTGTAATGCTCATACACTCATTTTTATCTTCTCACCCCAGGTGTACCTGATGCACCTGAGCAACCAATCGTTAAGGATGTAACCAAAGACTCTGCATTAGTAGTTTGGAACAAACCATATGATGGAGGCAAGCCGATAACAAACTACATTTTGGAAAAGAAGGAAACAATGGCTACAAGATGGGTCAAAGCTACCAAAGACCCAATTTTCCCCGGTACAAAGTTCAAAGTACCTGATCTCCTTGAAGGCTGTCAGTATGAATTCCGTGTTTCAGCAGAAAATGAAATTGGTGTAGGTGATCCTAGTCCACCATCAAAGCCAATTTTTGCTAGAGATCCAATCGGTAAAGTATCACATTTAATTTCTTACTGAATTTTTAATGCACTTCATTTCAGTTAGGAAATTCTTCTAATAGTTCCTCCTTTTTCTCCCATTTCTTTATTTTTTTACTTTTTTAACAGCAAAACCAAGTCCACCTGTTAATCCAGAAGCAGTAGATAAAACTAAAAATTCAGTTGATTTATCTTGGCAGCCACCTCGCCATGATGGAAATGGCAAGATAATTGGCTACCTTGTAGAGTATCAGAAAGTTGGAGATGAAGAATGGAAACAGGCTAATCTTACAGCGGATTCTTGTCCTGAAACAAACTACAAAGTCACTGGTCTTACTGAGGGATTAACCTATAAATTCAGGGTCAAGGCAGTCAATGCGGCAGGCGAATCCGATCCAGCACATGTTCCTGATCCGGTAGAAGTAAAGGACAGGCTTGGTAAGTTTAATAAAATCAGATAAGTTTACCTAAGAACAGACTTCTTCTTTCTCACTTTGTAAAAACTTGTATTTTTGATTCCAGAACCTCCTGAGTTAATACTTGATGCTAATATGGCCCGAGAACAGCATATAAAAGCTGGAGATACCCTGAGACTTAGTGCTGTTATTAAAGGTGTTCCATTCCCAAAAGTTACTTGGAAGAAAGAAGATCATGAGGTCTCACCCAAAGCTGATATTGAAGTTACAGGAGTTGGCAGTAAGCTTGAAATCCGTAACACTGTCCATGAAGATGGTGGAATGTACTCCCTGACAGTTGAAAATCCAGCTGGTTCAAAGACTGTTTCAGTAAAAGTTGTGGTCTTAGGTAATCTTTTTGTGTTCCTTCTATACAACTTCTTTTTGCTCTAATTAGAGATTAAGAAATAAAGGAATTTCTGGAAAATATCTGTAAACCAAGTTATAAACCAAGTTATATTTGTATTTTTATGCAAATATAAAAAAATAGAAAAAGGACTAAAAATTACACAAAATATAACACAATTTATCTTGAAATTTACAAAGTTTTTTTAAGAAATGCTTCGGTTACCAAATAAATAACTGATTGTATTTTTATCGATGTTAGATAAGCCTGGTCCACCCAGAAATCTGAATATCAGTGATATTAGAAGTGACTCTTGCTATCTCACTTGGATGGAACCAGAAGATGATGGTGGCTCTGTGATTACCAACTATGTGGTGGAGAGGAAAGATGTAGCTTCTGCACAGTGGGTAGCCATCTCCTCATCCTCCAAGAAACGCAGTCATATGGCTAAATATCTGATGGAAGGCACTCAGTATCTCTTCCGAGTTGCAGCTGAGAATCAATATGGCAGAGGTCCATATGTGGAAACACTTAAGCCTATCAAAGCTATAGATCCCCTGCGTAAGTGTTTTTCAGTTATATTGATTTATTTTCTTCGTAAGGGATCTGGTAATTTTGAGGTTGTCCTGTTGGTATGAACATGATACACTGGTACCATAGATTTTTCATCCTAGTAACCATTTTGGTTTTGTATTTTAAAAGATCCTCCAGGGCCACCAAAGAATCTGCATCATGTAGATGTTGACAAGACAGAGGTTTCCCTTGTTTGGAATCGACCAGATCGTGATGGTGGTGCTGAGATAACTGGGTATTTGGTGGAATATCAAGAAGATGGTGCAGATGAATGGACAAAGTTCCAGACAGTCCCTATGCTAGACTGTGTCGTTACAGGACTACAGAAAGGAAAAATATACAAATTCCGTGTGAGAGCTCAAAACATTGTTGGTCTTGGCCTTCCAGACACAACTATACCAATAGAGTGTCAAGAAAAACTAGGTAATTTTTGGTTTTTCATATTTTTCACCTATCTTTTCTCTTTTTCTATAAGCATTTGCCCTAAAAAATAATTTCTGTTTTTTTCTAATTTCAGTACCTCCATCTGTGGATCTAGATGTAAAGTTAATTGAAGGTCTAGTTGTTAAAGCTGGCACCACAGTGCACCTTCCAGCAATTATGAGAGGTGTGCCAGTTCCCACAGCAAAATGGGTTACTGACGACACTGAAATTAAACCAGATGGCAAATACAAGATTGAGACTGACAATTACTCAACTGTGCTTACTATCAAAGACTGTGTAAGAAAAGATACAGGAGAATATCTGCTCACAGTATCTAATGCAGCTGGCAGCAAAACTGTGGCTCTGCACCTTACAGTTTTGGATGTTCCAGGCCCACCAACTGGTCCTATTAATATTCTTGAAGTAACACCAGAATATATGGTTATTTCTTGGCGCCCTCCTAAAGATGATGGTGGGAGTCCTATAATAAATTATATTGTTGAGAAGCGTCAATCAAAGAAAGAAACTTGGGGAGTGGTTAGCTCTGGAACAAGTCACACAAAGATTAAGGTTCCACGACTGCAGAAAGGCTGTGAATATATTTTCCGTGTTCGTGCAGAAAATAAGATAGGCATTGGTGCACCCCTGGATTCAGAACCAACAGTTGCTAAATACATGTTTGATCCACCATCCCCACCTGGTAAACCAACTGTTTATGATGTTACAGAAAATGCTGCAACTGTGTCTTGGACCCTACCAAAATCTGATGGTGGAACTCCAATAACTGGTTATATACTTGAACGTCGGGAAGCATCTGGTAAATGGGTGCGTGTCAATAAGACACCTATACTTGATATGAAATACAGAGTCACTGGTCTTTTTGAAGGCAATACATACGAATTCAGAGTTTTTGCAGAAAACATGGTGGGCTTAAGTAAACCATCTCCAAGCTCTGATCCAATAAAAGCATCACGTCCTATCACTCCTCCTGGACCACCTATAAATCCAAAATTAAAAGACAAAACTAAAGAATCAGCTGATCTTGTGTGGACAAAGCCCCTCAAGGATGGTGGCAGCCCAATTCTGGGATACATTGTGGAATGTCAGAAAGCTGGAACTACACAGTGGAATAGGATTAATAAGGATGAACTTATTCGACAGTGTGCTTTCAGAGTACCTGGATTAATAGAAGGAAATGAATATAAGTTCCGAATAAAAGCCGTCAACATCGTGGGAGAGGGAGAACCAAGAGAACTACCAGAAACTGTTCTTGCAAAAGATATTCTTTCTCCTCCAGAAATAAGCTTAGATGTGACCTGTCGAGACTTAATTACTGTCCGAGTTGGTCAAACAATACGTATTACTGGCAAGGTAAAAGGCAGACCAGATCCTGAAATAACTTGGTCTAAAGATGGCAAAGTACTAGTCCAAGATAAGCATATTGAAATACTTCATGATCTGCCTAATGTTGAACTGCAAGTGAAAGAAGCCAAAAGATCTGATCATGGCAAATACATAATAGCAGCTAAGAACAGCTGTGGCCAGGCTCAAGCTTTTGCTGTTGTTAATGTACTTGACAGACCTGGACCATGTCAGAATCTGAAAATAAGCTATGTCACAAAAGACTCTTGTATGATCTCTTGGGAGAGCCCAGTGGATAATGGTGGCTCTGAAATCACAAATTACATAGTAGAATACCGTCAGCCGAATCAGAGGGGATGGTCAATTGTCTCCTCTGATATTACTAAGAGATTAGTAAAGGCAAATCTTGTAGAGAACCGTGAATACTTCTTCAGAGTTTGTGCAGAGAACAAAATAGGTCCAGGGCCTTGCATTGAGACCAAGACTCCTATCCTTGCTATCAATCCTATTGACAAGCCTGGAGAGCCAGAAAATCTTCACATTGCAGAGAAAGGAAAGACATTTGTATATCTGAAATGGAGAAGACCAGATTATGATGGTGGAAGTCCCAATTTAAGTTATCATGTTGAGAGAAAACTGAAAGATTCAGATGAATGGGAAAGAGTTCACAAAGGCAGCATTAAGGAAACACACTACATGGTAGATAAATGTGTGGAAAATAAAATTTACCAATTCCGAGTTCAGACTAAGAACGAGGCCGGTGAAAGTAACTGGGTAAAAACAGCTGAAGTTGTTGTGAAGGAAGATCTCCAGAAACCAGTCCTAGATTTGAAGTTAAGTGGGGTTCTAACTGTGAAAGCAGGCGACACAATTAGAATTGAGGCTGGAGTCAGAGGAAAACCACAGCCTGAAGTTGTATGGGCAAAAGACAAAGATGCCACTGATCTCACCAGATCTCCAAGAGTCAGCATTGAAAACACTTCTGACACATCTAAGTTCGTTCTCACAAAATCAAGGCGTACCGATGGTGGGAAATACGTGATTACAGCAACTAATGCAGCTGGCAGCTTTGTAGCATATGCTACTGTTATTGTCTTGGATAAGCCAGGTCCTGTACGAAACCTGAAAGTCACTGACATTTCAAGTGACAGATGTACTGTTACTTGGGATCCTCCAGAAGATGATGGTGGTTGTGAAATACAGAACTACATCCTGGAAAAATGTGAAAGCAAGCGTATGGTTTGGTCTACATTCTCTTCCTCTGTCCTAACAAACTATGCCAAAGTGACACGCCTCATTGAGGGTAATGAATATATATTCAGAGTGCGTGCAGAGAATAAAATGGGCACTGGTCCACCAACAGAAACACATCCAATTATTGCAAAAACAAAATATGATAGACCTGGGCGCCCTGACCCTCCAGATGTCACAAGAGTCAGCAAAGAAGAGATGACTGTAGTTTGGAATCCACCAGAATATGATGGTGGCAAATCAATTACAGGATACATTTTAGAGAAGAAAGAGAAACGGTCACTAAGATGGGTTCCTGTTACTAAAACCCCAATCCCAGAGAGACGCAAGAAGGTTACTAATCTCTTCCCTGGTCATGAATACCAGTTCCGTGTCAGTGCTGAAAATGAAGTGGGACTTGGAGAACCAAGCTTGCCATCAAGACCTGTGGTAGCCAAAGACCCAATAGGTAAAATACCATTGATTTTTTTCTGTATTATTTTAATGTTAACAGATTGCTAAACTGTACAGCTGTGTTCTAATCTCTAATTTTTACTGTTTTACAGAGCCACCTGGTCCTCCCACAAACCTGAGAGTGGTTGATAGCACAAAGACTTCCTTAACCCTTGGCTGGGGGAAACCAGTGTATGATGGTGGTGCTCCAATTATTGGATATGTTGTGGAAATGAGACCAAAAGTTGAGGGTGCCGATCCTGAAGCAGGATGGAAACGATGTAATGTTGCTGCTCAAGTTATTCATACAGAATTCACAGCTACCAGCCTGGATGAGAAGCAATTGTATGAGTTTAGGGTTTCTGCCCAAAACCAGGTTGGCCTTGGCCGACCAGCAGAACTGAAAGAAGCTGTGTCTCCCAAAGAAATTCTTGGTGAGTTTTCCCATCCTCTTTTGGGGTGTTTACATAAAACACTTTATTTGCTTTAGGCTTATTTTATTGCATGTGCAAAACTTTGCATTTTATTTCTTTGTCTTTCAGAACCTCCTGAGATTGAGCTGGATGCAAGCATGAGAAAGTTAGTCACAGTCAGAGCAGGATGCCCTATTAGACTTTTTGCCATTGTTAGGGGTCGCCCAGCACCAAAAGTCACCTGGAGGAGAATGGGTGTTGATAATGTTATCAGAAAAGGACAAGTTGATCTGGTTGACACTATGGCCTTCTGTGTCATTCCCGATTCCACACGTGATGACTCAGGCAAATATTCATTGACACTTGTTAATGCAGCTGGAGAAAAGGCTGTATTTGTGAACGTCAGAGTTCTGGGTAAGTAATGAGAAATACCTCAAGACAATTTTATAACTACTTTGGATGTTCCTGGCAGGAATATTTATGATCCTCAGGTGCAAAAGTTTTTGAGCATAACTCTGTCACCTAACACTAACTCCCTCTGTGTCGAAAGCTTTTGGTCACCTTTAATTTTAACTTATTAAAGAAGAAAATACTAACATAAATTGAAATTTCTTCATAGATACTCCTGGACCTGTGTCAGACTTCAAGGTTTCAGACGTCACCAAGATGTCCTGCCATCTTTCATGGGCACCTCCAGAGAATGATGGGGGTAGCCCAGTGACTCATTACATCCTGCAGAAACGGGAGGCTGACAGGAAGACTTGGGCAACAGTCACGGCAGAACTAAAGAAAACTAGTTTCCAAATAGCGAACCTTGTGCCTGGAAATGAGTATTACTTCAGAGTAACAGCAGTAAATGAGTATGGGTCAGGTGTTCCAAGTGACATACCAAAGCCTGTTCTAGCAACAGATCCTCTAAGTGAGTATGCCTTTATGTATATTTTATGTTTGCCTCCATGGACATTTTTTGTTTATTTTTCTCTAATTTTTGTCAGATGTTTGCATTTTTTAATTAGTACTTCTAAACTGAACAGTGCTGCTAGCTACTTAAGTAAAAACGAAAGTATTTCTGCATCAGTTTCTTTCAAATAATATGATCAGTGAATACCTTTAAAATTATTATGAGTTTCACTCTTTTCTATATTGTCCTGGTTGAATTTGCATGGACAGCATCCAATATTCATGAGTAAAAAAATATTGGAAATTCAGTGTTTAATGTGTTTCTTTTTTCCCCTGAAAGGTGAACCTGATCCACCAAGAAAACTTGAAGTAACTGAAATTACAAAGAATAGCGCTACTTTGGGCTGGCTGCCACCACTTCGCGATGGAGGCTCTAAAATTGATGGATACATTGTTAGCTACAAAGAACATGATCAACCAGCAGATCGCTGGACAGAATATTCAGTTGTTAAAGATCTCTCCATTGTTGTAGCTGGTCTGAAAGAAGGAAAGAAGTACAACTTTAGAGTGGCAGCTAGAAATGCTGTAGGAGTAAGTTTGCCAATAGAAGCTACAGGAGAATATGAAATTAAAGAACAACTCAGTAAGTAACAATTTAAATACTACTTAATATACTGCTTTAATGATTAAATGAGCAAGATACACAGGTTTTTGAGTCATAGAAAGACATTTGCTTTGCAGAGTTATCTGGAGGATTATGGCTAACTGTACTGAGTATTTTGACAGGTCAGAAAAAAATGAGAGTTCACCACTGGTTTAGAATTATTAAATAATTTTTCAGGTATGGTTTAGGTTGGAACCTGAAGATAAGAATTAGGGAGAAGTAATAAGTACCTTCAATGAAGTTTAAATGAAAGAGAAAATGTGTCAGACTGGTAGTTTGAGAGACAAATGGGAAAGTCGAAGCTGTTTTAATATAAGAGAAAATAAGTGGTTTATATTGTAAGGTTGGTTGAGAATATAAAACAAAAGTCAGGGAGGACAGTTTGGCCTGTTTAAGGTGGTGGTGTTCCTGAGGCACAGGAAGATGTGGAGTAAGGGCAGTCTTCTTAATTTGGGACATGGGAAGAAAAAGAAAGAGGTACAGCAGCAGGAGAATGAAAACTAGCCAGTGGAAGGAAGTACACCAAACATGCTGCCAGGCTTCTTTGGGAAAAAAACTTGATTTTGTGCAAAAGAAGTAGGAGAAAAATAATTCAAATATACAGAAAGATTGACTGTGAAAGCATGTTTATCTCAGTAAGAACTTCAGTTTTCTTCACGTTTCTTGTAGAAGGTCAGCAATAAGCAAGCAACGGGTTTCAGATAAAAAGAGGAATTATATTTTGTGCATTACTAGTGCACAAATCTCTACATAAATTGCTTATGTGAAGGCAGTCCAAATTCATAATTATTCTCTTATAAACTGTACAATAACATAAAAGTAAAACTGGAATGAATATTGCCACCTGCAGAAACAGAAGTTGTCCATAAGTGGAACCTAAATTAATGATTTTCTAGACATTCATACAGGTGATTCCACTTAAGAGAGAAACAGAGAAGTTTCGCATGAAAAAATAAGAAAAAGTAAATTAATATGTCACAGAAGTTGAATTCATTTGCCTCTGTGTGATTTTTTTACAGTCCCACCTAAGATTCTGATGCCTGATCATGTTCACATTAAAGCTGGAAAGAAATTGAGGATTGAAGCTCATGTATATGGGAAGCCTCAGCCAGTCTGTAAATGGCTGAAAGGAGATCAAGATGTAGTTACATCCAGTCGCCTTGCTGTACATAAAGCAGAAAAGTCTTCTGTTCTTATCATTAAGGATGTGACTAGAAAAGATACTGATTTTTACACTCTTACCGCAGAAAATAGCTCTGGTACTGATAGTCAGAAAATCAAAGTGACCGTCATGGGTATGTTCCATTTGGTTGTTTTTCAGTCCAGCTTTATACAAAGCTGGTTTTGCTATATTCCAGTGGTTGCCATTTTATTTCATCCCTTTTTTCCTAATATACTTTTTTCATGCAGATAAGCCAGGTCCACCACAGCCTCCATTTGATATTTCTGAAATAGATGCTGATGCTTGCACTCTCTCATGGCACATACCACTTGAAGATGGTGGCAGCAACATTACAAACTATATAGTTGAGAAATGTGATGTAAGCCGAGGAGACTGGATAACAGCTTTGTCTTCTGTCACAAAGACAAGCTGCAGAATTGGAAAACTGATTCCTGGAGAAGAGTATATGTTCCGTGTTCGTGCTGAAAATCGTTTTGGGATTTCTGAGCCGCTTGCTTCTGGCAAGATGATCGCAAGATTCCCGTTTGGTATGCTACTTTTTAATGGCAGCATTTCTCTATTTAAACTTTCTAGTAAGAAAACATACAATTGATGTCTATCTTCATATTCCTTTCTAGATGTTCCCAGTGAACCAAAGAATGCACGTATTACCAAGGTCAATAAGGACTGCATTTTTGTTGCTTGGGATAAACCAGATAGCGATGGAGGCAGTCCAATCACTGGTTATCTCATTGAGCGCAAAGAAAGGAACAGTTTACTGTGGGTGAAAGCTAACGACACAGCTGTGCGCTCCACAGAATACCCTTGTGTGGGCCTCATCGAAGGCCTTGAGTATACTTTCAGAATTTATGCATTGAACAGAGCTGGAGCAAGTAAACCTAGTAAACCAACCGAGTTTGTCACAGCAAGAGCGCCAGTTGGTAAGCCACCCATACCAGTACTTTGCAACAGACTGTTTTTATGATAATTTTCAATATATCTCCAACTTATTATGATCTTTAGTTTGCCCTTCTGTTTATACTTCCATGTGTACTATGATGTCACCCTGATTGCACTGTCTAGGTATGCAGTAAATAAGACCCAGTAATATTAAAGCCATTTTTTAATGTGTTAGCTCTTTTCTGGAAAAATGTACTGTAACCTGTTTTTATTTGCCACAGATCCTCCTGGAAAACCTGAAGTTATTGATGTCACTAAGAGTACTGCATCACTGGTATGGACAAGACCAAAGCATGATGGTGGTAGCAAACTTATTGGTTACTTTGTGGAAGCTTGCAAATTACCTGGTGATAAGTGGGTTCGGTGCAATACAACTCCGTATCAAATACCCCAAGAGGAGTACACTGTGACTGGTTTGGAGGAAAATGCTCAGTACCAATTTAGAGCAATTGCCAAGACAGCAGTTAACATCAGCCAACCTTCAGAACCTTCTGATCCTGTGACCATTCATCCAGAAAATGGTAAGGAGTAAAAAAGCGTTTGATAGCTCTGGTAAGAGTCTGTGCTTTTTGGGGACCAACACTCATGTGAAGTGTGAGACATTTATCTCCTTCTAGATTGGTTAACTCCTGGACTCTCTCCTTTCAGTTCCTCCCAGAATAGAGTTGGATGTGTCTATGCAATCACAGCTTACAGTAAAAGCTGGAACTAATGTGCGTCTGGAGGCAAATGTATATGGCAAGCCAATGCCAGCAATCACCTGGAAGAAAGAAGGAGAAGTTTTAAAGCCATCTGAAGGTGTTAAGATCGCCACAAAGAGAAATCTTGCTACAGTTGAGTTGTTCAGTGTTAACAGGAAGCAAACAGGAGACTACACTATTACTGCTGAAAATGCAAGTGGATCAAAGTCAGCAACCATTAGGCTTAAAGTACTTGGTAAGCTAAAGACTGTCTATTAATAAATACATTTACAATTAAATGATATAGCAAGGGATAGAATTATAACAATGTGATATTAATTGTTCTAGATAAGCCTGGCCCACCAGCTTCTGTCAAAATCAAACATATGTATGCTGACCGCGCAATGCTTTCTTGGGAGCCTCCTCTGGAAGATGGAGGTTCAGAAATTACCAACTACATTGTAGACAAGCGTGAAACAAGCAGACCTAACTGGGCCCAAGTCAGTGCCAATGTACCCATTACCAGCTGCACAGTGGAGAAACTAATAGAAGGACATGAGTACCAGTTCCGCATTTGTGCTGAAAACAAATATGGTGTTGGAGACCCCATCTTAACTGAACCAGCGGTTGCTAAGAATCCCTATGGTAAGTGCTTTGTGGAATGGTTTCATTAGTCCCTGGGTTTTTGTCTATACTTATGAATGTGAATGTAATTTTCAAATAAATCTCTACAGATGTACCCGGACCTTGTGATCCACCAGTAATTAGCAATGTGACAAAAGACTTTATGACTGTTAGCTGGAAGCCGCCAGCTAGTGATGGTGGATCCCCGATAACCGGTTATATACTTGAGAAGCGTGAAACGAAGGCTCTTAACTGGACAAAAGTAAACAGAAAGCCTGTCATTGAAAGAACTGTAAAAGCTACTGGACTCCAAGAAGGAACAGAATATGAGTTCCGGGTGATAGCATTGAATAAGGCTGGACCTGGCAAGCCCAGCGCACCATCTAAAGCAGTGTATGCTCGTGATCCTCAATGTAAGCTAAAAGTCTCAGATATTTTCCTTTGTAATTTCGAAATATTATCATGCAGCATTGGGTATGCTGACTTTATGTTGTTTTAATTCCCAGATCCTCCTGGCCCACCTGCTTTCCCAAAAGTGGTTGATACTACTCGTAATTCGATTAGCCTGTCATGGAGCAAACCAGCGTATGATGGAGGAAGCCCTATCATTGGTTATCTAGTGGAATCAAAAAGAGCTGACACAGACAACTGGGTCAGATGCAATCTACCCAAGAATTTACAGGCTACACATTTTGTGGTAACAGGGCTGATGGAAGATACAGAGTACCAGTTCCGTGTATATGCTGTCAATAAGATTGGATACAGCGATCCAAGTGATGTTCCTGATAAACACACTGCCAAAGACATTTTAAGTATGTTCACTGAAAACAGATTGCCTTGTTGACTTTTGTTTCAATTCATGGGATGAGTCTCAAAGACAGACTTTGTCACAGGTCACAGGCGCAGATTAATTTGGAACATGTTTTTACTCAAAAAATGTGGGCTAACAGTGGCTAATTTGGAAGAAAATAGGGCACTTAGGAACAGAACAGAATTTGGTGTCTGCTTTTTTTCATTTATATGCTTTATAACCTTCTGGCTCCTACTGGATCTTCAAGATTATTTTCTTTTTCTAATCCTAAAATTAGAATTTCCGGATCTCTCATCTTTCTTAAAACTTTCAGTCACCTTCATATCTTTAAATAATTTGAGTCAAGATTACTATTCTAAGCAGCTGTATGATGCTCTTTGATTGTATGACGCTCCTTGAGAGACATGCTGGCTTTTGTATTTATTTTGCTGCACATACAAAAGCATTGCTTCACAAAACTGTCTTAGTTCAAGAAAAGCATTAGAGTCCAGGAGGCTCTGAAACTCCTTGGAATTCTAGAGAAACTGATAGCCTTTCAAACATAAATGATGTAAAGGCAGGGGAAAAAAAAAGGAGGTGAAATTGGTGCAAAAAAGGGTATATTTGCAAATTGTCTTCAAATAGGAGTCAGGACACTAGCATCATCACAGGTATAAGAAGTTGCTTAGTCTGGTGGAGTGCCTGTAAAAAGGGACTGTTTGTCAGAGTAACTTTGTGATCATCTTAAAGATGATTCTTTAATTACATGGGTTTTTTTCTTAAACACGCAGTTCCACCTGAAGGAGAACTTGATGCAGAGCTAAGAAAAGTCCTTGTGTTGCGTGCTGGAGTCACAATGAGACTTTATGTGCCAGTAAGAGGACGTCCACCTCCTAAGATTTCATGGTCTAAAGTGGGTGCCAACCTAAGAGATAGACAAGGATTAGACATCAAGTCAACTGATTTTGATACCTTCCTGCGTTGTGAAAATGTAAATAAATACGATGCTGGAAAATACGTCCTCAGTCTGGAGAACAGCTGTGGCAAAAAGTCATATACCATTGTTGTAAAAGTACTTGGTAAGTCTAAGGGCTTTCCCCATTATAGTATACTTGTTAATTTTTTAACTGGTTTTTAAAATTTTGTTACTAAATCAAATACATTGTTGTTGTGTTTATCCAGATACGCCAGGCCCACCCATTAACCTGATTGTAAAGGAAGCATCTAAAGATTCTGCCTTCATTACATGGGAACCTCCTCTAGTAGATGGGGGCAGTCCAATCAAAAATTATGTTGTTGAAAAACGTGATGCAGAAAGAAAATCATGGTCCACAGTAACAACAGAGTGTCCAAAGACAAGCTACAGGATAACTAACTTAGAAGAAGGCAAATCTTACTTCTTCAGAGTTTTTGCTGAAAATGAATATGGTATTGGTGATCCTTGTGAAACTCGTGATGCTGTCAAAGCTTCTGGTAGGAAAAATGAATATTTTTCATCTATTTCTGCGGTTCAAATAATCTTTATTTTTAGCTTGAATGAAAACTTACTATGCTTTTCTTCCTTCTAGAAACACCTGGGCCGGTTGTGGATCTAAAAGCTTCAGCTGTTACAAAATCCTCATGCAATTTGGTATGGAAGAAACCTATCAGTGACGGTGGAAGCCGTATTTCTGCATATATTGTTGAAGTTCTGGTTGGTGATAATAAATGGCAAGAAGTCATGCGGGGAAAGAATCTCCATTTTTCAATGAGAGACTTAAAAGAAGGACAAGAATACACTTTCAGAGTGAAGGCCCAAAATGATGCTGGATATGGAACTCCATCAGAGATCACAATTGTAGCAAGAGATGATGTTGGTGAGAAGCAAGATCATTAATTCAATGCTTTACTTTCCCAAATTATATTTTATGCATGCTATCATTACCCTGGATACATAGAAATAAGACACCTTTAAAGCAGCATCTTAATTTTACCGCAGAGGTTATGCATAGGGGAATAACTAGTTTCCTTCATTTTTCACAGCGGCACCTGAACTTGACTTAAGAGATCTACCTGATTTGTGCTATACAGCTAAAGAGGGTAGCAATTTCCGTCTTAAAATCCCTATGAAAGGCAAGCCTGTCCCAACTGTGACTTGGAAGAAGGATGAAGACCAGGCAATTACTGAGAGTGGGAGAGTTGCATTTGAATCTACAGCAGTTAACACCACTCTTGTAGTACACGACTGCCAGAAAGCTGATGCAGGAAAATACACAATAACTCTGAAGAATGTTGCTGGCAGCAAGGAAGGCACTATTTTTGTGAAAGTTGTTGGCAAACCTGGCATACCAACAGGTCCAGTGAAATTTGACGAAGTCACAGCTGATGCCATTACCTTAAAATGGGGCCCTCCAAAAGACGATGGTGGTTCAGAAATCACTAACTATGTTCTAGAGAAGAGAGATAACATAAATAATAAGTGGGTGACTTGTGCCTCTGCAGTCCAGAAAACCACATTTAGAGTTACAAGGCTTCATGAAGGAAATGAATATACATTCAGGATCAGGGCTGAAAACAAATATGGAGTAGGGGAAGGTCTTAAATCAGAGCCTGTCATTGCAAAACATCCATTTGGTAAGTATCCATTATAATTTTTGGGATGTAAAAAATTTATTTTAGAGATGATAATAATTTTTAACATTACTTCATTTTTTCAATATTGTTCAGATGTCCCAGATGCTCCTCCACCTCCCAATATTGTTGCTGTTCGGCATGAGTCTGTAGCTTTAACTTGGACTGATCCCAGAAGAAATGGAGGTTCACCAATCACAGGTACATCCCCCAAAACCTCCCTAGTATTTCAGTTCTTAATAGTACTTTCTCTCTGTCAAAGGATAAGATAAAAGTAGCAGGTGTTTATGCACTAAGTTGAGTGAGTGGTTGATTGATTGATTGATTGACTGATTTCACTGGTTTGCTTCCTATTAAAAAAAAGAAATAAATATTGGGAAAGTACTAACTGAGAAACAATGTCTTTGCTCAGAGCCAAAATAAGTAAAGAGGTAAACCCCAACTCACCTGTATGTGACAGTTCTTGGGTCTACAAAATTAACAATTTCCATTTACAAATACCTCCTCATTGCAATTACATACATCTGTCGTGTATGTCCACATCCATTTCTTAACCTGGTTTTTGGTGCTCCTCTTGCACAATGCGTATGCAACATGCAATGTAGGCAGTATGATGTTTCACAATGCTGTGAGAAATTAAGATTTCTAGAACCACCCCCCCATATTTTCATCTCATTGTTTATCTTTTAGGTTATCACATTGAAGTTAAAGAAAGAAATAGTCTTCTGTGGAAGAGAGCAAATACCACGCCAATAAGAATGAAAGATTTCAGAGTGACAGGGTTAACTGAAGGTCTGGAATATGAATTCAGAGTAATGGCAATCAATATGGCTGGAGTAGGTAAACCAAGTCTCCCATCTGAACCAGTTGTGGCACTTGATCCTATTGGTAAGTCATCAGGAAAATAAAAAGGAAAATTCTGAAATTTGAAATACTTTTTATTTGACTGCTATTTAATATTTTTTCCTTCTAGATCCTCCTGGGAAACCTGAAGTTATCAATGTAACCAGGAACTCAGTAACACTCATTTGGACAGAACCAAAATATGATGGTGGACATAAATTAACTGGCTATATCGTAGAAAAGCGTGATTTACCCAAAAAGACATGGATGAAAGCTAATCACGTGAATGTTCCAGACTGTGCATTTACTGTAACTGACCTTACTGAAGGCTGCAAATATGAATTCAGAATTAGAGCTAAGAATACCGCTGGAGCTATCAGTCCTCCATCTGAATCCACAGGAACCATAATATGCAAGGATGAGTATGGTATGTAGATGGCATTGAAAAGGTGGAATTTTACTTGAGTAATTACTATCAAATTTCTTTTGTTTCTTAACCCTGTGTTCTTGTTGTAACAATCAGTATTTTTTGTCTTTGTTTTGACAGAGGCACCAAGCATTGTTCTGGATCCTACTGTGAAGGAAGGTTTAACAGTGAAAGCAGGGGAAACCATCACACTGTCTGCTATTAGTATCCGTGGCAAACCACCTCCGACTTCAGCATGGTCAAAAGCTGGAAAAGATTTTAGACCCTCAGAGCTTGTGCACATTGAAACCAAACCAACTTCTTCTACTCTAAGTGTCAAATATGCAGCCAGAAAAGATTCTGGAGAATACACCATCACTGCAACCAATCCTTTCGGCACTAAGCAGGAGACTGTACATGTGAAAGTTTTAGATATTCCAGGACCTCCAGGGCCTATTGAGATCAGCAATGTTTCAGCAGAAAAAGCAACTCTTACATGGACACCTCCTGCAGAAGATGGTGGATCACCAGTAAAATCATACGTTCTTGAAAAGAGAGAAACAAGTCGTCTGCTCTGGACATTGGTTGCTGAAAACATTGAGAGCTGTAGGCATGTTGTTAGCAAGCTCATTCAAGGAAATGAATATGTTTTCCGTGTCTCAGCAGTAAATCAGTATGGCCAGGGTGAACCAGTACAATCAGAACCAGTTAAAATGGTGGATAGATTTGGTAAGTAGAACAAGCTAAGAGATTCCAGTGTGATTTTATTAATTTCTAATGACACTGTTTTTTGTTTAACTATACTTTCTTCTGCCTGAACAGGTCCTCCAGGCCCTCCTGGAAAACCAGAAGTAACAAATGTAACTAAAAATACTGTCACAGTTACATGGAAAAGGCCAGTCGATGATGGTGGCAGTGAAATCACAGGTTACCATGTGGAGCGAAGAGAAAAGAAGGGTTTAAGATGGGTGAGAGCAACAAAGAAACCAGTTTCAGATCTTAGATGCAAAGTAACTGGTCTTCTGGAAGGAAATGAATATGAATTCCGTGTCAGCGCAGAAAACAGAGCTGGAGTCGGACCACCAAGTGATACTTCAAACTCAGTCCTTTGCAAAGATGTTGCATGTCAGTATCATGCTTTTTCTTTTTGGGGGTGGGTGGGATGGGCATTCAGAGAGCATAAAATGACTTCTGCTGTAATGTAATGTTTTATCTTTTATTGGCTTTTCAGACCCACCAGGTCCACCTGCAAATCCAAGAGTGACTGATACCACAAAGACAAGTGCATCTTTAGCCTGGAGCAAGCCTCACTATGATGGTGGTCTTGAAATCACTGGCTACATAGTAGAGCATCAAAAAGAAGGAGAAGATGAATGGGTGAAAGACACAATAGGGACTGCTTTAAGAATCACTCAGTTTGTTGTATCTCATCTGCAGACCGGAGCCAAGTATAATTTCAGAATCTCTGCCATGAATGCTGCAGGTGTTGGTGAACCAGCAATAATTCCAAGTGTGGAAATTGTTGACCGAGAAGAGATTCCTGACTTTGAACTGGATGCTGAGCTAAGAAGAACACTTGTTGTTAGAGCTGGATTAACAATTCGGATTTTTGTACCAATTAAAGGACGTCCAACTCCAGAAGTTACATGGACAAAAGATGATGTTTCACTCAAAGGACGTGCCAGTATTGAAAATACGGACTCTTTTACACTCTTGATTGTCACAGAGTGCACCAGATATGATGCGGGAAAATATGTAATGACTCTTGAAAACGCTGCTGGTAAGAAGACTGGCTTTGTAAATGTAAAAGTCTTGGATACACCAGGTCCACCAATAAACCTTAAGCCTAGAGAAATAACCAAAGACAGTATCACCCTCCAATGGGATATGCCTCTGGTAGATGGAGGTTCACGTATAACAAACTATATTGTTGAGAAACGTGAATCAACTCGGAAGGCATATTCAACAGTTACAACCAACTGCCAGAAGTGTTCCTTCAAGATTCCTAACTTGGCTGAGGGGTGTGAATACTATTTCAGAGTACTGGCTGAAAATGAATATGGTATTGGTGAACCAGCTGAAACTACAGAGCCAGTAAAAGCTTCCGAGGCCCCATCCCCACCTGAGAGCCTTAATATTATGGATGTAACACGGAACTCAGTTAGCCTAGCTTGGCCAAAACCAGAACATGATGGTGGCAGCAAGATCACTGGGTATGTAATTGAAGCACAGAGAAAAGGAACCAACCAGTGGGCACACATCACCACTGTAAAAACGCTGGACTGTGTAGTAAAGAATCTAACTGAAAATGAAGAGTATACTTTCCAGGTTATGGCAGTAAACAGTGCTGGAAGAAGTGCCCCAAGGGAAAGCAGACCAGTTATTATCAAGGAACAAACAATGCTACCAGAGTTTGACCTCCGTGCTATTTACCAGAAAACAGTCATTGCCAAAGCTGGTGACAATATCAAGATTGAAATCCCTGTACTTGGTCGTCCAAGGCCCACTGTGACTTGGAAGAAAGAAGACCAGATACTTAAGCAAACACAAAGGGTAAATTATGAAAATACAGCAACTGCAACCATACTTACCATCAATGAATGTATTCGAAGTGACAGTGGTCAATATCCACTGTCAGCTAAAAATATTGTTGGAGAAGTTAGTGAAGTAATCACAGTCCAGGTTCATGACATACCTGGACCACCTACTGGACCAATCAAATTTGAAGAAATTTCATGTGATTTCCTAACATTCTCGTGGGAGCCTCCTTTGAATGATGGTGGTGTACCAATAAGTAATTACATTGTAGAAATGCGTCAGACTGACAGTACCACATGGACCGAATTGGCAACGACGGTGATACGTACTACATTTAAAGCCATTCGTCTCACTACTGGAGTTGAGTATCAGTTCCGTGTTAAAGCTCAAAACAGATATGGAGTTGGTCCAGCCATTACTTCAGAGTCTGTAGTTGCCAACTACCCATTTAAGGTACCTGGGCCTCCTGGCACTCCTCAGGTGATCGCGGTAACCAAAGAATCCATGACCATTAGCTGGAATGAGCCAGTTACTGATGGTGGAAGCCCAATACTGGGATATCATATTGAAAGAAAAGAGAGAAACAGCATTGTTTGGCAGACTGTAAGTAAAATGTTGGTGTCAGGAAATATCTTTAAATCATCTGGACTTACCGATGGCATTGCATATGAATTCCGTGTTATAGCAGAAAATCTAGCTGGAAAGAGTAAGCCAAGCAAGCCATCTGAGCCTGTGTTTGCCCTGGACCCAATAGATCCACCTGGTAAGCCAATACCTCTGAACATTACAAGACACGCAGTTACACTGAAGTGGACTAAACCAGAATATAATGGAGGTTTTAAGATAACTGGCTACACTGTTGAAAAAAGAGACCTTCCTAATGGCCGTTGGCTGAAGGCTAATTTCAGCAATATACTAGAGACTGAATTCACTGTGAGTGGTTTGACAGAAGATGCTGCCTATGAATTCCGTGTCATTGCTAGGAATGCTGGTGGAGCTGTTAGTCAGCCCTCAGAGCCATCAGATGCAATCACTTGCAGAGATGACATTGAAGCACCAAGGATAAAGGTGGATGCTAAATACAAGGACACCATAGTGCTGAAAGCAGGGGAAGTTTTCAGACTTGAGGCTGATGTTTCAGGTCGTCCTCCACCAACTATGACATGGACAAAGGGAGAAAAAGAACTCGAAGACACAGCAAAATTGGAAATAAAAATAGCAGATTTCTCTACCATTCTCATCAACAAAGATTCCTCGAGAAGAGATGGTGGTGCTTATACGCTTACTGCAACAAACCCTGGTGGCTTTGCCAAGCATATCTTCAATGTTAAAGTTCTTGATAGACCAGGTCCCCCAGAAGGGCCTTTGGCTGTGTCTGAAGTCACTGCAGAAAAATGTGTGCTGTCATGGCTACCCCCATTGGATGATGGAGGAGCAAAGATTGACCATTATGTGGTTGAAAAACGTGAAACAAGTAGATTGGCATGGACATCTGTAGGCACAGAGGTTCCAGTGACGAAACTGAAGGTTACTAAATTGTTGAAGGGCAATGAGTACGTGTTCCGAGTTATGGCTGTTAACAAATATGGAGTTGGTGAGCCTCTGGAATCAGAGCCTGTTCTGGCAGTAAATCCGTATGTTCCACCTGATCCACCTAAGACACCTGAAGTTACAGCAATTACAAAGGATTCTATGGTTGTGTGTTGGGGCCATCCTGATTCTGATGGTGGGAGCCCAATAACTAACTATATTGTGGAACGTCGAGACAAGGCTGGTCTACGGTGGGTGAAATGTAACAAAAGGGTTGTTACTGACTTACGTTATAAAGTGTCTGGACTGACAGAAGGCCATGAATATGAATACAGAGTCATGGCAGAAAATGCTGCTGGTGTCAGTGAGCCAAGCCCAACCAGTCCATTCTACAAAGCCTGTGATACTGTATTTAAGCCTGGTCCCCCAGGCAATCCTCGTGTTTTGGATAGCAGCAAGTCCTCTATTACAATAGCTTGGAACAAACCAATATATGATGGTGGTTCAGAGATCACAGGTTACATGGTTGAGATTGCACTACCTGAAGAAGATGAGTGGAAGATTGTAACTCCACCAATGGGTCTAAAGGCCACTTCTTTTACCATCACTGACCTGAAAGAAAATCAAGAGTATAAAATACGGATATATGCTATGAACTCTGAAGGTCTTGGGGAACCTGCTCTTGTTCCTGGCACTCCAAAAGCTGAAGAAAGAATGCTACCTCCAGAGATTGAACTTGATGCAGAACTACGTAAAGTTGTAACTATTAGAGCTTGCTGTACTCTGAGACTTTTTGTCCCAATTAAAGGAAGACCAGCACCTGAAGTAAAATGGACAAGAGAACATGGGGAATCTTTGGATAGAGCGAGCATTGAATCAACAAGCTCTTATACTTTACTTATTGTTGAAAATGTAAATAGATTTGATAGTGGCAAATACATACTGACAATTGAAAACAGCTCAGGCAGTAAGACAGCATTTGTGAATGTCAGAGTTCTTGATACTCCGGGGGCACCTCAAGATTTGAAAATAAAGGAAGTTACAAAATCCTCAGTTACACTTACTTGGGAACCTCCTCTCATAGATGGTGGCTCTAAAATAAAAAATTACATCGTTGAAAAGCGTGAATCAACAAGAAAAGCTTATTCAACTGTTAATGCCAATTGCCACAAAACCAGCTGGAAAGTTGATTCACTGCAAGAAGGCTGCAACTACTACTTCAGAGTCTTAGCTGAAAATGAGTATGGAATTGGCCTTCCAGTGGAAACTTCAGAATCCATAAAAGTATCAGAAAGACCACTTCCACCAGGAAAAATAACTTTGTTGGATGTGACAAGAAATAGCGTGAGCTTATCTTGGGAAAAACCAGAACATGATGGTGGTAGCAGAATTCTGGGCTATATTGTAGAAATGCAAAGCAAAGGCAGTGAAAAGTGGTCAACCTGTGCTACAGTAAAAGTTACTGAAGCCACCATCACAGGATTGATCCAAGGTGAAGAATACAACTTCCGTGTTTCAGCTCAGAATGAGAAAGGTATCAGTGATCCTCGCCAGCTGGGTATACCAGTTGTTGCAAAAGATCTTGTGATCCCACCAGCTTTCAAACTACTGTTTACCACTTTCAGTGTTCTAGCAGGTGAGGACTTAAAGGTTGATGTTCCTTTTGTTGGTCGACCCAAACCAGCAGTGTCTTGGCATAAAGACAACGTGGCATTGAAGCAGACTACAAGAGTAAATGCAGAAAGCTCGGAAAACAACACAGTGTTAACAATAAAAGAAGCATGCAGAGAAGATGTGGGAACATATTTAGTTAAACTTACAAACTCTGCTGGTGAAGCAACTGAGACACTAAATATTGTTGTCCTTGATAAACCGGGACCTCCAACTGGACCAGTAAAAGTAGATGAAGTAACAGCAGACAGTATTACTATTTCCTGGGAACCACCCAAGTATGATGGTGGTAGCTCTATCAATAATTACATTGTAGAAAGAAGAGACACTTCCACCACCACATGGCACATTGTGTCAGCTACTGTTGCAAGAACAACTATAAAAGCATGTCGTTTAAAGACTGGCTGTGAATATCAGTTCAGAATCGCAGCTGAGAACAGATATGGGAAGAGTACGTATCTCACCTCAGAGTCAATAATAGCCCAATACCCATTTAAAGTTCCTGGTCCACCTGGAACTCCTTTTGTAACAAATATCTCAAAAGACAGCATGGTGGTACAGTGGCACGAGCCAGTCAATGATGGCGGCAGCAGGATCATTGGTTATCACTTGGAGCGCAAAGAAAGAAACAGCATTCTGTGGGCTAAACTGAATAAAACACCTCTTCCAGATACCAAATTCAAGACAACTGGCCTTGAGGAAGGTCTTGAATATGAATTCAGAGTCTCTGCAGAAAACATAGTGGGAATTGGAAAGGCAAGTAGAGCATCTGAATGCTATACTGCACGTGACCCATGTGACCCTCCAGGTCGTCCAGAGCCTGTAATTGTCACAAGAAGCTCAGTAACACTCCAGTGGAAGAAACCGATATATGATGGTGGAAGCAAAATCACAGGCTATGTTGTTGAAAAGAAAGAATTACCTGATGGCCGTTGGATGAAAGCAAGCTTTACAAATGTTATTGATACTCAGTTTGAAGTAACTGGTCTAGTTGAAAACCAGAGATATGAGTTTCGTGTTATAGCACGAAATGCCGCAGGTGTTTTCAGTGAACCATCTGAGAGCTCAGGGGCAATTACAGCAAGAGATGAAGTAGAACCACCTCAAATAAGTATGGATCCAAAATTCAGAGACACTATTGTAGTGCATGCTGGTGAGTCATTCAAGCTTGATGCCGATATTCATGGCAAGCCATTACCTTCCATTCAGTGGTTTAAAGGTGACCGTGAGCTGACAAGCACCGCTCATATGGAAATAAAATCTACTGATTTTGCCACAAGCCTCAGTGTGAAGGAAGCCACACGAGTTGACAGTGGGCAGTATGTACTACTGGCAAAGAATGTTGCAGGTGAAAAGAAGGTTCCCGTTAATGTCAAAGTTCTTGATAGACCTGGACCTCCAGAAGGACCTGTTGAGTTTACAGGTGTTACAGCTGAAAAATGCACACTATCATGGAAACCTCCACTACAAGATGGTGGTAGCGATATTTCACACTACGTTGTAGAAAAAAGGGAAACCAGCCGCTTGGTGTGGACTGTCGTTGACTCAAATGTGCAAACCCTGAATTGCAAAGTTACAAAACTTCTAGAAGGAAATGAGTATGTTTTCCGCATCATGGCAGTAAATAAATACGGTGTTGGTGAACCTCTTGAGTCTGACCCAGTAGTCGCAAAGAACCCATTTGTTGTGCCCCTTCCTCCAAAGGCTCCTGAAGTCACAGCCGTTACCAAGGATTCTATGATAGTTGTTTGGGAAAGACCAGCCTCAGATGGCGGCAGTGAAATCCTGGGCTACGTCCTTGAAAAACGAGATAAGGAAGGTATTCGCTGGACAAGATGTAACAAACGCCTGATAAGTGAACTGCGGTACAGAGTGACTGGCCTAATAGAAAATCATGATTATGAGTACAGAGTTTCAGCCGAAAATGCTGCTGGTCTTAGTGAACCAAGTCCACCTTCTACTTATTACAAAGCATGTGATCCTATTTACAAGCCAGGTCCACCCAATAATCCTAAAGTTACGGATGTTACAAGATCTTCAGTTTTTCTTTCATGGGGTAAACCTATATACGATGGTGGCTCTGAAGTTCAGGGATACATTGTGGAAAAATGTGATGTAAGTGATGGTGAATGGGCAATTTGTACCCCTCCAACTGGAATTAAGAATACTCACATGGAAGTAGAAAAATTAGTAGAAAAACATGAGTACAAATTCCGCATATGTGCAGTTAATAAAGCAGGAGTTGGAGAGCATGCAGATGTTCCTGGTTCTGTTATTGTAGAAGAAAAGATGGAAGCACCAGACCTTGACCTTGACATGGAATTAAGGAAGATTGTAAATGTGAGAGCAGGAGGTTCCTTAAGACTGTTTGTTCCCATCAGAGGTCGTCCAACACCTGAAGTAAAATGGGGTAAAGTGGAAGGTGACATCAGAGAAGCAGCTGTTATTGATACCACTAGTAGCTTTACTTCCCTTGTTCTAGATAACGTTAACAGATTTGATAGCGGAAAGTATACTCTGACCTTGGAAAACAGCAGTGGAACGAAGTCTGCCTTTGTCAGTGTTAGAGTACTGGATACCCCAAGTGCACCTGTTAATTTGAAAATCAGAGAGATCACTAAAGACTCTGTTTCACTTTCATGGGAGCCTCCTCTCTTGGATGGTGGAGCAAAAATAAAGAATTTCATTATTGAAAAGCGTGAAGCAACAAGAAAGGCATATGCAGCTGTTGTAACAAACTGCCATAAGACTTCATGGAAAGTAGATCAGCTTCAGGAGGGCTGCTATTACTTCTTCAGAGTCTCTGCTGAGAATGAATATGGAATTGGCCTCCCTGCAGAAACCAGTGACCCAATTAAAGTTGCTGAAGTTCCACAGCCTCCTGGAAAAATAACAGTGGATGATGTCACAAGAAACAGTGTCTCGCTAAGCTGGGCAAAACCTGAACATGATGGTGGTAGCAAAATCATACAGTATATTGTTGAAATGCAAGCAAAGGGTAGTGAGAAGTGGTCGGAGTGTGCTCGTGTTAAAACACTTGAAGCAGTTGTTACTAATCTAACTCAAGGGGAAGAATATCTTTTTAGAGTAATGGCTGTAAATGAAAAGGGTAAGAGTGATCCTAGAGCACTTGCAGTTCCAATAGTTGCCAAAGACCTGGTGATTGAACCTGATGTAAGACCTGCTTTCCACAGTTACAGTGTTCAGGTGGGACAGGACCTAAAAGTAGAAATACCAATTGCAGGTCGGCCTAAACCAACTGTTACCTGGGTTAAAGATGGCCAGCCATTAAGGCAGACAACAAGAATCAATGTTAGTGATTCAGCTGATCTCACTGTACTGAATCTTAAGGAAACTTGCAAAGAAGACAGTGGCACTTATGAAATCACTGTGGCTAATGTTGTTGGGCAAAAGTCTGCCTCTGTTGAAATTATTACCCTAGACAAACCTGACCCTCCAGCTGGACCTGTGAAGTTTGATGAAATAAGTGCAGAAAGTATTACCCTGTCATGGAATCCTCCAGTGTACACAGGCGGCTGCCAAATCACCAACTATGTTGTTCACAAGAGAGATACAACAACCACTGTATGGGATACAGTTTCAGCTACTGTTGCAAGAACTACACTGAAGGTGACTAAACTGAAAACCGGTTCAGAATACCAGTTCAGAATATTTGCTGAGAACAGGTATGGGCGGAGTTTTGCATTGGAATCTGCACCGGTTGTAGCACAGTATCCGTACAAGGAACCAGGACCTCCTGGCACACCATTTGTGACAACAGTCACGAAAGACTCCATGGTTGTACAGTGGCATGAGCCAGTAAATGATGGTGGCAGTAAAGTGTTGGGCTACCATCTTGAGAGGAAGGAGAAAAATAGCATTCTGTGGACTAAAGTAAACAAGACTATTATTCAGGACACAAGTTTTAAGACAAATAACCTTGAAGAGGGAATTGAATATGAGTTTCGAGTTTCTGCAGAAAATATCGTTGGTGTAGGCAGAACAAGTAAAGTTTCTGAGTGCTATGTAGCTCGTGATCCATGTGATCCTCCAGGTCGCCCAGAAGCTATAATAATAAAAAGAAGCTCTATTACTCTACAGTGGACCAAACCAGAATATGATGGTGGAAGTAAGGTTACCGGTTATATTGTAGAAAAACGTGACTTACCAGATGGTCGGTGGATGAAAGCGAGCTTCACAAATATCATTGAAACTCAGTTCACTGTAACAGGACTTACTGAAGACCAAAGATACGAGTTTAGAGTAATTGCAAAGAATGCTGCAGGTGCAATAAGCAAACCTTCTGACAGTACAGGACCAATAACAGCAAGGGATGAAGTTGATCTTCCACGAATTTCAATGGATCCAAAGTACAAAGACACTATTGTTGTAAATGCTGGTGAAACATTCAGACTTGAGGCTGATGTTCATGGAAAGCCATTACCAACCATTAAGTGGTATAAAGGAGATAAAGAGCTTGAGGACACTGCTAGATATGAAATAAAGAACACAGATTTCAGTGCACTAATAATTGTAAAAGATGCTATTAGAGTTGATGGTGGTCAGTACATTCTAGAAGCCTCTAATGTTGCAGGAACAAAGACAGTAACAGTAAATGTAAAAGTCTTGGACAGGCCAGGACCTCCAGAGGGCCCAGTCCAAGTGACAGGAGTTACAGCTGAAAAATGTGCACTGGCATGGGGTCCTCCTCTTCATGACGGTGGCAGTGATATTTCTCATTACATTGTAGAGAAGAGAGAAACTAGCCGCCTGGCATGGACTGTGGTTGCTTCGGAAGTTTTACCTACAATGCTAAAAGTAACAAAACTCTTGGAAGGAAATGAATACGTCTTCCGTATCATGGCAGTTAACAAATATGGGGTTGGTGAGCCATTAGAATCTGTGCCAGTAATGATGAAAAATCCATTCGTGGTTCCTGGACCACCAAAAGCCTTGGAAATTACCAACATCACAAAGGATTCTATGACTGTCTGCTGGACCAGGCCAGATAGTGATGGAGGTAGTGAAATCATAGGTTACATTGTAGAAAAGAGAGACCGAGCAGGCATCAGATGGATAAAATGCAATAAACGCCGCATTACAGATTTGCGGTTAAGAGTTACCGGTTTAACAGAGGATCATGAATATGAATTCAGAGTTTCTGCTGAAAATGCTGCTGGAGTTGGTGAACCAAGCCAAGTTTCTCCCTACTTCAAAGCTTGTGACCCAATGTTCAAGCCTGGCCCACCTACAAATGCCCATGTTGTGGATACCACCAAAAATTCAGTTACGCTTGGTTGGAGTAAACCTATTTATGATGGTGGTTGTGAAATCCAGGGGTACCTTGTAGAAATCTGTAAAGCAGAGGAAGATGAATGGTCACTTGTTACTCCACAGACAGGTATACGTGCCACTCGATTTGAGATCAAAAAGCTTACTGAACATCAAGAATACAAACTACGAGTGTGTGCTCTCAACAAGATTGGTGTGGGAGAGGCTGCATCAGTTCCTGGTACTATTAAACCAGAAGACAAACTTGAAGCTCCAGAGCTTGATATTGATTCAGAGCTAAGGAAAGGGATAGTGGTTAGAGCTGGTGGGTCTGCTAGGATTCACATACCATTCAGGGGACGACCAACACCTGACATCACATGGTCCCGGGAAGAAGGCGAATTCTCAGAAAAAGTTCAGATTGATAAAGGCATAAACTACACACAACTTTCAATTGACAACTGTGATAGAAATGATGCTGGAAAGTATATTCTCAAGCTAGAGAACAGCAGTGGTTCTAAATCTGCATTTGTTACAGTGAAAGTCTTAGACACGCCAGGACCCCCACAGAACTTAGTGGTAAAGGATGTAAAGAAGGATTCTGCTGTATTATCTTGGGAGCCACCGATTATTGATGGTGGTGCAAAGGTAAAGAATTATGTGATAGACAAGCGTGAGTCAACCAGGAAGGCATTTGCAAATGTAAGTGCTAAGTGTGGCAAGACTAGTTTTAAAGTTGAAAATCTTACAGAAGGAGCAATTTACTACTTCAGAGTTATGGCTGAAAATGAATATGGAATTGGTGTTCCAGTTGAAACCAAGGATGCTGTCAAAGCCTCAGAGCCACCTTTGCCTCCTGGGAAAGTAACACTCACTGATGTGACTCAGAGAAGTGCATCACTTATGTGGGAAAAACCTGAGCATGATGGAGGTAGCAGAATTCTGGGATACCTTGTTGAAATGTTGCCTAAAGGAACAGAAAAATGGAGTGTTGTTAGTGAGACCAAAACTTGTAATGCAGAGGTGTCTGGTTTGAGTCCAGGACAGGAATATCAATTCCGTGTGATTGCCTACAATGAAAAAGGCAAAAGTGATCCCAGAGCACTTGGAATTCCTGTGATAGCTAAAGACTTGACTATTGAGCCAAGTTTCAAACTGATGTTTAATACATACAGTGTACAAGCTGGAGAAGATCTGAAGGTAGAAGTACCATTTATTGGCAGACCCAAACCTACGATTACTTGGACAAAAGATGAGCAGCCACTGAAACAGACAACCAGATTAAATATTCAGAATACAACAACATCAACTATTTTGCATATAAAAGAAAGCAACAGAGAAGACTTTGGTAAATATACAGTAACAGCAACAAATTCAGCTGGTACAGCAACAGAGCACCTGAGCATAATCGTACTAGAAAAGCCTGGCCCACCACGAGGACCTGTCCGCTTTGATGAAATTAGTGCGGACTTTGTTGTTTTATCATGGGATCCACCTGATTATACTGGTGGCTGCCAGATAAGTAACTATATAGTAGAAAAGCGTGACACAAGCACTACCACGTGGAGCATCGTGTCAGCAACAGTTGCAAGAACAACCATAAAAGCAACAAAGCTTAAAACAGGTTCTGAATACCAGTTCAGGATTTCTGCTGAAAATAGATACGGAAAGAGCTCTCCTTTGGCTTCTAAATCAGTTGTTGTGCAATACCCCTACAAGGTGCCTGGACCACCTGGAACCCCATTTGTTACAGCAGCTTCCAAGGACCATATGATTGTACAATGGCATGAACCAGTTAATGACGGAGGAAGCAAAATTCTTGGCTATCATCTTGAGCGTAAAGATAAGAACAGCATTCTTTGGACAAAACTGAACAAATCACTTATTGTGGACACCAAATATAAAACAGACGGCCTTGAAGAAGGTCTTGAATATGAGTTCAGAGTTTCTGCTGAAAACATTGTTGGCATTGGCAAAGTCAGCAAAGTATCAGAACTGTATGTTGCCCGAGATCCTTGTGACCCACCTGGCCGCCCAGAGGCCATTGTTGTTACAAGAAGTAATATCACACTGAAGTGGAAAAAGCCAGAATATGATGGTGGAAGCAAAATAACTGGTTATATTGTAGAAAAGAAAGAACTGCCAGATGGTCGCTGGATGAAAGCCAGCTTTACAAATGTGTTGGAAACAGAATTCACAGTAAGTGGTCTTGTTGAAAACCAGCGATATGAATTCAGAGTAATTGCAAGAAATGCAGCAGGTTGCTTTAGTGAACCATCTGAAAGTACAGGACCTATTACTGCCAGAGATGAAATTGAAGCACCAGGAGCTTCACTGGATCCTAAATACCGAGATGTCATTGTTGTTCACGCTGGTGAAACCTTTGTTCTTGAAGCTGATATCCATGGGAAACCTATTCCTGACATTACATGGTCAAAAGATGGTAAAGACCTTGAAGAAACAACTGCAAGAATGGAAATTAAATCTACCATTGAGAAAACAATTCTCACTGTCAAAGACTGTATAAGAGTAGATGGAGGTCACTATACTCTTAACCTCAAAAATGTTGGTGGCACCAAATCTATACCAATCACTGTAAAAGTGCTTGACAGACCAGGACCTCCAGAAGGACCTTTGAATGTTACAGGTGTCACTGCAGAAAAATGCTACTTGTCATGGTCTCCACCTTTACATGATGGTGGTTCTAGTATCTCACATTATATCATTGAGAAGAGAGAGACAAGCAGGCTTTCCTGGACTCAAGTAGCCACAGACGTGCAGGCTCTTAATCACAAAGTAACTAAACTCCTTCCTGGCAATGAATACATTTTCCGCGTAGTAGCTGTGAATAAATATGGAGTTGGAGAGCCCTTGGAATCTGAACCAGTTGTGGCTCGTAATCCGTACAAACCCCCTGGCCCCCCTTCAACACCTGAAGTTTCAGCAATCACAAAAGATTCTATGGTGGTAACATGGGGTCGCCCAGAAGACAATGGGGGAGCTGAAATTGAAGGTTACATACTTGAGAAACGAGACAAAGATGGTATCCGATGGACCAAATGCAATAAGAAAAGGCTGACAGACTTGAGATTCAGAGTAACAGGTCTAACCGATGGGCATTTCTATGAATTTAGAGTGTCTGCTGAAAATGCTGCAGGGGTAGGGGAACCCAGTGAGCCATCCATTTTCTATCGTGCTTGTGATATATTATATCCACCAGGTCCACCTAGCAATCCAAAGGTTACAGATACTTCCAGGTCATCAGTTTCTCTTGCCTGGAGCAAACCCATTTATGATGGTGGTGCTCCAGTTAAAGGCTATGTAGTAGAAGTAAAAGAAGCTGCTGCTGATGAATGGACTACCTGCACCCCACCAGCAGGCATCCAAGCAAAACAGTTCACCGTGACAAAGCTAAAAGAGAACCAGGAATACAACTTCCGCATCTGTGCTATCAACTCAGAAGGAGTAGGAGAACCTGCCACTATACCTGGTGCAGTCTTAGCAGAGGACAAGATTGAACCTCCTGAAATTGAACTTGATGCGGATCTCAGAAAAGTAGTCACTGTACGTGCTAGTGCTACTTTACGCCTGTTTGTCACCATCAAAGGAAGACCAGAACCTGAAGTTAAATGGGAGAAAGCAGAAGGAACAATTAGTGAGAGAGCTCAGATTGAAGTCACCAGTTCCTACACGATGCTGGTCATTGACAATGTCAATAGATTTGATAGTGGTAGATACAATCTTACTTTAGAGAACAACAGTGGCAAAAAATCTGCTTTTGTTAATGTCAGAGTGCTTGATACACCTAGTGCACCTCTAAACCTGACAATCAGAGAAGTGAAGAAAGATTTTGTAACTTTAGCCTGGGAAGCACCACTGATTGATGGCGGAGCTAAAATTACCAACTATGTAGTTGAAAAGAGAGAGTCCACGAGAAAGGCATATGCCACAGTTACAAGCAACTGTACAAAGAATTCCTTCAAGATTACTCAGCTACAAGAAGGATGTAGTTATTACTTCCGTGTTCTAGCTGTAAATGAATATGGGGCTGGTTTACCAGCAGAAACTGCTGATCCAGTTAAGGTGTCTGAACCACCTTCTCCACCTTCAAAGGTCGTTCTTGTTGACGTGACTCGCAATTCTGCTTCAATTAAATGGGAAAAGCCAGAGAGTGATGGTGGTAGTAAAATTACTGGTTATATAGTAGAAATGCAGAGTAAAGGAAGTGTAAAATGGAGTGCATGTACACAGGTGAAAACACTGGAAGCAACAATAACAGGCTTAACTATGGGAGAAGAGTACAGTTTCAGGGTTATTGCTGTTAATGAAAAAGGAAAAAGTGATCCAAGAGAACTTGGTGTCCCAGTCATTGCAAAAGATATTGAAATCCAGCCGTCTGTTGAGCTCCTTTTTAATACATTCACAGTGAAAGCTGGAGATGATCTTAAGATTGACATTCCATTCAGAGGGCGACCTCTTCCCACTACTAGCTGGAAGAAGGATGGGAATCCCTTAAAACAGACAACGAGGGTAAATGTTCAGACATCAAAGACTTTAACTTCACTGTCCATCAAGGAAGCTACAAATGAAGATCTGGGGCATTATGAATTACATCTTTCAAATACTGCTGGATCAACAACAGCTTCTCTAACTGTAATTGTCCTTGATAGACCAGGACCACCAACTGATGTTAAAATTGATGAAGTTAGTGCTGATAGTGTAACTCTGTCCTGGAAGCCTCCAGCATATGATGGTGGATGTCATATTAGCAATTACATAGTGGAAAAGAGAGATACTACCACAACAACATGGGAGGTAGTATCTGCAGCAGTTGCAAGAACATCAATTAAAGTATCTCGACTTGTCACTGGATCTGAATATCAGTTCCGTGTTTGTGCAGAAAATCGCTATGGGAAAAGCACTTACACTAATTCTCCTTCTGTTGTGGCAGAGTATCCATTTAAGCCTCCAGGTCCACCTGGAACACCTCGTGTGGCACATGCAACTAAATCTTTCATGATTGTAACTTGGCAGGTACCTGTTAATGATGGAGGTAGCGTAGTACTAGGATATCACTTGGAGCATAAAGAAAGAAGCAGCATTCTTTGGACAAAAGTTAACAGGAGCCTCATAACTGATACACAAATGAAAGTTACAGGTCTTGATGAAGGGCTGATGTATGAATATCGTGTGTATGCAGAAAACATTGCTGGAATAGGCAAATGCAGCAAAGCATGTGAACCTGTTGCTGCAAGAGATCCATGTGATCCTCCTGGTCAGCCAGAAGTTACCAATATTACAAGAACATCTGTCTCATTGAAGTGGACTAAACCAGAATACGATGGTGGAGCTAAAGTAACAGGATATATTATTGAACGCCGAGAACTACCAGATGGTCGTTGGCTAAAATGTAATTTTACTAATGTGCAAGAAACATACTTTGATGTAGGTGGACTTACAGAGGACCAGCGTTATGAATTCCATGTGATTGCAAAGAATGCTGCTGGACTCTTCAGTCAGCCATCTGAATCAACTGGACCTGTGACTGTGAAAGATGATGTAGAGGCTCCAAGAATTATGATGGATGCTAAATTCAGGGATGTTGTAGTTGTGAAAGCTGGAGAAGTGTTTAAGGTCAATGCTGATGTTGCAGGACGGCCAATACCAGTGATTTCATGGACAAAGGATGGCAAGGAGCTTGAAGGAAAAGCTAGAGTTGAAATCGTCTCAACAGATTACACTACTGCAATAACCGTTAAGGACTGTATCCGAGGTGACTCAGGACAGTATGTACTAACATTACAGAATGTTGCAGGAACAAAATCTTTGGCAATTAACTGCAAAGTACTTGATAGACCTGGTCCACCTGCAGGTCCTTTAGAAATAAATGGCCTTACTGCTGAAAAGTGCCATTTATCATGGGGACCCCCTCAAGAAAACGGTGGTGCCGATATTGATCATTATATTGTGGAAAAACGTGAGACCAGCAGAATTGCATGGACACTTTGTGAAGGAGAGCTTAAAACAACATCTTGTAAAGTGACAAAATTACTGAAGGGTAATGAGTATATTTTCAGAGTGATGGGAGTTAACAAATACGGTGTTGGTGAGCCTCTGGAAAGTGTTGCTGTCAAAGCCCTAGACCCATTTACAGTTCCAAGCCCACCTACATCTTTAGAGATCACCAGTGTGAGCAAAGATTCAATAACTCTCTGCTGGGCAAGGCCTGAGTCCGATGGAGGCAGTGAGATCTCTGGCTATGTAATTGAAAGGCGTGAGAAAACCAGCCTAAGATGGATTCGTGTGAACAAAAAGCCAGTTTATGATTTAAGAGTGAAGTCACCAGGTCTCCGTGAGGGATGTGAATATGAATTCCGGGTTTATGCAGAAAATGCTGCTGGTCTCAGTCTCCCAAGTGAAACCACACCATTGATTAAGGCAGAAGATCCAATCTTCTTGCCATCGCCCCCGTCTAAACCTAAGATTATGGATTCTACAAGGTCAAACATCACAATTGGTTGGACAAAGCCACTGTTTGATGGAGGTGCTCCAGTAACAGGATACACAGTTGAATACAAGAAAACCGATGAAACTGACTGGACAACAGCTATTCAGAATTTAAGAGGCACAGAATATACCATAACTGGGTTAACATCAGGCTCTGAGTATGTTTTTAGAGTGAAATCCATTAACAAAATGGGTGTCAGTGAACCAAGTGATGTCTCAGAACCTCAGGTGGCAAAAGAAAGAGAGGAAGAACCTGCCTTTGAAATTGACAGTGAAATGCGGAAGACCTTAATTGTGAAGGCTGGTGGATCTTTCACAATGACTGTTCCTTTCAGAGGCAAACCAGTCCCAAATGTAACATGGAACAAACCAGACACTGATCTCCGTACACGGGCAAGCATTGACACTTCAAGTAATTGTACATCTCTTACTATTGAAAAAGCAACAAGAAATGATTCTGGAAAATACACATTAACATTGCAAAACATCCTGAACACTACTACCTTGACTTTAATTGTCAAAGTTCTTGATACGCCTGGCCCGCCATCCAATATCGCAACAAAAGATGTAACTAAAGAATCGGCTGTGTTATCTTGGGATGTTCCTGAAAATGATGGTGGAGCACCTGTAAAGAACTATGTCATTGAAAAACGAGAAGCTAGCAAAAAGGCGTGGGTCACTGTGACAAACAACTGTCATCGCCTGTCCTACAAAGTGACTGGTTTGCAAGAAGGTGCCATTTACTACTTCCGTGTCTCCGGAGAAAATGAATATGGTGTTGGTGTGCCTTCTGAGACCAAAGAGGGAACAAAAATAACAGGTATGTTTTACTATGAAAATAATTTACTATGAAAATTTACTATGAAAAAAATTTAATACTTAAAATAATATGTGTTTTAAAGTGTTTACTTCAAAACAATGTCAAAAGCTATAAATATGGATACAGTAAAATAGATCATTTTTTGTAGGTATGTCTCAGGTTTTACAAATGAAAAAGAGCTAAGTAATAGCTTGAATTTTAAATTTTGCTTGGATTTTACTTAAATTATTTCCAATATACAAATTTGTTTAAAAACACATTTTCTTGATCCAGATTGTGTTCCTGTGAAATTGCTAATATAAAAAGTAAATATGTTCTATATTGTTTAACCTGTTGCACTTTTTTTCTCAGAAAAACCCAGCCCACCAGAAAAGCTAGGAGTGACAAACGTCACAAAGGACAGTGTTTCTCTTTCATGGCTAAAACCAGAACACGATGGTGGAAGCAGAATTGTTAGCTACCTCCTTGAAGCTCTTGAGAAAGGACAGCAAAAATGGGTTAAGTGTGCAGTTGTAAAGACAACTCATCATGTTGTCCACGGTCTTAAGGAAAACGTCGACTATTTCTTCAGGGTGTCTGCAGAAAACCAAGCAGGTTTAAGTGATCCTAAAGAACTACTGCTCCCTGTTACAGTTAAAGAACAATTAGGTATGCTTCTTGACATGAGACAAAAGTCACATTAAATTGCATTCATATTTTAAAAGATGGAACACTCTCTTGATGTTTTGGAAATGTTTTCTTTTTCAGAATCTCCCGAGATTGACATGAAGGGCTTCCCTCATAACACTGTCTATGTTCGAGCAGGATCAAACCTAAAAGTTGAAATTCCAGTTTTTGGAAAACCGGTGCCAAAGGTCACATTGTCTAGAGATGGTGTTGCACTGAAACCTACCATGAGATTTCACACAGAAACCACTGCAGAAAGTCTCATCATTAACCTTAAAGAAAGTGTGGCTGCTGATGCTGGCAGATATGACATTACTGCTGCGAACTCAAGTGGCACCACAAAATCATTTGTTAATATTGTTGTGCTGGATAGACCCGGTCCTCCTGTTGGTCCTGTTGTCCTTAGCGATGTCACTGAAGAGAGTGTAACACTCAGATGGCAACCACCAGCTTATGATGGTGGAAGTCAGGTTACCAACTATATTGTGCTGAAGAGAGAAACAAGCACTGCAGCTTGGTCTGAAGTGTCTGCCACTGTTGCTAGAACCGTTATCAAAGTTATGAGGCTCACAACAGGAGAAGAATACCAATTCCGCATCAAAGCTGAGAACCGCTTTGGCATCAGCGACCACATAGACTCGCAATGTGTGGTTGTCAAGCTTCCTTACAGTGAGTAACCAGCTTCTCATGGTATACATTGGTACTTTAGTGCTCTGATGTTGAAAATATAATTTGGTTAACAATCAATTCTTTTGATATCATCAGCTACCCCGGGCCCTCCTTCCACACCATGGGTCACTAATGTTACCCGAGAGAGTATTACTGTTGGATGGCATGAACCAGTCACTAATGGTGGCAGTGCTGTCATGGGATACCACCTGGAGATGAAAGACAGAAATAGTATATTATGGCAGAAGGCTAACAAGACCCTTATTCGTACTACTCATTTCAAAGTCACCACAATCAGCGCTGGCCTTATCTATGAATTCAGAGTTTATGCAGAAAATGCAGCTGGCATTGGAAAAGCAAGTCGTCCTTCTGAACCAGTCCTTGCTATTGATGCTTGTGGTAAGTACTCTCTATAAAATAATGAAACCCAACCATTTTGTTTCCCCCATGATAATCTGTTCTGTACAATAAGCCAGTATTCAAAATAGCTGTTAATTATTGGCAATATTCTTGTTTCCTTCTGCAGAACCACCAAGAAATGTTCGTGCCTCAGATATTTCCAAGACCTCTATCACTCTCTCCTGGCAGAAGCCAGCATTTGATGGTGGTAGCAAAATCACTGGATACATTGTAGAAAAACGTGATCTTCCAGATGGCAGATGGACAAAAGCTAGCTTCACCAATGTTATTGAGACTCAGTTCACAGTATCTGGCCTGACACAGAATTCCAAGTATGAATTCCGGGTCTTTGCAAAGAATGCTGTTGGTTCCATTAGTAATCCCTCGGATGTTGTGGGTCCTATCACATGTGTTGATACATACGGTAAGTGTTTTGCAATGATATAATGTATAATTTTGGTGTACTAGGACAATGGCCATGTTGTTTTCTAGATTCATGGTCTTTTAAATAGGGAAGGCTAGTTTATAATGATTTATTGAAGAAACATGACTGACTGTGAGCATTTGGGCTTGATTGTTAGGACCATCTTTGGCTGTGTCTCCATTTTCAAAGTCTTCCTGTATCTTTATTTTCTGAGAAAAAGAAGTCTGCCCATTGTTCAAGTGGATGTATTTATACATATAATTATCTTTTCTTCATAGGATTAGTTCTAACTTACTCTAGGCTTCTGATTTAAGTTATATATGTTCTCTTTACTTTGATCTGTATTTATCAAATACATTTAACTGTTAGATTAAACAAAGTAGTATTTTTTTTGGGTTTTATTAAATACCGGGCTATGATAAACATGTTTTTAACTTATTCTTATTTTTTCTTCAGGTGCACCTGAAATTGATGTACCACCAGAATATACAGAAGTGGTGAAATACAAGGCAGGAACTTCAGTTAAGCTAAAATTAGGCATCTCAGGCAAGCCTATACCCACAATTGAATGGTTCAAAAATGGCAATGAGGTACTCACCAGTGCACTAGTGTCTTTTGAAAACACAACAGAATTTGCTTCTATACTCATCAAGGATGCAAATCGACTCGACAGTGGCACCTATGAATTAAAATTGAAGAATGCCATGGGTTCAGCATCAGCCCATATTAGAGTACAGATACTTGGTATGTCTTAAGATACAACTGTATTTTACTATTAAACAATAGTTTAGTAATGAATACTTAGCATCTTCTTTCTTCTGCCTTCCACAGACAAGCCAGGACCCCCAGGTGGGCCAATACAGTTTAAGACAGTCACTGCTGAAAAGATTACAATAATGTGGGACCCGCCAGCAGATGATGGTGGTGCACCTATAACACACTATGTCGTTGAAAAGCGGGAGACAAGTCGGGTTGTATGGTCTTTAATTTCTGAAAAGCTGGAGGGATGTATCATAACTACAACAAAACTCATCAAAGGAAATGAATATGTGTTCCGTGTCCGTGGTGTGAACAAGTTTGGAATTGGTGATCCACTGGAATCTGAGCCTGTTATAGCCAAAAATTCATTTGGTAAGAAATGAGTTCTATAAAATAACTTATGCAACTGAATTGTCTCATGTATTGTTTGCAAGTAGTACTCATTTTCTGACATACAATTTTTTACTCAGTTACACCTGGACCACCTAGTACACCCGAAGTCACGAAGATAACCAAGAATTCTATGACTGTTGTCTGGAATAGACCCACTGTTGATGGAGGCAGTGAAATATCAGGGTATTTTCTGGAGAAACGTGACAAGAAGAGTCTAAGTTGGTTCAAGGTCTCTAAAGAAACCATTCGGGACACCAGACAGAAAGTAACAGGTCTGACTGAAAACAGCGAGTATCATTTCCGAGTTTGTGCTGTCAATGCAGCTGGACCAGGCCCATTCTCTGAGGCTTCTGACTTCTACAAAGCTGCAGATCCTATTGGTAAGATCCAATGTGCATTTCTTCCCATAGGTTAAAAGTCAATGGAAAATTACTGGTTAGGGTGGGGTTGTATCAATGTAACTGAGGGTAGATTTTCTTCCTTTTTACAATTAGATGGATTGTGATTGGCGTTTTTTTTTACCTGTAAACTATCATTTACAGATAAACCAGGCTCACCAACAAAGCTGAAAGTTGTGGATACAACCAAGACATCTGTTACCCTTGGCTGGATTAAACCTGCTTATGATGGAGGAAGTCCAATTACCCACTACGTGGTGGAGAAGAGGGAAGGTGAAGAGCAAGAATGGACTGTAGTCAGTACCAAAGGAGAAGTGAGAACAACTGAATACGTCGTATCTCACCTTCAGCCAAGTGTTAATTATTATTTCCGTGTATCTGCTATGAATTGTGCTGGACAAGGAGAGCCTATTGAAATGATGGAACCTGTTCAAGCTAAAGATATTCTTGGTACTGTATTTCTTTGTGATTTATCATTTTTCTGAGTGTTTTTTTTCCCCAAAATGTTTCTTATTTTACATTCCAAGTATGCATTATTAATTTTTCATTTATTTCCACAGTGGCACCAGAGATTGATCTGGATGTTGCTCTTCGGACATCTATTGTTGCTAAAGCTGGTGAAGATGTGGAAATAATGATTCCATTCAAGGGAAGACCTCCTCCAACGGTCACATGGAGAAAGGGTGACAAGAATCTTGGGACTGATGAAAGATATATCATCCAAAACACAGAATCATCTACACTACTTACTATTCCTCAAGTTACACGAAATGATACAGGAAAATATGTTCTTACAATTGAAAATGGAGTTGGAGAAGCAAAATCATCATTTGTGAATGTGAAAGTACTTGACACACCTTCTGCATGCCAGAAGCTGCAGCTCAAGCATGTTTCTCGTGGCACAGTTACACTGGTGTGGGAGCCACCTCTCATCAATGGTGGTTCTGAAATAACAAATTATGTTGTTGAAAAAAGAGATGCTACAAAGAGGGCCTGGTCAACTGTTACAACAAAGTGTTCTCATACCACCTTTAAACTGACTAACCTGTCAGAAAAGACTGCATTCTTTTTCCGTGTTCTTGCTGAAAATGAAATTGGACTAGGTGAACCTTGTGAGACATCTGAACCAGTGAAAGCTGCAGATGTACCTGGACCTGTAAAAGACCTAGCCATGAAAGACTCTACGAAGAGTTCTGTTAAATTGCAATGGAGCAAACCTGACTATGATGGTGGTAGCATTATATCAGACTATGTTATTGAAAAGAAACTCCAGGGAGAGAAAGAGTGGACATACGCAGGCACAAGCAAGAGCTGTGAATTTGTAGCTGACAAACTTAAAGAGCTTTCTGTCATGGAATTCAGAGTCTTTGCTAAAAATGAAAAAGGCATGAGTGACTCTGTTACTGTTGGACCCATTACAGTGAAAGAACTTATAATAACACCTGAAGCTGACCTTTCTGATATTCCCGGAGGTCAGATTGCAGTAAGAATTGGACATAACCTGCATGCTGAATTTCCCTATAAAGGTAAACCTAATCCATCAATGAGCTGGCTCAAGGACAACCTCCCTCTTAAAGAAACAGAACACCTTCGCTTCAAGAAAACTGAAAACAAGATAAGCTTAAGTATCAAGAATGTGAAAAAGGAGCATGGTGGCAAATATACTTTAATTCTTGATAACGTAGTCTGCAGAAAGTCATTCACAATCACTGTAATCACTCTTGGTCCTCCATCTAAGCCAAAACCACCTTTAAGAATAGATGAAATCAAAGCAGATAGTGTAGTTTTGTCATGGGATGCTCCTGATGATGACGGGGGAGGAGAAATTACTGGCTACAGCATTGAGAAGAGAGAAACATCACAAATGAACTGGAAGCTGGTGTGTTCAAGTGCTGTCAGAACAACCTTCAAAGTACCAAACCTTGTTAAAGATACTGAGTATCAGTTTAGAGTTCGTGCAGAAAACAGATATGGAGTGAGCCCACCTCTTGTCTCAGCAGATGTTGTGGCAAAGCATCAGTTCAAACCACCAGGTGCCCCAGGAAAGCCTGTTGTATACAACGTAACTGCTGATGGAATGAGCATTTCTTGGGATGCTCCTGTTTATGACGGTGGTTCAGAGATTATGGGATACCATGTTGAAAAGAAGGAAAGAAACAGTATTTTGTGGCAGAAGGTTAATGTTGCATTAATATCTAACAGAGAATACAGGATTACTGGACTGCTTGAGGGCCTGGATTACCAGTTCCAAGTATATGCTGAAAATGCTGCAGGTCTAAGCCGAGCTAGTGAGCCAAGCAAATTTACTTTAGCAGTCTCTCCAGTAGGTAAGTGAATGATTAATCACTCATCCAAGAAAATTCAGTTCTTGTACATTATTGTGAGCAATAATAAATAAAAATAAATCTTCATTATTTTCCTTTCAGACCCACCTGGTACTCCTGATTACATTGATGTCACTAGGGAAACAATCACCCTGAAATGGAACCCCCCGCTGCGTGATGGAGGCAGTAAGATTGTGGCTTACAGCATTGAGAAGCGGCAAGGCAGTGCAGACCGTTGGCTCAGGTGTAACTTCACTGATGTCAGTGAGTGCCAATATACAGTTACAGGGCTCAGTCCAGGTGACCGATATGAGTTCAGAGTGCTTGCAAGAAATGCTGTTGGCACAATCAGCCCACCTTCACAGTCTTCAGGCTATATCATGACAAGAGATGAAAACGGTAAGAATTTTTTCTTTATATGCTTGGGTATTGAAGCCAGATGGAGTTTCTGGCTGTTCTGATGGGAAGTGGGAAGTCAAGGGACAAAGAACTTTCGAATGAGGTTGTCCTCCCAGTCAATTCAGAACATTTATATTCATACTCCAAGGGGGGAAGTTCTAAATTAAAGACCCAAATCTGGCAGAGGTACATAATCAGTTGCTGAAAAGCACAGCAATCTACATTTCTCTTGGATAAGCATCAGTGGCAAAGTTGGAAAGAAAGCATGGACTGTAATTTTCTGATGCATTGAATAATTTCAAAATTAAAATGTGCCTCAAGTTGCTTGTTGAATAATTTCAAAATTAAAATGTGCCTCAAGTTGCTTGGCATGCTATTAAAACCACATTGCCTTTCACCTATATATATGTTCACAATATATATGATGCACTTATGGATGCTTACAGGGAAAATAAGTTTATCATTCATATAATAACTGCTATTATGTAAGTGAAACAATTTTCTATATCACAGACTTTTATATTTAGTACATTTAGAAGAGTATCAGAAAAATATTTAGCTATATGGAAATTTAGTACATTTAGAAGAGTATCAGAAAAATATTTAGCTATATGGAAATTGATTTATATTTTCCTTTTTCAGTTGCTCCTACAATTGAATTTGGTGCTGAACACTTCGAAGGCCTTACTGTTAAAGCTGGAGAGAGCATTAGACTTAAAGCTCTAATCAAAGGACGTCCAGTACCTAAAGTGACATGGTTTAAGGATGGTAAAGAGATTGATAAAATGATGAATATAGAAATAACTACAGCTATTGGATATAGTACAATCTTCATTAGAGATGCTGTCCGGGAACATCGTGGAGTGTACACAGTAGAAGCCAAAAATGCATCAGGCACTAAACGAGAAGATATTACCATTAGAGTACAAGGTACTGCATCAAGCACTTTCAGCATGCTTTCTAAAAATAGTATTTTATTCTAAGTGTCAGCAAATTATAACTCTGAACCTTTAAAATTGCAGACACACCAGGAAAAGTTGGTGGACCAATACGATTCACAAACATCACTGGAGAAAAAGTCACATTATGGTGGGAACCTCCAGCTAATGATGGTTGTGCTTCTATTTCTCACTACGTAATTGAAAAACGTGAAACCAGCAGGATTGCTTGGGCATTAGTTGAAGATAAATGTGAAGCTTGCAGCTATACAGCACTTAAATTAATTAAGGGCAACGAGTATCAGTTCCGTGTCTCTGCAGTGAACAAATTTGGAGTTGGCAGACCATTGGAGTCTGATCCCGTTATCGCACAAATACCTTACAGTAAGTTTTCCCCTCATTTTGCACAAATATCCATGGAGTTACCAGTTTGTCTTTCTAATGACGTTTTTCTTTTTTAGCTCTCCCTGATGCACCAGGAACTCCGGAGCCTACCAATGTAACAGGAGACAGTATCACACTGACATGGGCACGACCAGAGTCAGATGGTGGAAGCGAGATAAATGAGTACATTCTCGAAAGGAGAGAAAAGAAGAGCATGCGCTGGGTTAAAGTATCCAGTAAGAGGCCCATTACTGAGAACAGATACAGAGTAACTGGCCTTATTGAAGGCAATGAGTATGAGTTCCATGTCATGGCTGAAAACGCTGCAGGAGTTGGACCTGCAAGTGAGGTTTCAAAGCTGATTAAATGCAGAGAACCAGTCAGCCCACCAAGTGCTCCTAATGTTGTAAAGGTGACAGACACATCAAAGACTAGTGTAAGCTTAGAGTGGACAAAGCCGGTTTTTGATGGAGGCATGGAAATAATTGGGTACATCATTGAGATGTGCAAAGCTGATCTTGAAGCATGGCAGAAAGTCAATGCAGAGACTGTTATCGCTACTAAATACACTGTTGTTGATTTGGAGGCAGGAGAACACTATAAATTCAGAGTTAGCGCTGTCAATGGTGCTGGCAGAGGAGAAAGTTGTGAAGTTCCTGCTTCAGTCCAAACCGTGGACAGGCTTTCTGCACCTGAAATTGATATTGATGCAAACTTCAAGCAGACTCATATTGTAAGAGCAGGTGCAAGCATTCGTCTATTTATTGCCTTCTCTGGAAGGCCAGTTCCTACTGCAGTGTGGTCCAAAGCAGATTCTAATCTTAGTTTGCGTGCTGACATTCAAACAACCGATTCATTCAGCACATTGACTGTAGAGGAATGCAATAGAAATGATGCTGGCAAGTATGTCTTTACTGTGGAAAACAACAGTGGAAGCAAGTCTATTGCATTCACTGTCAAGGTTTTGGACACACCTGGTCCACCAGGTCCTATTACATTTAAAGATGTGACTCGAACATCTATTACTTTAATGTGGGATGCTCCTGTTCTGGATGGAGGTTCTCGTATCCTCCACTATGTTGTGGAAAAGCGTGAAGCAAGTCGTCGTAGCTGGCAAGTAGTGAGTTCAAAATGCACTCGACAAATCTTTAAGGTCACAGATCTAGCAGAAGGTATGCCATATTACTACCGAGTATCAGCAGAAAATGAATATGGTGTAGGTGAGCCCTGTGAATTAACAGAACCAGTTGTGGCCACAGAAGAACCTGCTCCACCTAAGAGACTAGATATTGTTGATACAACCAAATCTTCTGTAGTTTTAGCTTGGCTTAAACCTGATCATGATGGTGGTAGCCGTATTACTGGATACCTTCTTGAAATGAGACAAAAAGGATCTGACTCCTGGACTGGAGCTGGACAAACCAAGCAGCTTACTTTCACCGTTGAAGGCCTTGTGGAGAACACAGAATATGAGTTCCGGGTCAAGGCAAAGAATGATGCTGGCTACAGTGAGCCGAGAGAAGCTTTCTCTTCTGTTATTGTTAAGGAGCCACAGATTGAACCAACAGCAGATCTCAGTGACATAAGCAGACAGCTTATAACATGCAAGGCTGGAAGCACCTTTACTATTGATATACCAATCAGTGGGCGCCCAGCTCCAAAAGTGACATGGAAACTTGAGGAGATGAGGCTGAAGGAAACTGAAAGAGTGACCATCAAGACAACAAAAGACCGAACCACACTGACTGTAAAAGACAGTATGAGAGGTGACTCTGGTAAATACTACCTTACACTTGAGAACACTGCTGGTGTGAAAACATTTACTGTCACAGTGGTAGTTATAGGAAGGCCAGGTCCTGTCACTGGCCCAATTGAAATATCATCTGTATCTGCTGAGTCCTGTGTGTTGACCTGGAAAGAACCTGAAGATGATGGTGGGAGTGACATCACAAACTACATTGTAGAGAAACGTGAATCTGGCACAACAGCATGGCAGCTGGTGAATTCCAGTGTGAAACGCACACAGATCAAAGTCAGTCATCTCACAAAATATCAAGAGTACAGTTTCCGAGTAAGCTCAGAAAATAGATTTGGTGTCAGCAAGCCAGTTGAATCAAAAACAGTAGTTGCTGAGCATCCATTTGGTAAGTGAAAATTTGTTTTATATTTAATTATACTGAAAAATTCTCAAAATTTCAAAATTCTTTCCTTCTGACTGAGGTATTTCTAATTACTAACATTTTCCTCCCCACCTTTTTCATGTTTAGTCCCACCAAGCCCACCTTCCAGGCCAGAAGTCTATTCTGTGTCTGCAAGTGCCATGGCCATTCGCTGGGAGGAGCCCTATCATGATGGTGGCAGCAAAGTCATTGGATATTGGGTGGAAAAGAAGGAGCGCAACACCATCCTTTGGGTGAAGGAGAACAAAGTACCATGCTGTGACTGCAACTATAAAGTCACAGGGTTGGTGGAAGGTCTAGAATACCAATTCAGAACCTATGCTCTAAATGCTGCTGGTGTTAGCAAAGCTAGTGAAGCTTCCAGACCTGTAGTGGCTCAAAATCCAGTTGGTAAGTTTTACTTTCAGAGTTACATTTTTACTTAAGCTAAAATAGGATTGCATTTCTCATATTTTCTGCTTCATTCCTCCAGATCCACCAGGAAGACCAGAAGTAACAGATGTCACCAGATCTACAGTGTCACTGAGCTGGTCACCTCCACTTTATGATGGTGGAAGCAAAATAATCGGATATATTATTGAACGCAAACCATATAACGAGTCTGGTGATGGACGTTGGCTGAAATGCAATTACACCATTGTCTCAGAAAACTTCTTTACTGTGACAGCTCTTAGTGAAGATGAAGCCTATGAATTCCGTGTACTAGCAAAGAATGCTGCTGGTGTGATTAGCAAAGGATCTGAATCAACTGGTGCTGTCATTTGCAAAGATGAATACAGTAAGGAATATTTACTTGGAACAATTGAGAACATAATGTTCTAATTTCAGTACTGGCCTGTAATTTTTTTTTTCAAATCTCTTTTTCCAGCACCACCAAAGGCTGAACTTGATGCCAGATTGCAGGGAGAAGTTTTGAGCATTAGGGCTGGATCAGACCTTGTTCTTGATGCAGCCATTGGTGGAAAACCAGAACCAAAAGTCTTCTGGTCCAAAGGTGACAGGGAACTGGACCTATGTGAAAAGATATCTCTGCAATACACCAGCAAGCGAGCTATTGCAATTATCAAGTTCTGTGACAGAAGTGATAGTGGAAAATACACCCTAACAGTTAAAAATGCCAGTGGGATGAAACAAATTTCTGTTCTTGTCAAAGTTCTTGGTATGTATCCCATGATTACTATTAATACTTAGTATACTGAAAAAAACACACATTCTTTTAAATAAGGATGAGATACTTTTCCTTAGCCACTAATGACAATACTTATTTTGATTCCTACACAGATTCACCGGGTCCATGTGCAGGCAAAATCACAGTTAGCAGAGTAACAGAAGAGAAATGTACTCTGGCATGGAACATTCCTGAGGAAGATGGAGGTGCAGAAATTACTCACTATATTGTAGAAAGGCGTGAAACCAGCAGACTTCACTGGGTTATTGTTGAGGCTGAATGCCAGACCTTATCAACTGTGGTTACAAAACTTATTAAAAATAATGAATACATTTTCCGTGTGAGAGGTGTCAACAAATACGGACCAGGTGTTCCACTTGAATCAGAACCTGTGATTGCCAGGAATGCTTTCAGTGAGTGTTACTACTTACCATTCTGCATCAGAATTTGTGGAATGATTCTCATGGATAAACAATGTGTTGAACAATCTCTTTTTTTTCTCATCTTTTTAAAAAATAGCCATTCCAACACAGCCTGGTGCTCCTGAAGAAGTGAGTGTTGGCAAGGAGCACATCATTATTCAGTGGGCGAAACCAGAATCGGATGGTGGCAGTGAGATTAAGGACTATCTTGTGGACAAACGTGAAAGGAAAAGCCTGCGCTGGACACGAGTGAATAGAGATTATACCATTTATGACACCAGACTGAAAGTCACTGGTCTCATGGAAGGGAGCCAGTACCAATTCCGTGTCACTGCAGTGAATGCTGCTGGAAACAGTGAACCTAGTGAAGCTTCACAGTACATGTTATGTAAAGAACCATCATGTAAGTTTCTATATTTAAAACGTATTTTAATATTTATCTATAATAATGGAGCATAAACTCGCATTGACATTTCAACTAAGAAACCCATAACCACACATAAACTCACTGAACTAGATAGCATTGGAATAACTTTAAAAAAGTTATAGTCCATCTTAAATGCATTTCCCAGAATTAGTTGTCTGGAATTTGGTTTTGACAGTAAAATATTTTCTGCACCAATATAAAATGCATCTTCTTCCTTTTCAGACACTCCTGCATCACCTTCAGTTCCAAGAGTTGTGGATACTACAATGCACAGCATAAGTTTAGCATGGTCAAAGCCCACATACGATGGTGGTGCTGACCTCTTAGGCTATGTTCTTGAAATGAAAGAAGAAGGTAGTGAACAGTGGTATCGAGCACATACAACTGCCACTCTGAGGAATGCTGAGTTCACGGTTACTGGTCTTAAAACAAGCCAGAAATACCAATTCCGAGTTGCTGCAACAAATGTGAATGGTATGAGTGAATTTAGCGAATCATCAGCAGAAATAGAACCTGTGGAAAGAATAGGTAATTTGAAAACCTAATGTATCTTTTGAGGAAACTATATTTTCATTTAGGATTTCTGTAAGATTAACTAATTCCTTATTTCTTATACTCTTCATCAGAAACACCTGAACTTGAGCTTGCTGATGATCTGAAGAAGACAGTTACAGTCAGAGCTGGTGGCTCCCTGCGCCTAATGGTCTCTGTATCTGGCAGACCTGCTCCTGTAATCACATGGAGCAAGCAAGGTGTTGACCTTGTAAGTCGAGGTATTATTGATACTACAGACAGCTACAGTCTGCTTATTGTGGATAAAGTTAACCGGTATGACGCTGGAAAATACATCATCGAGGCTGAAAATCAATCAGGGAAAAAATCTGCCACTATTTCTGTGAAAGTGTATGGTAAGTACTGCTACAACTGTATATCAGCATTACAGCACTCTGCATGCTCATTGCTCAGAAATAAGTGTCATTCATTTCCAAAGGAAATTTGCATTTTAAATAACATGAGAATAATTGAGAAGTCAGAGAAACAATCTAATCCTAAGGAAAATACGTAATTTCTGAAGCTGTGCTAGTTTATAAACCAAATCCCAGCATCTTTGTTTTATGCAGAAGTAGTCATTGACTGTAAAATGAAAGGATCCAAAAGGGGGAAAAAAATTTTGTTTGTTTGTTTTAGATACACCTGGTCCACCACCTGCAGTGAGAGTTAAGGAAGCATCAAAAGATTCTGTGACACTTACTTGGGACATTCCAGTCATTGATGGTGGAGCCCCAGTCAACAATTACATAATTGAGAAACGTGAAGCTTCCATGAGAGCTTACAAGACTGTCACTACCAAATGCAGCAAGACATTTTACAGAGTTACTGGACTTCTGGAGGGAGCTTTGTATTATTTCAGAGTACTACCAGAAAATATTTATGGCATTGGTGAAGGCTGTGAAACATCTGATGCAGTACTGGTATCTGATGTCCCCATGGTACCACAAAAACTCGAAGTGATTGACACTACTAAAACAACTGTTACACTTGCTTGGGATAAACCACTGCATGATGGTGGCAGCAGATTGACTGGCTACGTTATTGAGGCCAGCAAAGCTGGAACAGAAAGATGGTTGAAGGTAGTGACATTGAAGCCTACTGTCTACGAACATACCATAATCTCCCTCAATGAAGGCGAACAGTACTTGTTCAGGGTCAGAGCACAGAATCAGAAGGGCGTGTCGGAGCCACGAGAGATTGTCACAGCAGTGACAGTTCAAGACCGAAAGGGTAAGTGTCTATTGTTGGAAACAATAGGGTCAAACTTACACCAAATGAATGTGATAGTTATAAAACAGGTATTTAAAATATCAATTATTTGCTTTCCTTAGTCTTACCAACAATTGACTTCAGTGGAATACCTCAGAAGACAATCCACGTGCCTGCTGGCAAACCCATTGAATTAGCCATTCCAATCGAAGGACGACCACCTCCAACTGTATCTTGGTTCTTTGCTGGTTCTAAACTAAAAGAATCAGAACGCATCAAAACGGAGACTTCTGCCAAAATGGCCAAATTAACTGTGCGTGAGACCACCATCCATGACACTGGGGAGTATACACTTGAACTGAAGAACACAACTGGAACAGTTACTGATACCTTAAAAGTTATAATCCTTGGTAAGAGTCCATCAAAATAATTGTCCATGATCTTCCTCCATTTTGACATTTACATGAGAAATATGATTCCTTTGTTGTACTTGTTTTGTAAGATCTTTTCTTTTTTATCTTTTTTCCCCCCTAGACAAGCCTGGACCACCTGTTGGACCTATCAGAATTGATGAAATTGATGCAAATTATGTAACCATCTCCTGGGAGCCTCCTGAGCTGGATGGTGGAGCTGCCCTTAGTGGGTATGTGGTAGAACAGCGTGATGCTCACCGTCCTGGATGGCTGCCAGTTTCAGAGTCAGTAACCAGGACAACATTTAAGTTCACCAGACTTGTTGAAGGTGCAGAATATGTGTTCCGTGTAGCTGCTACAAACCGCTTTGGAATTGGATCTTACCTGCAGTCTGAAATTATAGAATGCAAGAGCAGAATCCGTAAGTCTGAATTTTTGTTCATTCTCTATCTTTAAAATTAAAAATATATATTTAAACAGGCCTGAATATCCACACATACACTAGAATTTTCTAGATGTTGCTGCTTCTTTTGGCCAGATAAAATTGTACATTATGATGCACAGTAATCTTGTTCTTTTCCAGAGGAAAAATGCCATCATAAATCTGTATAGGTATTATAGATGTATTGCACAGAACGGGGATGGTAAACTTGGATTTTCTGCTCAGGTCTACCGTCAGTATTGAAAAATTGCTTTACCCCATTACAAAACCAGAAATTTTTCACTGACCTGATTTGTAAATTACTTAGGTACCTGCTAATAAAAGAGTTTGATAAGACATTGATATTACGTTGTTATTCACAGTATGTTACATACTATTAATGTGTAAAGTCATCTTACACTTCCTTCACTAATTCCATGTCATGTTTTTACAGGTATTCCTGGTCCTCCTGGCACTCCAGAAGTGTTTGATATCTCTCGAGATGGCATGACATTGACTTGGTATCCTCCAGAAGATGATGGCGATTCACAGATTACTGGTTATATTGTGGAACGCAAAGAAGTTAGAGCAGATAGATGGATCCGTGTAAATAAAGTTCCGGTCACCATGACTCGTTACCGTTCCACTGGGTTGGTTGAAGGATTGGAATATGAACACCGAGTCACAGCAATCAATGCCAGAGGCACTGGGAAACCCAGCCGTCCTTCCAAGTCTGCTGTTGCCAGAGATCCAATTGGTAAGTGATTTCATACAAAGATTACACACATTATGGTAAAAGGGAATGACATTATGGTAGAATTAATTCTAATCTGGGAAATTTTCTGGGTTTATTAACAAATTACATTCTGACTGGCGAAAATTAAGAAAACATTAGTGAAAATCTTCCATTCAAAGTTTTCCTTTTTAAATCACTATGGACTTATTACAGATCATATGTTGCAAGTTAGCATTTATTTCATCTTTCAAATATTCATAAAAACAAATCCCACCTGTCTATCTGATCTTCTCTTCCAGCTCCTCCAGGTAAACCTCAGAATCCAAGAGTCACTGATACTACAAGAACATCTGTCTCCCTGGCTTGGAGTCCACCAGAAGATGAAGGTGGTTCTAAAGTTACTGGCTACTTAATTGAGATGCAGAAGGTTGATCAATTTGAATGGACCAAATGCAATACTACGCCGACCAAGATTCGGGAATACACCTTGACACATCTTCCCCAGGGTGCAGAGTACAGATTCCGAGTGCTAGCCTGTAATGCTGGTGGGCCAGGAGAACCTGCCGAAGTGCCAGGAACAGTCAAAATAACAGAAATGCTTGGTAAGAAATTTCAAGCCTTAGCTCTTGTTGAAAGCTTTCCTAAAAAAATTTTTGCCTAAAGCAGGTATGATATCATCTGTAGAAGGACATAGCATGATACGTTGTTTTTCTTTACAGAATATCCTGACTATGAACTTGATGAAAAATACCAAGAAGGTCTCATGGTGAGACAAGGAGGAGTAATCAGGCTTACAATACCCATTAAGGGTAAGCCCATCCCAGTATGCAAATGGACAAAAGAAGGACAGGACATCAGCAAGAGGGCCATGATTGCAACTTCTGAGACTCATACGGAACTTGTGATCAAAGATGCAGAAAGAGAAGATTCAGGCACCTATGATTTGGTGCTCGAAAACAAGTGCGGCAAGAAAGCCGTGTACATTAAAGTCAGAGTGATTGGCATTCCAAATCCACCAGAAGGACCCCTTGAGTATGATGATATACAAGCTCGTTCTGTCAGAGTAAGCTGGAGACCTCCTACAGATGATGGTGGTGCAGATATCCTGGGTTATATTGTTGAGAGAAGAGAAGTACCGAAGACTGCCTGGTACACTGTTGACTCTAGAGTGAAAGGGACATCATTAGTGGTGAAAGGACTCAAAGAAAATGTGGAATACCACTTCCGTGTTTCTGCTGAAAACCATTTTGGTATTAGCAAATCTCTCAAATCTGAAGAACCAGCAGTACCAAAGACACCACTAAGTAAGTTTCCTTTTAGGCTAAAAAAAAAAAAAAAGAAATTAATTAGTACATTATGATCCAAAAATGCAACAATATATGCAGAAATTTTAATGCTATGTCACTGTTATTTCTTTTTTTTTATTTTTATTATAATTATTAACAGATCCACCAGAGCCTCCAAACAACCCACCTGAAGTGCTTGATGTTACAAAGAGTTCTGTCAACTTGTCCTGGTCCAGACCTAAAGATGATGGTGGTTCTCGTGTAACTGGCTACTATATTGAACGTAAAGAGACATCTACAGAAAAATGGGTTCGGCATAATAAGACACAGATTACCACTACAATGTACACAGTCACAGGACTTGTTCCAGATGCTGAATATCAATTCCGTGTCATTGCTCAAAATGACATTGGTGAAAGTGAAGCAAGTCCTGCTTCTGAACCAGTTGTATGCAAGGATCCATTCGGTAAGATAATGTCCACCTTAACAGATCTTTTGAAGAGCAGCTTAATGACATTTAGAGAAAAATTGATTTTCTGTATTTATTTTAATTTTCAGACAAACCAAGCCAACCCGGAGAAATTGAGATCACTTCTATATTTAAGGATAGCATTACATTAGAATGGGAACGACCTGAAAGCGATGGTGGCAAAGAGATCCTTGGCTATTGGGTTGAATATCGCCAGTCTGGAGAAAGCACCTGGAAAAAATGCAATAAGGAACGCATCAAAGACAGGCAGTTTACAGTAGGAGGTTTACTAGAGGCCACAGAATATGAGTTCCGTGTTTTTGCAGAAAATCAGACTGGCCTTAGCAGACCTCGAAGGACCGCTATGGCAGTGAAAACAAAATTAACATGTAAGCAAAAATACATTGTCACATTTGCTGTGATATTGTTGCAATTTGATGCATTATAAACCATGGTGCTGCATTTAACATGCTGCCTCTTTGTTTTACATGATATTTGCTTGCATAATTGTCCCAAAGGACAGTCTTTCAAGTATAAAAGGATCAAGTATAATGAAAATTAATTTCCAGTAATATAGTAATAGAGGATAATTTCAGAGTAATCATCATTATTTTTTTCTTTGTTGTAGCTGGAGAAGCACCTGCCATAAAAAAAGAAATGCAGGATGTTACAACTAAACTGGGTGAGGCAGCTCAGCTGACGTGCCAGATTGTTGGGAGACCTTTGCCTGATATTAAATGGTACCGCTTCGGCAAAGAGCTGGTACAAAGCAGAAAATACAAAATGTCATCTGATGGACGCAATCATACGCTGACAGTAATGACAGATGAACAGGAGGATGAAGGTCTCTACACTTGTATGGCTACCAATGATGTTGGAGAAATTGAAACTAGTGGCAAGCTGTTATTGCAGGCTCCTCCTCAGTTCCACCCTGGCTTCCCATTGAAAGAGAAATACTATGCAGGTGCAGGTGGCACCCTCCGCCTTCATGTTGTGTATATTGGACGGCCAGTACCAGCAATAACTTGGTTCCATGGCAACAAACCTTTGAGAGGATCAGAAACAATTACTATTGAGAACACGGAACAGTATACTCATCTTGCTATTAAGAATGTCCAGCACAAGACTCATGCTGGGAAGTACAAAGTACAACTCAGTAACACATTTGGAACAGTTGACACTGTACTTAATGTGGAAATACAAGGTAATTAATTTTCTTTTCAATATTTTTGTGAAATATTTTATCAAATATTGACTGGAAAAAGAAACCAAATTTTTGTGTTTTTTCTTGTACAGATAAACCAGATAAACCAGTAGGGCCAATTGTTATAGAGTCTATACTGAAGAATTCTGTGGTGATAAGCTGGAAACCACCAGAGGATGATGGAGGTGTTATGATAACCAATTACATCATAGAGAAACGTGAAGCCAAGGAAGGGGCAGAATGGCAACTTGTGTCTTCAAGTATCTCAGGCACAACCTGTAGAATTGTTAACCTAACTGAAAATGCAGGCTATTACTTCCGTGTTTCTGCTCAGAATATGTATGGCATTAGTGAAGCACTGGAGGTCTCATCAGTAGTTTTTATAAAGCCTCCGTTTGGTAAGTAGAGCCCAAAATATCCATGTCTCTATGCTCCCGTGGTTTCGTTTAACCCCAGCCAGCAGCCCAGCCCCACACAGGTGTTCACTCACTGCCCCACCAGTGGGATCAGGGAGAGCATCAGAAGGGAAAAAGCTGGAAAACTCTTGGGTTGAGATAAGGACAGTTTCATTAAAGAAAGCAAGAGCTGCGTGCATCAGCAATGCAAAACAAGGAATTAATTCCTGCTTCCCATGGGCAGACAGGTGTTCAGCCATCTCCAGGTGAGCAGGATCCATCACACATAACAGTGTCTTGGGAAGACAAATGCCATCACTTCAAATGTCCCATTTTATGTCCCCTTCCTCCTTTTTATATACTGAGCATTGTGTCATATGGTCTGGAATATCCCTTTGGTCAGCTGGGCTCACCTGCCCTGGCTGTGTCTCCTCCCACCCTCCTGTGCACCCCCAGCTTCCTCACCAGCATGGCTGTGTGAAAAGGAAAAAGGTCTTGGCCCTGTGTAAGCTCTGCTCAGCAACAAAAACATCTCTGTATCATCAACCTTGTGTTCTGCACAAATCCAAAACACAGCCCCATAGTAGCCACTGGCAAGAAAGCTAACTCTACCCCAGCCAAAACCAGCATACCCTGTAATTAATTAGTAAGGCAAGCTCACGTCAGTTTTTGAACTTTGTTATTCTTTACAGAAAAACCAGGACAACCCGGCCAGCCAGTAGCAAGTGCTGTCACAAAGGATTCTTGCGTTGTCTCATGGAAGCCACCTGCAAGTGATGGTGGTGCAAAGATTAGAACCTACTATCTTGAGAAGCGTGAGAAAAAACAAAACAAATGGATTTCTGTGACAACAGATGAAATTCGTGAAACAGTCTACTCTGTGAAAGATCTTATTGAAGGTCTTGAATACGAGTTCCGTGTAAAATGTGAAAATCTTGGTGGTGAAAGTGAGTGGAGTGAGGTATCCCAACCAGTCATTCCAAAATCTGATGTACCAATTAAAGCTCCACATTTCAAGGAAGAGCTAAGGAATCTGAATGTGAAATTTCAAGCTAATGCCACATTTGTCTGCAAAGTCACTGGTCATCCTAAGCCAATTGTCAAGTGGTACAGACAGGGCAAAGAAATCATGCCAGATGGGGAAAAGATCAAGATACAGGAATTCAAGGGTGGATATTACCAGCTGGTCATCACGAATGTAACAGATGATGATGCCACGGTGTATCAAGTTAGAGCTACCAACCAAGGAGGATCTGTGTCTGGCACTGCCTCTCTGGATGTTGAAGGTGAATGAAGGGTCTTGATAATCAAGACAAATTCATTTTAGTTTTGAATATTTAGATTGTTGATGCTCTTATTGTGTGCTTTTGGTTATGTGTTTTTTCTTCCTCCTTCTATTCCAGTTCCTGCAAAGATTCATTTGCCCAAAAATTTGGAAGGCATGGGAGCTGTTCATGCCCTCCGAGGGGAAGTGGTGAGCATCAAGATTCCATTCAGTGGCAAGCCAGCCCCTGTGATCACATGGCAAAAGGGACAAGATCTCATTGATACTAATGGACACTACCAAGTCATTGTTACACGATCATTCACATCTCTTGTTTTCCCAAATGGTGTTGACAGAAAAGATGCAGGGTTTTACATTGTTTGTGCCAAAAACAGATTTGGAATTGATCAAAAAACAGTTGAATTAGACGTGGCTGATGTGCCTGATCCACCAAGAGGTCTGAAGGTAACTGATGTTTCAAGGGATTCAGTCAACTTAACCTGGAATGAACCAGCTACTGATGGTGGAAGCAGGATCATAAACTACATTATTGAGAAACGTGCTACAACAGCAGAGCGATGGATCCGTGTTGCACAAGCTCGTGATACACGATACACGGTGGTGAACCTGTTTGGTAAGACCACCTATCAGTTCCGTGTCATTGCAGAGAACAAGTTTGGCCAAAGTCAGCCTTCTGAACCTACTGATCCAATTGTAACAAAGGAAGATAAGACCAGAGTATTGAACTATGATGAAGAAGTTGATGAAACCAGAGAAATTACAGCAGCTAAAGCAGCTCACTATTCTACAAAGGAGCTCTATGACAAATACATGATTGCAGAAGAGCTTGGACGTGGGCAGTTTGGCATTGCACACCGCTGTGTTGAGGCAGCTTCAAAAAAGACTTACCTGGCCAAATTTGTCAAAGTAAAGGGTGCTGACCAAGTTTTGGTAAAGAAAGAAATTTCCATCCTAAACATTGCTAGGCACCGAAACATCCTGTATCTTCATGAATCATTTGAGAGCCTAGAAGAATTGGTCATGATCTTTGAATTCATTTCCGGGGTTGACATCTTTGAAAGAATCAGCACAGCTTCATTTGAACTTAATGAAAGAGAAATAGTAAATTATGTACGCCAGGTCTGTAGTGCACTAGAATTTTTACACAGTCATAGCATTGGGCATTTTGATATTAAACCAGACAATATTATTTACTTCACAAGAAGAAGCTCTGTAATTAAAATTGTTGAATTTGGTCAAGCCAGACAGTTGAGGCCTGGAGACGGCTTTAGACTCCAGTTCACTTCTCCTGAATATTATGCACCTGAAGTACATCACCACGACTTAGTCAGCACAGCTACTGACATGTGGTCAGTTGGTGCGCTAACATACATACTTCTCAGTGGCCTTAACCCTTTCATTGCTGAAACAAACCAACAAGTCATTGAAAATATTCTAAATGCTGAATACAGCTTTGAGGATGAAGCATTCAAAGACATAAGCATTGAAGCCATGGACTTCATTGATCGCCTGCTAGTAAAGGAAAGAAAATCTCGAATGACAGCTACTGAAGCACTTAATCACGTGTGGCTAAAACAGCAGACAGAAAAGACCAGCACTAAAACCATTAAGACCTTGAGGCACAGGCGTTACTATCAAACTCTAGTAAAGAAGGAGTGGAACACAGTTGTGTCAGTAGCCCGCATTTCCTGTGGAGGCGCAATTAGATCCCAGAAAGGCATAACAGTGGCAAAAGTTAAAGTTGCCCCAATAGACATTGGGCCTATTGCTGGGCAGATAAAGCATAATGTTGCAGAAGAAGGAGGTCATGCCAAATATGTATGTACGATTGAAAACTATGACGAGTCCACACAAGTCACGTGGTACTTTGGTATGAGGCAATTAGAAAGCAATGAGAAATACGAAATCAAATATGAAGATGGTGTGGCAACCATGTATGTCAAAGATGTTTCTAAATCAGATGATGGTACCTACAGATGCAAGGTAGTAAATGATTATGGTGAGGACAGCTCTTATGCAGAACTTTTTGTTAAAGGCGTGAGAGAAATTTCTGAGCACTACAGATGCAGAACTGTTAGAAAAGTGAAACGACGAGTTGATACCATGAGATTGTTAGAGCATCCCCCAGAATTTACTCTGCCTTTGTATAACCGCACTGCATATGTTGGAGAAAATGTCAGGTTTGGAGTAACTATAACAGTTCACCCAGAACCTCGCTTAACATGGTACAAATCAGGCCAGAAAATCAAACCTGGAGATGATGATAAGAAGTATACTTTTGAATCAGACAAAGGTCTTTATCAGCTTGTCATCAATAATGTCACTGAAGAGGATGATGCTGAATATAGTATTGTGGCACGCAATAAATATGGCGAAGACAGCTGTAAAGCTAAGCTGACTGTGATTCCACATCCGCCTCCAGCAGATGCCACACTCAGGCCAATGTTTAAAAGACTGCTGGCGAATGCTGAATGTCAAGAAGGCCAAAATGTCAGTTTTGAGATCAGGGTATCTGGTGTGCCAAAACCAACACTGACATGGGAGAAAGATGGTCAACCTCTATCCTTTGGTCCCAACTTTGATATAATTCATGAAGGTTTAGATTATTATGCTTTGCATATCAGAGATACTTTACCAGAAGACAGTGGCTACTACAGAGTTACTGCTACAAACAGTGCTGGATCTACAAGCTGTCAGGCTTATCTAAAAGTTGAACGCTTGAAATATGTCAAGCGTGAGTACAAGTCAGAGGAAGAGCGGGAGAAGCATGTACAAAGGCAAATTGACAAGACCTTACGAATGGCAGAAATCCTTTCTGGGGTTGAAGCTGTTCCACTGACACAAACTGCACAAGAGGCTCTCAGAGAAGCTGCTATCTTGTATAAACCAGCTGTTAGCTCAAAGACTGTTAAAGGTGAATATGAAATTCAGAAAGAAGAAAAGAAGGAGAAGGAGGAAAGGAGACTTCGTATGCCATATGAGATCCCAGAGCCTCGCAAACATGTGCGTGCTGCTCTTGAGGAAGATCAGCATATTAAACACTTTGTGCCTCTGTCAGACATGAAGTGGTACAAGAAGCTGCGAGACCAGTATGAAATGCCAGGAAAACTTGAGAGGACTGTTCAGAAACGTCAGAAACGTATACGTCTTTCCAGGTGGGAGCAATTCTATGTGATGCCACTGCCACGCATTTCTGATCAGTACAAGCCTAAGTGGCGCATACCAAAGCTGACACAAGATGATCTTGAAATTGTCAGACCAGCACGTCGGCGTTCCCCATCTCCAGAGTATGAATATCACTACAGACCAAGAAGGCGATCGCTTGGCGACTTGTCTGATGAGGAATTGCTCATGCCGATAGATGACTACTTAGCCATGAAGAGAACTGAAGAGGAAAGACTGCGCCTTGAAGAAGAGCTGGAGTTAGGCTTTTCTGCTTCCCCCCCAAGTAGAAGCCCCCCACGCTTTGAACTGTCTGCCCTTCGATATTCTACTGCAGGAGCACAGGTCAGTTCGGAGGAAGAAAGAAAAAGAGAGCTGAGGTATTCAAGCTATCACATTCCAACTAAAGCTGAGACCAGCACAAGCTATGCAGAGCTTCGTCAACGTCACGACAGGGCTGCCTACAGACCACCTAAACAAAAGCAAAGAATAATGGATGAGAGGGAGGATGAAGAATTGCTCCGGCCTGTTGGCGCTGATCAGCGACTCTCTGAATACAGGAGTGAGCTCAAATATATGGCAGAGGAAGAAAAGAGCAGACTCAGGAGAAGGAGGGAAAGAGAAATAACTGAGATCACATCAGAAGAAGAAGAAGAAATAGAAATGGTACAATATGCTCACAGGGAATTTTCACCTCCCTCTAGATTACTTAGGAGAAGAAGATCCCTTTCTCCAACTTACATTGAGTTGATGCGTCCTGTATCTGAATTAATTCGACCTCGCTCACGGCCTCCTGAAGAAAGTGAGAGAAGATCCCCAACACCAGAGAGAACTCGACCACGCTCACCTAGCCCAGTGTCTAGTGAAAGATCTCTCTCCCGGTTTGAGAGGATGGCAAGATTTGATATATTTTCCAGATATGAGTCCATGAAATCTGCTCTGAAAACTCAAAAAACGATGGAAAGGAAATATGAAGTTCTGACTCAGCAGCCTTTCACCCTTGACCATGCTCCTCGCATTACCCTGAGAATGCGCTCACACCGGGTACCGTGTGGCCATAATACCAGGTTCATTCTAAATGTCCAGTCAAAACCAACTGCCGAAGTGAAGTGGTACCACAATGGTATTGAGCTCCAAGAGAGCAGTAAGATACACTTTACCAATACGAGTGGTGTATTAACTCTGGAGATTCTCGACTGCCATATTGATGACAGTGGAACATACCGAGCTGTTTGCACAAACTACAAAGGGGAATGCTCTGATTATGCAACACTAGATGTTACTGGAGGAGATTACACTACATACTCTTCCCAGAGGAAAGATGAAGAAGTACCAAGGCCAATTTTACCTGACTTGACAAAAACAGAGGCATATGCAATCTCCTCGTTTAAGAAAGCATCTGAAACGGAAGCAAGTTCCTCAGTAAGAGAGGTCAAATCAGAAGTGTCAGCAACAAGAGAATCACTTTTATCTTATGAACACTATGCTGCTTCTGAAGAAAAAGTCACTGCAGCTGAAAGAAAATCATTGGAAGAAAGGACTTCACACAAAGCATTTAAAAGCACTCTGCCAGCAACAATCCTTACAAAGCCACGGTCAATCACAGTTTCTGAAGGGGAGACTGCAAGATTTTCCTGTGATGTTGATGGTGAACCAGCACCGACAATAACATGGCTCCGTGCAAGTCAACCTATTGTTTCTTCAAGGCGCTTCCAAGTAACACGAACACAGTACAAGTCTACCTTCGAAATTTCTTCCGTCCAGATATCTGATGAAGGAAGTTACACTGTTGTGGTGGAAAACTCTGAAGGAAGACAGGAAGCCCATTTTACTTTGACCATTCAAAGAACAAAAATTCCTGAAAAAACAATTACATCACCTCCAAGGATCAAATCTCCTGAGCCTCGTGTAAAGTCACCAGAGCCAGTTAAGTCTCCTAAACGAGTGAAATCTCCTGAACCCATCAGCAGTCCCCCAAAAGCTAAATCACCACCTGGAGACAAAATGGTAGCGACAGAGAAAGTACAATTACCAACTGCTTCTCCACCAAAGATAAAACAGCATCTGAAAGCAGAAACTCTTGGAGATAAGGTAAAGTTATCCTGTGCAGTTGAAAGCAATGTTTTAAGTGTCAGAGAAGTGGCTTGGTATAAGGATGGTAAAAAACTGAAAGAAGACCATCATTTCAAGTTTCATTATGCAGCAGATGGCACTTATGAGCTCAAAATCCATGAGCTCATGGAATCTGATAAAGGAGAATACACCTGTGAAATTATTGGGGAAGGAGGTGTTTCAAAAACTAACTTCCAGTTTACCGGCCAAGTATTTAAAAATATCCATTCCCAGGTAAGAGGTGTATCTGAATCTCATAAAACAGTTCAGAAAGAAGATGAGTTACTTACGGTTTCTACCCAGAAGAAATCAGTAGTGGCAACTGAAGAGAAATCTGCAGTTCAAGAAGTCATTAAAAAGTCAGTTGTTACAGAAGATGTCAAAGAATTGAAAGCAGAAATTACAGCTTCTTCAACTAAAATGACAATGTCTGAAGGGCAGAAAGTGACATTGAAAGCCAGTATTCCTGGTGCTTCTGAAGTAAAATGGGTGCTGAATGGAATGGAGCTGAGAAATTCAGATGATTACAGATACGGTGTTTCTGGAAGTGATCACACGCTAACTATCAAAAAGGCCAGTAATAAGGATGAAGGTATACTCACCTGTGAGGGTAAAACTGATGAAGGCATTATTAAATGCCAGTATATTGTGACCCTTTCTAAAGAGCACTCCAGTGAACCAGCATTCATCATGCAGCCCAAGTCTCAAAATGTCAATGAAGGACAAGACGTCTTGTTCACCTGTGAGGTTTCTGGGGAACCTTCTCCTGAAGTTGAGTGGTTAAAGAATAATCAACCTGTAAGTAATCATTTAATATGTTTACTTGAAAAATTAGAATTATCCATAAAATTGACCTTAATGAAACCATTTTTGTTCTCTGCCTTAGATTGCAGTTTCATCGCACCTCAGAGTATCTCGCTCTAAAAATGTATATTCTCTTGAGATTCGAAATGCAGCAGTGAGTGACACTGGAAAATACACAGTCAAGGCAAAAAATTACCATGGGCAGTGTTCTGCTACAGCATCTTTGACTGTACTCCGTAAGTTTGTTCTTCAGATCTCGTGTTCAGAATCATCACAACTTTTTGCTGTATTGTGTCTACTAATATGACTTACAATAAAATCCACTGGCAGTGTTGACTTCAGTATTTTAAGAAGTTCATCTTTCTTTTGTATATTACATATACAGCCCTAAAACAACATTAGAAATCTTTTTAACACTCACAAAGTAGCACAGAGGTGCTCTATTCCATCAACAGGTGCATGTTAAGAGAAAGCTATGAGCATTTGTTCTAGGATGAGTATGTTAATAAGATCTTGATGCTGGTAATAATTCTTTCCTCATTTACAAACAAAATGTGTTACAATAAAACAAATTCATTCCACAGTTAAAAATTTTTATGGCAACTTAATTGAACTGGATTTACTGTTTTATTTGCTGTACCATATCCCAGTTCCTAGCATCAAGGTGTGGCTGTGATTTGTTTGCATGACTGTGTTTGGGTTTAAAGCAAAGCTGCAGTGATTGAACTTTCCTGTTGCTCTTTATAGCTACAGAACAATGCAGTGAAATGCAGATTTTACTATTCTGTGTTTTTAAGAACTTGAAAATGTTTCACAGCTTCTACAAACATGAACTGAACACACACAACTTCCCAGTATCTAATTCCAGTAATGGTTCTAATAAGAAACACTGTGTGACGACCTGTTTTTTCTTAAGTATGTATGTTTTTCCTTGAAGCTCATACATACTGTAAGTTTCATTGCTTATTTTTTAATTTCTAAATTACTGCTTGTGATTTGGATACCTTGAATCTAATGATTGTAAACAAGTATATACTCCACTGCAGTTTTCCATTGAAAGCAAAGTATGCCCTCTTCATTTCTGTAAAATTAACCATACAGAACTGCATGACTTTGTTCGTTAATGCGATGTTGTTGCTTTTTCCTTCTATGTTTGCAATGCTCCTCAGCTCTAGTTGAAGAACCTCCGAAAGAGGTAGTATTGAAGACCAGTGGCGACGCAAGCATGCACCAAAGTTTTTCTTCTCAGTCCTTTCAAATGGCTTCTTCTAAACAAGAGGCTTCATTCAGCAGTTTCAGCAGTAGCAGCATGACTGAAATGAAATTTGAAAGCATGTCTGCCAAAAGCATGTCCTCCATGAAAGAATCCTTTGTAGAGATGAGCTCCAGCAGTATTGTGGGGAAATCTAGCATGGCTCAACTGGAGAGTTCAACTAGTAAAATGCTTAAAACAGATCTGAGAGGTGAGCATTACAATTATTAGCAGAGTTAGTGCTTCAGCTATCCTGAAGTAGTCCTCAGAGCAAAGCTGCCAGATAGCTTAGTGAAAATAGACTAACTTGGTATTTCTTCTCCTATTTTATAAAGGAGTACCACCCAAAATTGAAGCTCTCCCATCTGATATCAGCATTGAAGAAGGAAAAGTTCTTACACTATCCTGTGCCTTTTCGGGTGAACCTGCTCCTGAAATAACATGGTACTGCAGAGGGAGAAAAATTACCAGTCAGGACCAGCAAGGCAGATTCCACATCGAAACCAGTGAAGATCTAACCACCCTGATCATCATGGATGTCCAGAAGAATGATGGTGGACTTTATACTCTGAATTTAGGGAATGAATTTGGTACAGATTCTGCCACTGTGAATATAAATATCCGATCACCTTAGAGAGCTTAACCTGTATTATTTACACTTGTATTTTTACAAGTGATTCATTTTTGGACTGAAATATCTGATATGTAAATATAAAAGAAAAATATTTTTTTACCTACCTGAACGAGACAAAGTCCAGATCTATACATTATGACTTATAGTCATTATTGACCTAAGAATTTAAATCACTTTTTTCACTGACATGTACATACTGTATATAGCCGAAGGTAACGGTTATGAAGTTTTGTACCGTTTATTTTATGACATTTTGAAACGTAACTTTTGGAACTAACAGTTGGCAGGGGAAAGTTTCCTAGAAAATGACTACCCTGCTCAACATTTAACTAATTTTTGCACCTCAACTCATTGTTGATGTCTAAGAATGCCTCAACAGGTAGAGAGGCTCCCTGTTGAAGATTACCTACACCTAAGACATGATACTGTGCACAGTATTTTATACGTGCACAAATATTTATGTTGAATCAGAAATGTAAGGCATTGGTGATGTTTGCAATTACCCTCCTGTAAGCATTGCTTTAATGTTTTACATTGGATCTGATTATGTCATAATTTTCATACCTGACTGACAATTTCTGGACAAAGTGCAAGCGGCCAGCACTTTGTTCACCCACTGTGTACTGTTTCTGACATATTGACTGCCTGAATAGCTTTTAAAAAAGTAACATCACCTGGCCATCCCCTTAATCAACAAAGCTATTTAGGTATTCAAGTGCAGCAGCAGTACCCCATCTTGGAGGTTCTTAGGGTGCAGTGATTGAGTTTGTGTGGTAGTATTAGACACCCAGTAGTCACTTCCAGGCAACTAAGCAATGAACCACAGTTTGAAAACAAACTGTTGCTACAACATCAAATACCAGCCTGCACTTCAATTTGCTTTAGTTCTCCTAATGTAGTAATAGAGCTTGGTAGCTGTTGAACCTCCTTGAGATAGACTTGTTCATTTGAAATAAAGCATGCTTTCTGCACCATAAAGTCTGTGACTCCTTCATTATTTATTATGTTGTTCTTACAGTTCCTGTACTATACTACAGGCTGAAACAAAAGATGAGGTAGAAATGCAGTTCTCCAATGTAAACCAGGTAGTTAACTGTTGACAATCCAGCCATCTATCAAAAACAGCCTGTCCACCAGCCAGCCTTGGAAAAAGTCATTTAAAAATTTTTTTTCTTTGTAGGTTCTTCATTGACAAAGGATAAATTTTAGCACATGCCTAAGTATTGTGCTTATCCATCTCTTATTTCCAGGCTTTCCTCTACACCATCTTGTTTTTCTGGCAACTGCAACTAATACAGATTACTTGACCCTGATTGCCTGGACCAACAAGTTGTCACCTCCCATGGGTGATTAATTCTTCATTCCACAGGTCAGCTGACATATCTGTCAGAGCAAAGCCTGTCTTCACATTTGGGGGGTTGTGGGAGGGGTTTGGCATATGTTATCTATGAGGGAAGGAGTATCAAGGTCAAAGGAGTAAGTCTGCTTCTAGAATTCATTCTGTAGAAAAAGCTTGAGAGCAAACGCATTCACAGAAATGCAACACTTCAGGAGCTGTAAATTTCTCTGAAGTGGAGCAAGAGCATTAGTTAGCAAACATGATGAATCACTGTGATTCTCAAGAAAACCAAAAGACTCAAGATCATTGGAAATAATAAAGGAGACAGAATGTTTAAAAACCTATTCCAAAAAGACTCACTGTAGAACCCTTTTTTTATAATCTCCTATAACCTTATATATTATCAACCACTATCTATCCAAATTATGCAGGAAAACTAAGAAATTGGGACAAAACAAGGACTAAAATAAAAATAAGGATTTCAGAAGAGCTAAGCTCTGGGTCAGAATAATATCAAACCTTTTTCAAGTGATGGAAGCAGGAATTATAAATATGAAATAGTTTAAGACTGCATGGTATTTCTTCCTTAGAGAGGAAAGTAAAAAAGAATAAAAACTAAGTAAAAAAGGCTGTGTCTTTTAATCTTTAAACCATTCAAAAAGGGAAAAACAAAACTCAAGAAAGCTTCTAATTCTCATTTCTTTAGATGTTTAAAAACACTCCAACCAACAAACTCTATACAACACAAAAATGTATAGGTAGTCTTGTTAGCTTGTGTAACTTGTGTAAAAGTAATTTGTGTACATAAGCACATAATAAAAACGCACTAGATATTTAATCATCTCAGCAGAAAGAGATATAGCATCTGCAGATTTAACTGTGGCCTCTTCAGCACAAAGGCTACTGGAAACTCAGTCTTAAAATCTAATTCTGCTGAATCTCAAAACACCCAGTCAATGAAGAGGAAGCAAACTGGTGTGGTGGTGTAAGCAAATTCATCAACTCTGCACAGCACTTAAGCAAGTACTTTTGGCAAATGAGCCACTCACATGTCTAAAAATAGGATTTAAAATACTTAGGGGCTTTGCTGAAACACAGCTTGAATAGATAATGTTGCAGGCCGACCAGCTGAGCCAGTGTTTTTCCACAAGACTGCTAAACAAATGCTAACCTAGAGTGACATTGCTGAAGTCACAACCTTCAAAAAAGGTTTCAATAAAGCTAATAATAAAGATATTATATTTCACCAAACACATCCCTAAGAATCAGATTTTTCAAGGTTAGGGTTAGGGTTAAATTAAGCTGTCTCTCGCTGAAAAGAATTAAACATTTTGAATTATTTACTTGTTATATCCAGGTCAAATACTGGGATTTCTAACTACGTCAGCTGTCATTTGCTCTTTTTAAAGATTAAATCTATTGTGCTATAGGACCAAGTTTAGTAAAATATCCCACCACTGATATGGGGTATGAAAGCCTTTGGCACTCATGTTTTCTGATGCATAAGGAAAAACTTTTTAACAAATCTCTGTGAGCTGCTAAATCCTACTATAGAGCTATGTAGTTTCTACTAATATTTTACATGTGGCCACCTGAGAAAAATAACTGTGATGGTGGAGATAACACTGAGAGATTAATTTTATTGCATTGTAGCTGGTTTTCATACATAGACTTTTTCTTTATTCAGGTATTATACCCCTTTTAAAGATTTCTGATTTACACCAACAGGAAAAGCAGCTACATTAGAATACTTAAAGTGATAGGAGTAGAGCAAAATGCAAGTTTATAATTTGTGAAAATAACCTCAACAAAAACAAATAGGTGTGATTTCAATTTTTAAGTAAGGAATAAAATTTTTTGCACAAGCAACCACTGAAGTATTCCTACCCCAAAGATTACTTTTTCTGAGGGGGAAAAAAATAAAAGTTTAAAAAATGAAGCTGAATTACTAAGTTGAAGGACATACAAACATTAATTTACAGTACTTTAAAGCCCTTGAACACTGTAATCTCAGTATTCACAACTCTCCAAATCATTGAGTGCCTTACTGTTAATTCTTTATAATGGAAGCCTGTAATTTCCAAGCATTCTATTTCTAATTATCTGACGTTAGAGACTGCAGTGATACAACTGAAGTTACCACTTTTCACCTAAATACATGTTCCGCGTTTATATTCTTTAAGTGTGAATACTTACTATTTAGAAATTTGAATTGGTTTCAGATTGATCACTTCAGAAGCATGTGAGATCAAAACTATAAGTACCAACTACCTATCCTGTTCAGCTCTCATTCTGCACTACATACTCATGAGAGCTGAGGTTCAGCTCTCATTCTGCACTACAAAGAATGATACAATCAGGCATTCCTGATAAGCTTCCAGTAAGTTTGTAAATGAAATATGTAAGACCAGCCAGGTACTTTTTAGTCTTACTATGCATGGATCATTGTAATTCAGCTAAGTAATTTTCAAAATTTTTTTCTTAACCCCAACTAGTGATAGTATGACAGCATATCATCTTCACTACTTTCACTGAAATACATTTTAGAATATTTGGCTGATTTAATAGAAACATATCACATATATATGCATAAAATTGAAATGATGGCTTTGTGGACCTAGAAAAAACAAGAACAGCACTAAAGCAATTACATGCAAATTTTGTGCTTGGATCTGATCACAACTTTTGTCTTGTGGCAGTATTTAAAATTATTACTTACTACTACATTCACTGATCAGTCTCACTTTGTTTTTGCACAATGTGGAGTCCAACCTCTTCTCTTCACAGTAGTTGAAAGCAGAAAAAGGTGTCTGTCATTGTGACATGTAATTAACACTGCAGACACTGGCAGAAACCTCAGTGAAATTTCAAAAAGCACCTCTGACAGCATATTATTCAAGACGACATTCTCAGTGCAGTATGCAGTTTACTTCTTTGAATATCTTCTTTAATACATATTTTTACAATTGTCATGTCTACAGAACATTAAAGCAAACATTCAGAAAAAAATATGTACAAGCATGTGTGTGGCTGATATGCATATGCCAGTTTGCATGAAAACTGACAGAACTGAGCACAAATGACAGCTCTGAGCTGGTATCCACAAACCTCTTTTACAAACCATTCCATTCCACTTGAACCTGACATAATGGTTATAAACTGGCATTTTATATAAGACCAACAGGTCTTGTGTTTTTCCTCAACATTTGGACCTATTTTGATCTAGATAAATGAACATTCCGAAAGTTTATAAGGAAAGCTCCCGTTCCCATCTGTTCTTTCCAGCCTGCATGAAATTATTTATACACACAAAAGGAAGACTAGTTAAACCAAATTTAAGATCTGATTATAAAAACAGATTTTGGTATGTGCTTGAGTACAAAAAACCCTGTATGTTTCTTTAGCAATTGTGTAAATCAAGAACAGTAAATGGCTTTCTTAAAGTGCTCTACAGCTAAGACCAAGTTCACCCCTAAACAAACACCCAAAAAATCCCCAAAAGCTTACATTAACAACCTTCTTGCCCAAGGTGCTAGTAGGCACTATTACACTATATTACTCATTAATTATTAAGAGAGTCAGACCCTGACCTCACTTACAGTTAATGCAAATTTACACTGATGTAACTGAGAGCAGAATCCATCTTCTAGTGTATCCCATCCTCAAATGATATATAAAGGAGTTGCAAAAACAAACGCTCCCTTTTGTATAAATATGTCATAAATAAAACATGTATAGATACAAATATCCATTACAACAGCAGCTTAGAACGGTCTAACATTTCAGCTCTTGTTTTTACCATACTTTGCTAAAAACACATCTTAAGTAAGCAGAGTAAATCTTAACAGCACTGTATTAATTATTTGTGATGCTACACACCCCAGAAACAATTTATGCACATTTTGAAGCTTTTAGTAGATCTCAGACCTTTAGTAGTGAAAGTAGGTAGAAATTTTTGATGCAAAAAAGAATAAATAAATAAAAACTATTAAATATCCCGTGTTTGGTACAAATACTTCATATTAAGTTATTTTTATACATTTGTTTAGAAAAATACACTAAATATTTCTACTTTCATTGCCTAAAAATAAGGACTGGATTATGTATATCCTTGTGTTTTTAAAGGCGGCAATGTCAATTACCGTCAAGCTGCTGGAGCAGAGCCATTAGTGCCCATTCCCACAGCCCTTACACTGGCAAAATAAAGCCATTGTGGGGCTAATCACAGCTCCAGGTGGATGACCTGGTTCAAATGACCAAGAGGCCCATGGCACAAGTTGCATTTTCTCCAAAATAATGAAAACCTTTTGCTGAAATTTATAATGCTTGTTTACTAATGTATCAGTCAGACCTCCACAGGTTTTAAAAAGAGCTGCATTTACAAATGTGGATGCTTATCTATTAAAGCCATCATTTGTTCCAAAAAATGCACATTCAAACTGTGAAATATTAGGAAAATACTCTTGCAAATAAACTATATAAAGATAAAATACACTTCAAAGATAGTATTTATGTTATTCTATAAAGTGCAGAGAAATCCTTCTAAAAAGGGAAATAACTACTTCCTATAACAACAGTATAATTACAGCAGCTTTTGCATAGCATTATTTATAGAAAATTTAATACTTTCAATTGCTTCAGGAGGAAAAGGATGAAAGAGTCTCTTCCAGTTCAGATCTTTCCTTTGACACTGATTTACTTTCTTCAGGAATGGCTGAGGATACCAGATCTCCATTGACAGCACTTCTAGAACAATGAGCAGATCCTACAAAGAGATCAATTAAGTATTTAATTTTCAATCCCTGAAAGTATTGTCCAATCTGTCAATTATTGTATTTGCAAAGTATTTACTATATATAAGCAAGCAGAAGAACTAGTCAAGTTGAAGTCTGCTTGAGGGGAGCTACAATGAAGTCAAAATGCCAGCAAGACTCAGAAGGAAAAAGCATGGAAGAATTGGCTACTAAGTCAGCCCACCTAAACAGGAGGGAATAAATTCTGATCATGATCTTTCTTATTGGCAAGGCTGTGTGCCTTCTGAGAAGTGCTGTTCTCTACAAAACACAAGAAGCCACTGAAATGAACCACCTTTCCACAATGCACCGAGTGAAAACTACCCTGCAATTCACAGAAGTCAAAAAAAGATAATTTCTTCTGTGACAATAAGAAGATGGAAAATAGCAATATTCCACATCACTTACCAGATAATCATTTGTGCAAGAGTCTATTAGGACAAACATCCCTTTTCTGGACATGTCTTAATTTTATCTTGCAAATAGTCTCACTGATTGTGACACTGAATGTAACTACTCCAGCTGCAAGATCATTTGTATTATGGATGGAAACCAACACACGTCAACCAGGTAACAAACTATACAGGAGAATAGAATAGAATAGAATAGAATAGAATAGAATAGAATAGAATAGAATAGAGTAGAGTAGAGTAGAGTAGAGTAGAGTAGAGTAGAGTAGAGTAGAGTAGAGTAGAGTAGAGTAGAATAGAATAGAATAGAATAGAATAGAATAGAATAGAATAGAATAGAATAGAATAGAATAGAATAGAATAGAATTCTTTTTCCTCATGCTGATATCCGTGCTAGAACATCTGCTGTAAGCAGGGAAATAAATTGTACTGAAAGATACAAAGAAAACTCACTCCCTTTCACACTTACTCTGAGAATCTTCAGAAGGTGTATCACTGTAAGATTCTGTATCTGAGTATGTTCTTCTGCGCCGCTGAGAAAATCGATTAAGAGATGAACTGGGTTCTTTTAAAGAGTGATTAATCCTACAAAGTAAATGAGCTCTGTTAGCAAGCAAAATCTGTTACAACCCACACAAATTTTATATACTTTAAATTCAAAATAACTTTGGTGTTTGGATTAAATTGTATCAATACTTTTTAACTATACTAGTCTACTATAGCAAACTAAAAACAGCACAGTCAACAATCATAATTTCATAACTGCAAAGCCTGAAAGTGGAAATGAAAATGAAGGAAATAATTTGAGAATCTGAAATACTAACTGAAAAAGAATGTTAACATTTTGCACTCTAATTTCATTAACTTGTCAAAACAAACCATTTGCATAAAGCTTCTAGCATGATGAAATTTTGGTACTGTATTAAAAATAACAGCTGCCACCAATAGCTGATAATCTGCACCTTTTGTTTTCAAAATTAGATCCACTTATGATTTTTTAATTTTTTCCCCAAGCAAACAATTCTTCTCACATTTTTACTTTAATGCTAGCAAGTTCAGGGAGGTCTATCGAGACAGAAGGAAAAATCTTAACGAAAAAGAAAATTACCTTTCTGAATAGCAAGGACCAGGATGGCTAATGGAACGCTTCATCTAGGGGAAAGAAAAAATTCCAAAGAACAAACAACACCAAAAATGTCACAAGCTACTCAGAAGAATGATATGGATATCTACATTATTTTTTACTTTATTTACAGTCTTTACAAAGAGAGACGGCAATTTTTTTTTATAAAAAGCAACCACTCTCAGTTAAAAATCTGATTAAACTATATGAAAACAGATGTATTGCCATCAATATTAAATGTTTTAGAACATTCACACAGGAAAAAGAAATAGGTTACTACAAAAAGATGCTACCTCCTATCTATGGAATTCATTCCCTCTTGCACCAAAGCTCCTCCAAGAGCCATTGTTAATTGCTATGATATACAGAAGTATCAAGACATTTTTCCTTTACCAAATGGAAGTTTAAATTCCTCATTAAACAATAAAGCCAAATTATGCTTCTTGATTCCTTGTGGTTTCCCTGCTATCACTGTCAAATCTCTATGCATATCAAAGTTATTATTTTAAATCATAATGATCAGCTTTGTAGTAAAGTGGAGATAAAGAGATGAGAAATTCATATGGAAAGAAAGAGATTCCCACAACAAAACTGCACAATCCAGCTCATCTTGGAATACATACACAGAACAGAGAAAGCATTTGATTCCCCATACACTGTCCTTCTAAGGGAATTTATCAATAATGAAAAGTTATGTAAGTAATATCTTTCTCATTATATACCTTTTAATGATGTTTGATGATGATGAGGGAATGATATATTAATACAAATATCTTTAATTACATACACTGAAACATGCTATCTTGTTGAAGTGCTTCAAGTCACAAAGCACTTAAGCAGGAGGTGAAGTTACGTAATTTTTATAATCAGTGTACAGTGTGCACTCTAAAAAAATCAAACAGTTGAACTGAGGAATAGTTAAACCTCATTCATTTATGAGATAATCTAATCATAGGGCCTTGACACATATGATAATTTACTCTAATGATGTAAAGCCTAGCAAACAAAGACTGAGAATGGAAAACTGATTTATATTTGGGATCAGTACTGATTTATAACACAGTCAAGATTACAATTGTTGACATCATAGCACGTAACAATAGCATGGCATTCCACCACTCCTCCCCCCAGTCCAACCACCAGTATGACACTTAGAAAAGATAATATTTAAAAAATGTCTAAACCATTTGAATAGGTGATGGTGACACAGGAGAAACCAAGGGATCAGGGTGAGGCAGCTGGAACATTTCTGGCTTAAACTTGGCATTAGCGATCTTCACACATTCTTCAAGTGTTGTGATAAATGTATTACATGTGGCACTAAGCAAGGAAGAGGCTTCATTCATATTCTGAAAATAAATGAAAGCAGAAGCATAAGCAAGAAAAAAAATTAAAAGATGCAAATACAACTTTCCTCCATCACCTCTCCCAGACACACTAATTTCCCTCATTACCACTAAGAATTTACATTTCCATCTTGTTAATCAAATGTACACCTTACCATAAAGCAAACTAAAGAAAACAAATGTGACAGCATTGCAACTTCTTTCTGACATCTGAGTTTCTTTAGGGTACCAGCCAACAAAGCCTTACTACAAAGCTTTTCTCACAGTAACTAACTGGTACCAGAAGATGATTCAGTGAAATAAATGAATTGCAGCAGAAGGTGTGAACAGTTTTATCACACTAGAGAAAGGAGCTGCAGGTCCATTTCACCTCCTTAAACTGAAAACTTGCTCTATTGTGCCTTAGCATCAACCCCTGGCTTTGCACTAAAGGACAAACAACACTGTTCACATGCTGTTCAAGTGTGCAAAGAATGAAGTCATTCATAATTTCCAGTCCTTTCACTGAAAAGCAGGAATACATTCTAGTATTGTACTTGTGCACATTCAGAGATAGATACCTACACTGCATGTTTCCAATGCCTGGAACACTAGCTTTCACTGATGAAATAATGGAATACCCTCCCACGTAACAAAGTAAGAATGGACAAACTAAGATTGCTCCAACTACTTGAACAGAGATGCAAAACAAGACAAAATATTGTATTGCTCATATGATAGCTCTTCTGGCTTTTCAGCCAAATGGCTCAGAAACACAGTTGGTTCCTAACAATTACAGTTAAACCATCCAGGTACTTTACACGCAGAAAACCATTGTTACTACATCTACACTCAAGCATTCAAAAATTGACATTACATTAGGTTTCCCAACATTGGGGAGATAAATAAGGTTTAAGACATCAACAGTAACTTGAGGTGTATTATATAATGGAATGAAAAGAAATTCTAGAATTGTGCACCTCAATGCTGGGAGGAGAGCGAGTCTCATCATGGTGGACAAATTCTTGTATTGTATGAACTTGCTGCATTAAAAGATCACAGTAGAGACGAAGTTCGGACATTTTGGTTTTAAGAGATTCGTTGGTCTCACTTATTTCTATGGAAAAAATGGAAATATCAATTTATTGCATACAATGTACAAACACATTGTAATTTTTAAGCACTTTTCATTTGAATATCAACTTAAAAATTATACCACCCACCAGAGTGGCTGGAAATAGTTACATTAGGCTATCCATGAAAAATTATGGAAAAAAAATAAATAGCTATAAAAAGTTACTGTAACAGCAGAAATGAAATGTCTTCACAACAACTATAAACAGCATGTTTATTCTAGTGACAGTAACACCTTGCTGGTATTTCAGCTTCTTAAGATACATGAGGTCAATTCAGTAACTAATACTGAGGGAGATTTACCATAGAGATGACTAGAAATAATTACAATTTATATTAAAATACAATAATACTGACTTTGTACCACAATATTTGCACTATGATTATCTGAAGAAGTGATCTACTCTAGGTAACACACGTACCTTTTTCTTTTTTTGTTCTGGTATCTGCTAAACAGGCTTTTGCACTCCCCAGTGCTACCAGCCATCTTTGCCTTTCAGCTGCATTAACTGCTTTCATATAGAAATGCTGCTCCCCTGGGATGATTAGCTCCATTCTTGTGTTGTCTGTTGCATGAACTTGTGAGAGAAGAGAAAAAAAATTGAAATAACAGTAATAATCTCAACTCAGTAACAATCATTTATTAAACACTGCTTGAAGTGTTTTAAAATGCTTATGATAATCCCACAGTAATACAGTAAATCACAATGCTTCACTGCTTAGTAAGGAAAAGCCCAAAGCTGCTCAACCTTTCTCCCCCTTTCCTTCACCAAAAGAAGAAGGTAACAAGCAAAATCAACTGGAATGGCAAAAAAAAAAAATTAAAAAATGTGATCCTTCTCTCTTTACTTCACTGATTTAATCTACACTAAAGAAACACTAACAAAAAGCAATTGCCACATGAAAAATACTTAGTGGCTCATGTAAAGTAAAAATTAAATTCCACTTTTTAATATGAAATTACCCACATCACAAGCTCAGTCACCTGTGAGGACCTAGAAAAAAGTCATAGTTAACAGCAGCAGGAAGCTAGAAAACACCTTCTATTAGCCAAGGAGGCTGATCTACAGTTGGAATAACTGTAATATAGTAAAAAAGGGAACTTTGGAATAAACAGTTCACTTACTATCTCAATTATACACATCAGCTGTGCATGTGTACAGCTGGTAACAGTGACAGAATTAAAAATTACTTGGGAAACTAAATGACTAAACACTTCTGGTTTATAGAAATCTCCATTTATGGATCATTGCTGCTGCTCTTCTGGAAAACCGGCTTTTATAATTCAGTCTCTGTCCCTGGTCAAAATAGGAAAAAGTAGCAGAACTAAACAGCCAGCTGACATAACTTTAAGCATGAACTTCGTGCACATAACTATTAAAACCAAAGAGTAATAAATGGTGTGTTCTAAATCTCAAAACACAACTCTAGTAACATTCTTTATTATTTGTGAACTATGAAGCTGACACACTGGACTACAAGCAAACAAAAACAGAGGAGGAAAAACGTGATGCAAAAATGTATGATTGGTGATCTTTTCTATTTCCATGGCAGCTAAAATTTTCTCAAGCAGAACTCTATTAATTCTTACCTTTTATTTCACACACAGCCATCTTTATACTTCCTTTGCTGCCTTTGCAAACATCATCCTGGGAATCATAGTATGACAATATCCCATTGTCTAAAACAAACCACCGAGGCTGCCAACCTGGAGAGATGAAAAATGTGAAAGATTTAATTCCTAAATTGTAAATCCAATTAATCTCTTTGTTTGTTAAACTTTAATAAAAGAGGCAAAGATTAAGTTATTCTTGTAACACACTAGGAAGTAAACAATCTGTGCAGTATGAAGACCAGAGCCACTCTACAACCAGACTAGTGCTATGTGGATATTTCACTCCCATTCTTTTTGAGTGCAAGATCAGCAACTCTCTCCTGTTTTCACTGTATTCCATTCTAGAGAAAAATTAAATTTTAATTTAGCCACCATGGAATTCTGTTTTGAAGGTTGTGTTTAATTACATACTTCTGAAAAACCATTCTCATTCAGCTATATTTTTCTAAGATTGTAGAAACTTATTTGTAAGATACAAATAAATGACTGATGCCACCAACTGCTATGCTATGTTGTCCTTTAGCTACTGTATTTCAGTGAAAACTTTATATTTCACACTTATGTATTCACACCTTCTCCGTTTCTACAAATAACATAGCACTAAAATATTCCAGTAGAGCGTAACAATTACACTGGCCCATTATACTCTGTATACAGCTGTACAACAGGAGCAGATTATCCCTCTATTTTACAACTTGACACCAAACTTTAACTTCCTGCTTGGTTTAGGGTTTGGAATGGCAAAAACCGTGTGGCCAAATACCTCTAGTGTGGCCCAGGGTGCCTTCCAGCTGCCACCCCAACAGAGCAAGCTGAGGCCATCCAGCAGCACTGTATTTTAACACAGGAGGCTAAAGCGGGTACCAGACTCAGAAGCCAGCTTCAAGCTTCATACTATTCATAGCATCTTAGAATCATTAAAGGTGGGAAAATAATCTCAAAGATCAACTAGTCCAACCTTTAACCAGTCACCACCTTGTCAACTAGACCAAAGCACTAAGGACCACATCCAATTGTTTCCTGGACACCTCCAGGGACAGTGATTACCACTTCCCTGGGCAGCCTGTTCCAATGCTACCCCTTCCATGAAGAACTTCCTCCTGATCCCCAACCTGAACCCCCCATGGTGCAGCCTGAAGCCGTTTCCTCTTGTTCTGTCACTTGTTATCTGTAAGAGGCTGAGCCTGACCTTGGCCAGGCTCCAACCTCCTGTCAGGGAGTTGTAGAGTGATAAAGTCATCCCTGAGCCTCCTCTTCTCCAGGCAGAGCCCCCTCAGCTGGCACAGCTGCTCCTGGTACGACTCACTCTTCACCAGCTCCACTGCCCTTCTGGGGACACTCTCCAGCACCAGAGTCATTACAAGTTGTAACACTAATTCATGAAAAGTAAGACCAGCCTGCATTAAATCACATTACCATTCCATGTTAAAGAAATAGTAACACATAGCTGTGTATTGTTCCTTTTTTGTTGTTTACTAGCTGTAACAGTAAGTACAGGTGTCTTTTTAAATGAGTGGTAACTAAAAAGCATGTCCACACTCAAAAGCAGAATGTTAAAAACCACAAACTCTAAAGGATAAGAACTCATACAGGAAAAATTTCAAGTGGTGTGTGTACGTCAACACTAAAAGAATATGCAATTCAGAAGACTCTGTCCTGTAAAATGCAACTCAAAAATGCACGGATCTTTTTTTCTGCTACAATCTGTTGCAAGACTGTACTGTCTTTATCTCCTGTCAATGCCTGTCAAAACAGTCTTACTCTGCTAAAAAGGAAACCTACATGAATGACTATTCCATCCTCATTATTCTAATATTGGAAAAAAACAGAAGCAAAGGATTTAAAAGGCCACACAGAAGCAAGGCAAAGAACAAAAGCACCTCTTGTAATTTGAAACTGGGCGGTATCCTACATTTGAGAAAATATTTAACGAATTTGTACTTCACAAATTCTTATTTGAGGAGAAAAAAATAAAAAAGCAGCTGTATTTCTGGTTTGCTTTTAATGAAGGAAGAAATTAAATGTTTTCTGTAACACTTAAGCAACAATAAAGCTCCTTTGCTGCTTGGTGTCTAGCATTAATGACACGTACTACAGCCTGTATTTCACCACAAAACCAGATACTATACAGACAGCAGAGTAACAAGGCAGACAGTAACAAAACTTAAACATTTCACTAATATGATTACTTTTTTAAAAAACGCTGCCCTCCTACGTTCTGGAGATTTTAGGTAATCCCTGACACATTAATTTTGAAATTCAGGAGCAGATGCTCTCTGTTGGCCAGCATAAGCCTAAGGAAGGGTTCTGAAGTTTGCTGGTTCAGAGGACTACTGGATTTCAGCAGAAATTAGCTGCATGCTAACAGTCTATTGTGTGTATAGATTTCACAGCTACTGGTGAGTATTTGCTTAATAAATAAAAGAAGAGCAAACACCACAAGAGTTCACTGCCTTTCTCCATTTATCTTTTGCTACAGCAACACTTTCAGTCATGTAAGTGAAAGTGACAATTTTCATTGTTTTGAAAACAACATTGTGCTCATTCTTTCACAACTTTTCCTCTATGAGTTTTCTCTATTGCTATTGTGAAAAAGCGGTAAAGACATCAAGTATCTATTTAATTACAGCACAACTGCCCCCTTTTGCCAGAAGTCTTATATCTGTGGACACATAATTGCTCTGAAAAATGCAAGACTATGCTCTGTACGCTTCACAGCACATCCGTACAATCCTCACAACGCAGTCCACATTTTATACTCCCTCAGAACCAAGTTTCACACCACTCCACACTCACAACCTGCATATGCTGACGCAGAATTCCACATATGAAGTGCTCAAGAACCAGAGGGCAAAGAAGATACTGCCAAAGCAGTGTAACAAGAGGCACGATTAAGCACGGTATGTGATCCAACGCTGATCTGCTTGAGAGAGACAATTAGTCTTATCACAGTGTCAGAAATATTCCACCTTGACACCACTGCCTGCTCCAGAGGGAGATGGAGTCTCTATTACAGCAGAGGATCAGCCAAACAAAACCAGGCAAATGCTGGCATTTGGCGCACTTTTTGTCTGCAGAGCTTCCAAAAACGCACTTGATAAAACTACAGCTCATCATGTGTGTTCCAGTTTGGGATACAGGAGCTCCCTGTCCTGCTGAGAGTCTCTGACTAACTCGGCAAGGCGCAATCCAGGTGGCGAGAGAGGCTCGGCAGAAGGCCCGGGCCGGGCACGGTTCGGGCTGTGCCGGGGGCAGTGGGTTCGCCTGGCTCCGGCCCGGCCCGGCCCGGCCCGGGTGAGCGTGGGGAGCGCTGGGGCTGCTCCGCCAGGCGCGTCCCC